ACCGCCCGTCTCTTAAAACTTGTAGGATCGAGATCATCGTCCCGACGACGCTTATGTGTGATTTTACGCATAGGTTCGGATGCCTGAGGGGTAGACGAGCGAGAGGGAGAGGAATCAGAGTTGCTTCGATGGGGATGAAGAGGCGTGGAGAGGTGAGCTTCTAATGATAGATCCTCACTCATGCCAGAAGTAGAACCGCGATGATTGAAATTGGGTGGAGGTGGTGTGCGGTTGTTATCATCGCTAAAAGAATCCCAGAATTCCTTACCTTTAGAATTGCGAATAACTTGTTGCTTGAAGCTACCAGATAGTTGAGAACTGGATGCATCAGCCATTATATCATCTTCGGGTATGCCTTCCAGAGAGTCCTGCGTTGGACCCATTATTGGCGACGAGCGTGCATCTATCGTTGATATAGAGGGATGTCGAGAAGGTTCGAGATCCATATCACTTTCGCGGGTTTGGCGGACAACTTCTGCTTCTCTGCGAACTTCGGTTTCGACTGGTGCGCTCTCTTCAGCCAGAGCTGCTCGAATACGTGCGAATCCTTTTGTTTTGGGCTATCAAAAGTTAGTAGAGGTAAATTCACACGTATTGTATACATACTAGCATGTTTCCCCTTCTAGTCACTACTCTGCGAATGACCCCTCGTTGTCCATCTTTTCCAGGTGTGCTAGGCATACCATCCACATTTTCCAAAGTGGATTTCAATCCAGCATCATCACTCTCACTTCCTGATATATGTAATTGATTTGCAGCCCAGCTTATACTTTCTCTCCTCGAGCGAAAATTATCCACAGGCCTTGGTCTGCTAAAGTAATTGCTTTCTAGATTACGCATAGTAGGAGGTGATTTAGAGGATGGACTAGCCATTGGTCCACTCCTCGATCCTTTGCGACTCTTTCCACTTCTTAATCTTGCTGACTGGAAATTCATAAGACTATTGACTGCGGGGGATTGTCCAGACCAGGCGCCACCAGGGCTTGGGTTATAACTTCCGCCGAAAGGTGCTGTAATTCTGCTTATTTGAGGTGTTGTAATAATAGAGTCGTCGATCTCGTCTGATTCCATCAAATCATCGTTGTCGGAACTACTTTCAGAATCGTCCGAGGCCATCATGTTAACACTACCAAGCGAATTGGATGCCATCATTCTTTCTGTATTTGGTGCGGGAGACCACAGAGAACCTTCCCCAGCGCTGGTAAAGTTTAATCCATTTTTTCTATTCGGGATATTCATAGCTCTGCCAGTAATCGTAGGTGACGAATCGGGTGATGATTGCTCTGCAAGTGTGGAGTGATGAAGGTTTGTTGCAGCTCTTGAAAAATCTAGACCTCGAGATCGTCTAGGCAAAACACTCGTAGGTGACCCATATGTTTGTGATTGATCTAATTTTGGTGACAATGGTACTCGATTGATATATGCTGAAGACCCTACTGGCATAAAATCCTTTGGTGGCATCTGTAGAGAAAGACCTCGGGCAAATGCAGCAGGTCGCCTTGGAGTTGTCGGACTTTCGGAGATGGAACTATCATCTTTAGAAACTGGCTTTTCTGGTTCGCGAAATTTAGGAGACGGTGAAAGCATTGGCTGACCGCCATCTGATAAAGACCGAGCTTTTGAAGGTGATCGTGATGTATTTCTAACATTGGCTTCTTCGCGTTTGTCGTTCACTTCAGTCCCCGTTTCGGGTTCAACGATATCCATACTTGACGACATATGCTCGATGGATCGATTTGGGAACATGATATCAGATTAATTGTTAAATATTATAAAGATTGAGAAAAAGATTAATCCGATGCTTCTATATCATCTTCTAATTGTATGGGCATATAGACTCAGCGGAAGTAGTCGCTTTATGTCGAGGTGGTGGGCGAGAAAGATGTCCAAGGTAGAGATTATATCGAGTGAGTTGATGTCGTAAAGGAATATATGCAGTTCAAAGTTGCGGCATAAAAGGAGGGGTACCTAGTCATAAAAGGTATTGTAGAAATATGAAACTGATGAGGTACAGATCGACGATGGTACTGTTCTACATGAATGACCGTCTGTCGGGTATCAGATCGGAGGCCTTCACATTATATCATTCAAGGTACCGGTATTGCACTATCTTAAGATCGTCAAAGTGTAATAAGTAATTGTCTTGGTCGTACACACAATGAATCGAGAATTGGACATTGGGCTAGTTGCTGGAGCTGAAGCGGGACTATCAAAAGATAATACGCTTGTCTGTTTACGGCTAAATCTGCAAACGATCATCACGTGCTTTTTTGTTTTTTCTGAAAGTACACTTTATACAAGGTTTACCTGACGTTCATTCTACCGACATCAATCCAATGGGTAGGTATTAAGGACCCTTTTAACTTCAGAACCTCACATAATCCAATCGATCTCATTTGAGCGATAATCTGGGAGCCTATGGTTTTTTCATTCCTCTATTGTTTCAGGCCGAAACCTCCTCTCTTCAAGTTCAGCAACGACTAATAAGTCATATGCTCAAGACATGGCACATTGGTTGGAAATATATTGTATCTTGTTATTTAAAATACATTGTCATTATTCATTATAATTTTTTAGGTATGATCAAGACCTCTACCTCATCGACCTTCATGATATTCATACAGCAGAATCATCCTTTCTCCCATTATCCCATACTTCACTGTCTATACTCATTCCCGAGGTACTGGCACTTCCACCAAGAGCACCATTCTTGGATAAATGTTGCATGATACCCTCTTCTCCTTTCTCATGTACATTATGGCCTTTGGCAATAACTCCAAAGCTATCGCGTTGAATCATCTCATATAATGCTGTCCCAAAAAGCATGGCCGGTATACTCGTGAGAATGGGTATCAATGAATAAAGCGAGAAAGCATCGCCTCCAAAAAATATGGCTGCAACGATGCGAGCGCCCAAGTCACGAGATGAATTAAGCTCTATCGTTACGTCCGCAAAACCCCAGATCATTGTTGCTAAAAGAGGTTAGCAAGTGTACAACAATCAAGAAACTGTTGAATCCGAAGAAAGCAGTCGTGGATTCTATGCTTACCATAACCTAGTCCAATAACCCATGGCACCGCAGATGCAGACACAAATGGATTCATAGGGTCGAGGCAAGCCCAAATTACAATTCCCTAAAAGGTGTCAGCAAATGCTCCAATGTCTGGACAAAGTCTTTGCCACATACCACGAAGACGTCGGCAAAAAATTCAATGAAGAACAGATATCCATATGACTGTGATGCTCCAGGAAACGAGCAAAGAATACTTCCTGGTCCACCTGGTGAATTGAGACTCAAGCCTTTAGCACGATATTCCGCAGCAAGTTCCATTAGCTGTGGATAGTATTGTCCAACTAAAAGCATAGCTGCCATAAAAGAACCGAAGACTTGAGCGAAGATGTATTGAGGAACTTTTTTCCAAGGGAACTGGGATGAATTAGCTGATGCTGATATGCAAACACAGACCACGAAAACGTACGCCTAGCCAAACGGCACAAGATATCGTTACTGCTGCATTGAAATGTCCTCCCGAAGTACTTCCACAAGTTCTGTTGCGTGTCAGCGATTGAAACGATATGGTAGATCGTATCCTGATAATACAGTTCAACATACATGATAGCGAAAGCAATACCAATTGCAAAGGCCCAACCAATTTGGAAAATTGATCCTAGCCCTGGGTCCCCAGGATTCAGGAAGAATGATGCGCATGATGCAATTCCCGGATAACTATGGATACCTGTCAGTTGAGGTTGCATCTAGCCATCTCTTTAACCTTACACGAAGAAGAACACTCCCATAGCCTCCGCAGCCATTTCTCTCATCCACCTCGGCCTTGCATTTTCGAAGTCTAGTTTGCGTTGCGATATAGGCTTGGGTGCCACGACATGCCTCTTTGCATGACGCTCTACTGCTTCCGTATAGCCGATTTCCAGCTCCCCGGTACGAAGACGACTTGGTCCATTATGGGACATTGTGGAGCGAATTAAGAACAGCAATATGTTCGAACCGTAGTGGTGGAAGTGGCAACAGACCAGATATATGGGTTTCTTAGCAACCTGGGAAATGCTCTAAGTGCGGGGTACAGGTGTATTATGTACAGTACGATGCCACTAAATTTTCGGGATGTTATTTAATGATTGAATGAGGAAGGTTGCAGTTGATGTTTATTCGAACAGACGGGATCATGTTTAAATATGGATTCGCCACCTGTAGGTTCCACGAGAAAAGAGCAGAAAAGTATTCGACTCGTCTCAATATAGCATGTAACAAGTTGCTCATTGTGGCCAGAAGGTGAGAAACGTTATGGCCAGGAAATCATCGAGATCAACAAATCCTACAGTCTAACATTGAAACCCACTTTCATTGGTTCAATTAACGTTGAATTTTTTTGTACGGCCAATCAGATTAACTCCTCGCTGAATTCCTAAAGGAGTCCGGAGCAGTCCTAACTTTTTCGCTTATACGCATGCTTACAATAGGAGCGGAGATACTCTTGCATCTTACACCGAGGACAACATACCTAATATCTTGACATCGCCCAGGCTTCCGCACTGTTCTCAGGTTGCACCGCGTCAGGTTTAAGCACATCTCCCGAAGCTCAAAGAATTGCTAGCTTGCTTCCGAATCTGGACGACCGTTTCATGTCCGGGTGGCTTATCCGTGCGCCACAAACGCCACACTCACTTTGGGCACCTTGATATATCCATCTCGTACTTCCTCAAACTTAAACATCAATGGAGTTTACAGCGATAATTCTGAGTTTGTGTGTAACGATACAATTCAGGTAAAAAAATGAACGGCCGTTATTCCTGTTCTCCTTCTCCGTCGGTACGAACGTTTCTTTCTCCCTTTGAAATACACAACATCGCCATTTTTTTGATACTCCAACTGGATCTCATCCCCATTGTGTCGATAGCCCCATTTTTCATTCTACAAAAGGATGGAGGAAAAGACATACCCCTTCAAAGCACCTGTTATTGAAAATTGTAATCCTTCTTAATCATTCTTCTGTTGCTGGAGTCTTACTTCGCTTTCTACGCGGTCGAACTGGTGTTTCCTGGCTATCAATCATCCTCACTTCCGCTCGTCCATCTAAAGATCTAGTAGATCTTCTCCTTTGGGCACGTTTTGTTTTCACCATTTCCGAAGGAGAAAGCATTTCGTCTGCGTCTGAATCCTCAGTCTCTTTGCGTGGCGTTTTCTTGTAGCGAGGCTTACCATCTTTCAGATATTAATCGTTGTATAGCAAGGAAAATATTGACGCAGGAGGGCAGAAGACATACCTCTATCGTTGTTTTGAACGTTATTCGAGGACGGAGTTCTTGTCTGGTTTGAATTCTGCGTTTTCTCTTTTTTGTGGAGAGGGGTCGGCGGAGTTTGTGGTTCAGGTATTGTTAGATCTTTTGGTTTTTTTTCTACCGACTTGTGCTCCCTGCGCTGTTGGTAACGTCTTTCCTCGAGGCTTGCGAAATTCTTCTTGCACTCTGGACATTCGAGTGAACAGGTATCTAGCAGTTCATATCAGCAACATAATTGTTAGATTCATGAAGGGCGAAACTAACTTTGTCTAATATGGCGCTGTAGATTCTCCTTGCACGAGAACAGGTTACCGCAAAGATCACATTTTGGCTTAGCGTTAACGATTTCACCTTCGGTGATTTTCTGTATGGGGTCATGGTGACATACTTGTGCCGGTCTGGTCTTTGGCGCAACCGCCGAAACTTCTCGCGGCGCCTTGATGAGTTGGTTTCCTCTACAATTTGGGCTAGCATCTCCAGCTTCAGCAGGTGCAACCTTTTTGTGGCAACCATTTTTTTTCTGTCTCACTAAGGTTCCCGGCTCAGGGTGTACTCGTGTCGGTTCGATGGGCAGTCCCTCAGGTCTGGACGCCCGGTATTCGCTATGCTCGGCTTTTTGGTGATTTTGTAGAGCAGCGACGCGGGCGAATCTTCTACCACACTCTGGGCACTCTGTGCATTTTCCTGTCCGGGATTACCACTAAACTTGCAAAAACAATTCAAAGATCGACTCACTGTTCTTTTCGTGCCTACGAAGTAGAGCTACTTCCGGAAACTCTTGGCCACATTCTTCGCATCTTGGAAGAGGTGGGCCTTCACTATGGTCATATTCTGCATCTTCTACTTCGGCGGATTTTTGCACTTTCAAACTTTCAGCATTAATTTCGGAAACCGTTGGTGCTAGAGGGGCTTCAGGCGCTATGATAACTTTTGATTGGCCCATACTTTTACGTTTGGGAATCAGAGTCTCCGTGATACGACTGGAAACTACTTCAGGCGATCTCTTGGGGAAGAGCAAATTCTTGCTGTACTTCGCACTAGTCCTACCTTCGGACACCTTAACGAAATTCTCTGTTTGCACTAACGTGCCCTGTTTGCCATTGCCAATGATCACAGCGTCGTAGATGTGAAATGATGCATGCATCCAATTACTGCCACTTTTAAGCCCGCTTGTTTCTTTCACATCTGTACCATGCCCCACAAATGTTGTCCCTAGGGGATAGATTTCAAATCCATACCTGGACTTTGTTACAACAGAATCAGCTTTCAAGGTTAATGCAGTCTGGAAAATTTCTTGCAGATGTGCTCGCCTGTCTTTCCAACATTCTGAATGCTCCCCCCAAGTGTGGAACGATCCATCTTCTGCATTGTATGGTGTGATTGCGAACAAGGGGGCGACTGCATTAGAGAACCTGGCCGCTAGATCTGTGGCTCTTTTGGGTATCGATTCCTCTTTGAGCCATTTTCCCTCGATAAGAGCGCGATGAGCTGCTATGTCCAAGCTAAAAAGCTGGCTTTCCCCGCCTATAGAGTTAATTTTCCATATTATTATCAATAGCAGGACACTAACCTAAACTGGAGATAATGTGCCTATAACTCGATAGAATGCGAGGGTTTGAAGGGGCGAAATTAGGAAACCTTGACATAAAAACCCAATCTCTCAGCGCAGCCAACACAAGAGCTCTGATGCAGACATGAGCACCGAATTTCTTTCTGGTGATCTCGACTTCATTTCTCCCAGTGGCGGTTTCGATGTCACTATTGAAAGCTGAATTTATAAGGTTACGCAAGTCGCTTGGTATCGAAAATATCTTTGGATCAAGTTGCGAAGTATTGATGTGATGACAAGAGATGGAGGAGAGTTCGAATTGTATTTGATCTATTGCATCGTCGATCGTGTCGTGTCCTATGTTTAGGCTTCCTGGTAAATCCAAATTGGCAAAATCAGAGAACTTGTGCATTTCTCTATTTTCTTTGGTCAATCGATAAATTTCCTCCAGGTCTTCAAATTGTCGGGTTTCTAATGAAGCATAGGCATTGCTTTCTAAAGCTCTTTGTTCCTCCTCTCGACGAGCCCTTCGTGCCTCATTCAGGTGTTTCAATTGTGCCCTCAAATCTCTGATCGTCCCTTGGGCCTCGGCTTCCATTGCGCTGAGCTTCTCGGACTCTGCTTGCCAGAGCTCTTGCAGTCGAACTATCTCTTGGTTATGTTTATTCTCCAATGACCTCAGACGCTTTGTCCAGCTATCTTCATTTGCCGTTTGGCCTAGCAGCTCATACTGGAGTGCTTGAGATTTGTCTCTTGTGAGCTCTCCGCCAATGGAAACTGCAGCTTCGGTTGAAGTGGTCGCCGATTTTTGGGATGGCAATTGGGATTTTACATCACCATTCACAATATCGGCTTCAACCGTTTTTGCAGATATTTTGTCCTGCGAACTGGATCAATCAAAGTTTTGTGATAACGACGAGAAAAGTACGTACTTTGCTCAAGCGAGACTTTTTGGAAGGTGGGAGATCCTCGTCTGCTTTCTCGGTCTTCTTGCTACGTTTTAAACCCCTCTCATTTTCTTCCGTTGAAGGGAGGTCCGTCGGATTCTTCGTGGCTTTCTTCTGCGTTCTACGATCTCCCATGTTAGAAATCATGAGCAGCATCAGTGAATCGCTGGAATTGCTGTCAGCTTTCGTTCTAATGCTCTTGCGCATCTCGACTGGAAGCTTGGTCATGCAAGCAGACCCTTTACTCATCATATCGACGAGGGACATTGTTAGAACCGAGTCCTCACTCTGATCGCCGTATCTTTCCCATAGCTCGCTTAGATGTTCCTTCACTGCATCGCGACTGGTGAAGCGGGAGTGCTCAATCGTGTAGTCGAGGGTGTCTTCCTCGGCTTCTACGTTCTGCAGCTTGCAAAAATCAATCCATGCAAGTAGCTCAATATCATCCTCCTTTTTCCAGATTAAGGGCGTCATATTTGGTATCGGATTCAATATTTGAGCAGTCTGGAAATGGCTGAATTTTCATGATGGGTGTTTGAAGGATATGCGAACAAATAAATCCGATACTTGCAGAAATTCTAGCCACCAAACACGTTCTCATTGTCAGTCATTTGTAATTCTCCAAATATTGTAGATCTGATAGAATTTTGGATAGAAATAAGTACTGCGGTCTTTCGTCACACCTGAAAGATGTGGCGTCCCTACTGCAGAAACCCATTTTGCATCCGAGCGTCCGATCAAATTACTCTTCCGCCCTGGACCGTTTTGCATGGATAGTTTCTATGCGTTTGCTCTAAACAAAAAAGTCAACCTGATATTCGTTTGCTGTTCGAATCGCATTAACACCCAATGGGCATAAGCAGATGATATAAGCGGATAACGTGCAGTAGAACCGATTCGGCCCCTTCCACTCCGGTCCATATCCCGCTCCCACATTCTGTATTCCAAGGATAAATTTCTGCTTCCTTCTTCTCTTGAATGATCTCGTGAGGTATATTTACTTTTTTGCTCAAGGTAGCCTACTTCCCTGTTACCCTGGAGATATGCCTTATCAGATATCTTTTACGAATCGCTCTGCAAGATGCCGACTTCCAATAGGAATCACAGCCGATGATACATCACTTCTGTTTGCTTTTCCAAAACGAGGCCTAAGAACTTGCGTAATCAAATCCTCCCTCGGCAGGTTTCCGCTCTATCAGTCCTGTTCCAAAGTGTGAAGATAATAAACCACATGAGGCGCATCTCCTTCCCATTTTCTCCGCTTCTCTATCTTGAAAGCATCATTCAAAGCCTGACTATACGTCCTTATATTTTTACGGGCTAAAAGTGAAATAAATTTCGGAGCGTTCGAAATGTCAAAAAACATGGCAACAAGAGGGGGTCCCTTTGGGTCTAAGAATCGCAATGTCTCCAGACAGACTGTGCCAGCTCGACATGGAAGCAAGTCACAAAATCAAGGCAGCAGGATGACGCATTCTCCGACACCAGGCACTGCTATATCGGTGCGAAGTTCCAACATGCGATCACACCTCATCACCCCAAAAGATAAAGTAGTTGTTGGTCTGGACTATGGAACTACATTCACATCTGTCTCTTACAGCATTGTTCCAATTAACTGTGGTAATATGAAAGGCTCTACTAATGATGTCCTGAGTGTGATCAACTGGCCAAGCGACGGAGAAGATGGTCAGAGGAAGCAAGTTCCAACAGAGAGTTGGTACTCATCAGAGCCAGTCGAGCGGCATCGGAACGATGAAGATGAGATATTTGATGAGAATTTATTCGATTCATCTCAAGGCCAACATCCATTGCTTCTTAGTGGGACAGGTGGGGACGCCATCAATGAACCTGAAGATTCAGAAATGGAAGATGAACTTTCTGTCGATTTTCTTTGGGGGTACAGCGTGCCATATCAAATTTACAAGGCAAATTCAACACGAAATCAGAGACGTCTCGTGAAGAGAGCTAAACTCATGATGGTGGAAACCGAATACACTAATGAAGATCGAAAGGGTCTTCGAAGCACACTAACTGGACTTCTCAAGGAAGGCATCATACGAAGACATGGTAAACGATCCAAACCCGAATCTGATATGTGGGATGCTGTTGACCCAATCTCGGATTATGCCGTGAAGGTATTACAGCATACCAAAGAACAATTGAAAAATCTCCATGGCTTCACTGATCAAACACCTGTGGATTTCGTTATGACTGTACCTACTGTCTGGTCCCCGGAAGCTTCCCGTGTGCTTCAGACGTCTGTCAAGGCAGCCATTCAGGTGACTGCCTTCGGAAATCCTTGGGTAACAACCGCTGACAACATCTTCCTCATCTATGAGCCTGAAGCTGCTGCTACGTTTCTCTTGGAAAGTTCTGAGGATATATCCGTGAGGTCTTGTTGATAAATTTTCGATCCTTTAGCTAATAATGGTATAGCTTGGTGAGACTTTCATTGTCGCGGACTGCGGCGGTGGAACTGTCGATGTCGTCACATACGGAGTCAGCAATCGGTATCCGCTACGTCTGCAGGATGAAAAAATCCAGCCCGCTGGTTAGTTCAAGCAGTTCTTTTCAACGATTCTGTGAGATTAATTTGTAATCTTAGGGGACAATTGCGGTTCCAGCTATCTCAATGATAATTATAAAGACATGTTACTTGGTCGCCTCCAAGACGAAGACTATCTCTTCAAGAATGGCGATACCCTTGAATCAATTGTCAATAGATTGATACCAGACTTTGAGAATGAATATAAGAGACGAGTTAATGTCATGAAAAGGTGTGGTCACAGGGTTTACATAGCTGGCTTGCGCGGTGATGAACAGATGAATCGCGTTGGTCTAGCTGAAAAGCGTTTTGAGGCGAACCATTTACAAATGAATTTGTATGTGATATCCATCTCCAGCTGACCATGGTATCCGCTAACACGGTCTCAGGAGTGATTATAAAGAAATTTTCGATCCTCTTCTAAAGCGTATCTCAAAATTGCTGGAGAAGCAGATTCAACAAGCTGTGGAAAAAAAACTTGTGGTTAAGGTATGCTTCAAGACAACCAAAAGAACCTGATCGTTATCTTACTGAGTATTCAAAGAAAGTATTTCTTGTTGGTGGCTTTGGTGGCTCTCCTTCCTTGAGAAGCTATCTCAAGAATTGGCTTGCAGTGAAATCTGGGGAACTTGAATTCAATATCGAATTAGTAGCAGACAGGCATAAATGGTGAGATTAGTATGTTTTATTTTGTCCAACAAACTAACAATTGCAAAGCATTACAGCTGTAGCATCGGGTGCTGTTCTTCGTGCTCTTGACAAGAAAAATGGACCGGAAAAAATTTCCCAATCAAGCTATGGTTTTCTCCGCCATGAGCCATGGCAACCTCGGCTGTATCCCGGGCATGAAAGAGCCAGGCCTGATGAGAGTGAATTGGATGGTGAAAAATATGTAGCTACGATTGACTACTTCATGGTCAAGGTGATATGTTGGGTCAGTAACGTCCTTGAAATTAGTGCTGACGATCAATAGGGAACCCCAGTCCGTCCAGACCATCAGTTCTGTCCATTCCCTACCTATCACACCTTTCCAATCGACGAAAAGAAATTCTTCTGTGAAGAAGTTCTCTATGTTTCCGACACCGCTACAGAATCCCACTACAGTCGCAGGAACCTTAAAAATGCTGGTAAGTAACCATGAATTTTCACGTCAATTTTACCATCATGCCATACCAACACACAATAGACACACAGATCGCCGGCCGCATCATCGTAGATATGACTTTTCTCCGCGACAAAGGCATCATCACACCCGTATACCCAGAAGAAGGTTTAGGTGGAAAGGAACATTATAGAGTTGATTATGAATTAGTGGCCAAAGTCGAAGGGAGAGCGCTCAGATATGAGGCTAGATATCCTGCTGGAAAAGGTGGGAAAGTACAAAAGAAGGGACAATTCAGTATTGCAGCTGCTTTCAAGGAGGGAACTGCTTAGTTTGTGTTTCGATCTACAATTTGGGGTGTGTTGGGGAATATGGGATTGGTTAGTAGTGTTAGTTAGTTTTCAACAATATTGGTATCCCGTTTTTATGGCGCCTGGATACCCATCGTCATTGGCTCGTTGATTGTTTTGTGAATTTTATCTTCGGATATATGGAAGATTGATATGAACATTAAGAAAACCCTAAACAAGAAGCTTGTGAAACCAAGACAGCAAGTCTCCTTGTATAGCTCTTCCTTGCCATTGGTCGAAATTATCATTCTATTGGAACTTGTTACTTGCGATTTCCCTATCTAGAAGTTCGGTCATTCAAGGAAACCTCCTCATTTATTACATGATGTGCCAAGTGAAGTCGAGAGGGGAGACTAGGAGAGATTAGTTTGGCATTGCTGGAAAATGTATTGAAAATTGTATTCACTAGCCACAATCCAAAATTCCAAATACCACACACTTCCAAAGTTGTCAAGCACATCGTTGGCCTTGTTAGCACAGTATACCAATCGTTCTACTGAGGAATTGAAGCCGAGCCCCACACCACCGATAGAAAAAAAAAGAAATCCTTTGTACAAGAAAAAAAAGTACAAAAAAGTAAAACAATGGGAAGGTGAAAACTCCCGGCCTTCAACTAAACTTGCTAGTACTTTTTACATACATTCTTAGTCCCCACCCAGCCTGCTGATGAAATGCACAAGACATCTTCGAAATTTGGAAATGCGACTTGTCGCGAAACGGGAAAGAAAGGAGAACGAACCATTGAATCGGTTCGGAGACAATTTCCTGTCAATGTATATATACTCCACACACTATGTAAAAGCTTAAAAACACATTAAAAAATGCAAAAGATTTTGCAACTGCCGTGAATCGAACACGAACCTCCACCTTGGAAGGGTGGAATCCTAACCATTGGACCACAGAAGCTAGGTAGCTAGTTAAGCAGTTTGCTTAATTTGCTGGCAGATAGTTCTTAGTTTTGTTTAATATTGCTATTGTTGAACTAGAGCCATTGTGGTGTGGTACCTATTGTATCCATTTGTGGAGCTAAATTGTGGGGGAATTCAGTCGGACATTAGTTATTAGCCCTCCGTCCTGTTCGACAAATATTGCCTTTTGCGCGTTTGTTTCAGGCACTAGTTAATTTAGGACAACGACATAGGTATTGGGGAAGCATACTTTCCTCTTAATTAATGTTCACGACATGCCACAAAACTACAGAAAGAGATCATGTTAACATGTCATGATCTCACATAGATAATACCATAAGCAAAAGGATACGAACTCTATTTTAGTTATTGCAAATCTTGATATGTCAAAAAGTCAGACTGCGACGACGTTGAAGCTGTAATATTCCAAGTGGGGGGCACGCATCTTTCAAACAGCCGCATACTTCATATGCCTTCAAGTGTTGACACATATCAGTCTATCCACCAGGTCTTGGCTTGTGTATTCGAGAAACAATGCACATTGATTGGTCAAAGACGTTGCGAAATTCTTTCAAAGTTTCGTAGTTTGAAGTCGCGTGATAAAGTACCCCGCTAAGCTTTTTCTTCGAATGGAATGGTTGACTCTAGACGCGTCTGAATCTGGAAGGCATCATCAATTCTTGATAAGACTCTTCAATTTTTCTAGTTTCAAAGACAATTTTCAATTTTCATGTCTGATTTCCCTCAAAAGCTATTGAGATTTAATGCACTACACAATTTTGCCTCGAAAAGCTTCGTCCTCTCCCAATAAAACTCACCATCATCCGACTTCAAGCCGCCGAGCTACTGAATAGTTTGTCGGAGAAGATTGCTGCGATTGAATGATGACACTTAACGTTTACCAATTCTATCTAATACGTTAGTTAGTAGGAACTATTGAATATCAAGAGGCGTGACACCTTCTCACTCATCTCGTCGTCGCCTAATTATACTTTGCTATGTGGCTTTCAAGTTCTCTTCTGTCAGAGCTCCACCGTTATATGAAGTTTTAACTCTAGACTCACTGGTCTCGATGTATAATTGGTCACTTCACCACTTTGTGATGCAGATCTAGTTCGACGTTCAATGTCATGATGTAACAAAACTTCTCCTCCCCTTATATGACTAAAGTGTAAATATAATGCTGTCATCGAGGGCTATTATTGCTGAATTTGGTTTCCTAGCTTGATGAATCTTTGGCAGTAGCTTTGAGTTATCACTAGCTCCGAAAGAGCTGAAATACTATAAAATCCAGGTCTCTCCCACATTTCCTGAGTTTTTTTTTCTCATCCCTTGATGTCACTTCTTCGTGTACACCCAATTCTATCTACTTCGACAATATTTTGCTCAGAGCTCTCAAACACCCTTCGTAGCAACCCGAGTAACAGTGGATAGCAGGTCTCTCCACTACTTTCGCTTCTACTTACACACTTACTACTTCTTACTTACACACATACACACATACACACATACACACATAATCCCAAACATCATATTACTATCACTCTGGGATCTGATAATACATTCGTTTACATTTAATTTTAACTATATATTCCATTCCAACTTCAAACTACCTTTCACTGTATATCCCTAAACACATTACATTTACCTCCACATCTACAATCTGTACTATCACTTTCAAATTCAAATATACTCTTTACTTTTATTTCTGATCATATTTGTTCTATTTCGACTCAAGATGCCAGAAAGAAAAGGTCTAGACGATTATTTCATGTACCGGTACCCCCCAGACTATCAACTTGAGCCCTTCCTTAGGACTCCGTCGCCCATCTCATCATCGAGCAGAATCGTGCCAAAGAATCCTGCCGAAATTGATGAGTCACCTAAAAAGACTGTAGCTGAAATTTTCAAGGCTACGGTTTGGGCAAAGCTCGAGCAGTCCAAGAAAAGTGAAAGCCAAGGACCAGATGCCGATCAATCGGATAAAGTCGCCGCTTCCAAGTTGTCAGATTTGAAGGGAAAAGCCCTAGAAGAGAGGAAGATGAAAGATCTTCTCGAGGAAAACATGGCACGTGAAAGGAAGATTGCTGAATTGCAGAGAGAAAATGAAGAGCTTGCGAATAAAATTCGTGAATTGAACGAGAGATTAGAGGAGAGATTGGAAGAGAGAGTGAAGGGAATATTGGAAGAGGTGGCCCGAAAAGAACAAATTGTTCTTGAAGACGGACAGCGCTGGGTCCAAAAAAATCTTACGGTGAATATAAGAGAGAACGCTGTAAGAGAGAAGGATGCTTTACAAGAAGCAAAATCAACAACGTTGCTTCAAAGAGAAGATAAGGTGCGCGAAAGGGAAGAGAATGTGCTCCGAAGAGAAAAGCAGGTCCTCGAACAAGAGGAAAAGATGGCACAACTTCAAAAACAATTGAACGGAAAAGCGTCCAAATTGGTTAAGACAGAACGATTAGTAGAACGTTTCTTTAAAGAGATAAAATTAACCATGCCGAAAGAGGAGGATTTGGAACCGGAGTTGTGAAGCTGGAAGAGATTGAAAATCTTCTAGTCTCCAGAGATAGATCTTTCGCTACCACGGAAAGCGGAGATGCAACTGCGAGCACCAGTAATTCCGCGCCGAAATATCCAGCGCGAAGGGTACAAACACTATCGCCCAGTCTTGTCGTCACCAAACGACGCATAGAGATGCATTGTGGCTCGGATAGATTTCGCAAATTTCTTGATTAAGCTTTGGAAGTCTGTACTTATTCGATCCTTCCTGGCGAAGAAAATCATGAAGCAGGGAAGAAAGACGGAAAATCATAAAAATTGAAAAAAATTGAAAAAAAAAAATTGAAAAAAAAAAATTGAAAAAAAAAAATTTGAAAAAAAAGACGGAAAATCATAAAACGGCAAAAAAAGGAGGAAAAAATAAAATAATAAAAAATACTGTGGATCAAAACACTCTTTCCTGTTTCTTGATCTTAGTGGTTTCTCTTTGTGTGGCGGTTGAGGGAGTTGGAGGTCGTGCTTGTGAACTTTCCTGTTTTTATTGAGTAGCTAGTTTGGAAAAGCAATTAAATATCTTATACATTTGGGTTTCAATATGTATGTACGTAAGACTTTCATTCTTTAATTAACTTAGATTCTACATCCAAGTATCCCTATCCCCATCCATTCATCCCTTCCCCTCAACCCTCAAACTCCCTCAACGCCTCCCCAATAACCCCCACCATCTCCAACACCTTCTCATCCTCCAACCTCCTCCCCACACACTGCAACACCACAGGCGTCCCATGATAAAACTCCTCCTCATAATCCTTCTGCAACAATTCATCTTTCCTATTTAACCCCTTCCATCCCCCCCCTCTCTTCCCATCCACCTCCTTATCCGCAAACGTCACCGGAAACGTACACGCCGGATAATCCAACAAATTCCACACCCCCGTATAATTCACACAAAAAATTTCCGTCTGCGTTACCCCCAATCTGGGGGCCGTCCAGGGACTCGTAGGCATGATAATCGCATCCATAACTCCCTTTCCATCAGCTCCAGTGCGAGTCCATCGATCCAGATAAGCTTTTTGAAAAGCATTTCTACGCGTAATCATTTCTCGTAATTTTGTAGGTCCCAACGTTCCATGTTCGCCCTGATCATAGGCAAACTCATAGTTTTTCATACTTTCGAAGACCGGCTCGTCGTGTTTACGCGTCAGTTCGAGGATAGCGGCGCCGCCGAGGGTGTAAAAGGAATTATTCATTTCTTTCGCCATTTCGAGATGATCTAGAGGTTCCCACTCGAAGACTTCGTGACCGGCTGCTTCGAGGGCTTTTTTTGCGAGTGCTAAACCGCGGGCGATCGGTGGGTGAACGCTGATTTCGCCGTCGTTGTCGGAGATGATTCCAATGCGGAGTTTGCGGCCGGGAGGTTGGATGGTGTTTTCTCGCCAGGGAATGGGGAGACATTTGGGATCGTATAGCCAGGGTGAAAGAGAGGTGGATAGAACGGCTTTACAGTATAGTTGAAGGGTTGAGAGGGATTTAGACATGGGGCCATTGTTTGAGTAGATGAAATCTTGTCCCGATATACCCGATTTAGTACCATAGATGGGAAATCTTCCGAAACTGTTGATGTTCTGTCAATACTTTCTGTCTATTGAGAAAGAATATCATCTGTACATACGTGGGTTTCAATCCAAAAAGACCATTAAAAGCACTTGGAATTCGAATACTACCTCCGATATCCGTTCCGATTCCCAACGGACTACCCCTCATAGCCAAGAGTACACCCTCACCCCCCGAACTTCCTCCTGAAGTGGTGCCTGTATGATATGCACCATTCGTTTCACCCCATACATTCGAGATTGTCTCCATCATCATCATTGCCACCGGTACTGCCGTCTTGACATAAAAAACGACTCCAAGTTTAGCTAATAAGGATACTAAAACAGTTTCATCTTCTGGGTTAGTGGGAACATTGGCATAGCACGCCATACCAATAGATGATGGATGGGGTGGTGTTATAAAGCAATCTTTGAGAGATATTGGAAGGCCATGAAGTGGACCTATTACATCACCATTTTTGGCGAGATAATCATCCAAAAGTTCGGCTCGTTTGATAGCTTCAGGAATGAGAATTTCCGTCAAACAATTTGTCTGTGATCATGGTTAGTAGGCGTCTTAGTTTGCTTTGGGAGGTATGATATCACCAACCAATTGATGAGCAACAACAGCTGCTTTAGAAAAGGCCTTGGTAACTTCTACTGATGTCCATATCCTCTCTCTAATTTTTTGAAGTATGTCTTCCGCACTTGTTTCAATAATTTCTAATTCCTCAGATGTGAAATGACCAGATGATCTTGGAATATTGGCAACATTTCGTGGAAGATTCTCCAAGACTCCCCCAGGAAGAAGATATTCTTTGGGTAAAGCATCAGCTCGACGTTTTTGGGCAATTGTGGCTATCTCCTTATAGTGTTGATCTGTTGATAGATGTTGAATATCGCCCATTGTTGTGGCAAGAGGCAAAAGAGTGGTAGTTGTTTATTTTAGATTCTAAAGAGTATTTTAGGAAAGAGAACAATTGGAGAAAGAGGAGAAGTTAAAAGGATCTAATATAGTAGGAAATAGAAGTATCTGGTCATCAATCGATAGCAATGAATTACATATCTTATCTTCTTGAGTTGCCGGCACGTTCTCGATACCCCGCCGGCGCTCGAGAAGTGGGGTTTCCCGATCTCGGCAAAAAGTCCTGGCGACTGACGCCAATTGTGAGATCAACATCAAAATTAGATAGATGCAGCACGAAAGAATAGAGAAATGACACTCATAAAATGTTTTTTTAATTAAATCTTGAAAGTTGGGGATAGGAAATAATGTTTACTATCGCAAACGCCACCGCCCGCTTTGAAGTAATTCCCGCAGCCTTGGTATTTACATTCAAAACTCCCACATTTGATATCAAAAGATTAACATCTGTATCACTTGCCGCCGTCCCTGAAGTAACCAGTGCTACCTGTTGGCCTGCAGTTTCGCATGCGTGAGTCGTGACTTTATTCGTTACACTTTACTGACGTTAGAATCATGCTTTTTCACAACTCCTCCTCAATTCATCCAGAATGGTGATGCGAAAATCCAAACTTACAAAGCAATAGCTCCCGCACTTCCAGTTCCATCATTAAGATTGGCCTTTGAAGCTGTGTTGTTCGCTCGGCCAGCATCCGTACAAGCGCTGATAGCAGCAGTCTCGGCAGCAGTCAATGAAGCGGCATTTGCACCGCCAGTGCCAAGTTTAGTGATAGCTGCCATAGCATCGGCCGGTATGGTGAGAGAGGATGGAGCTGTTACGCCTGCAAGAACGGTGGCGACATTCGTAGTGCTGAGGACAGATGCGGATGTCATGCCGAGAATGGCGAGAAGTAGAATAGCTGATGTCTTCATGACTGTAGAAGGTAATATGTTGTAGAATGGATGTAATACGCACCCGAGTAAATCTGCAAAACAACAAGAACTACGAAATGAAAATTAAAATTCGAATCTTCAAATTCAAAGTCGACCAGCGCTCAGAGAATGAATAAAAAGATGAGGATTACAATACAAATCCCGCCAGAATCATCTCAACTTATAAAGATGAACATAATGCGACATCAGACGAGACGGCGGTTATTCTTACCTGTGGTTTTGTGAAACACGGAGGACTTCGCCTGATGACACATCCGTGGTGTCTTGATCTGAAGCGAAGGAGGTGGTGACATTTACTTCGTCTGAACTTCCAGATTGTATGGATGGTGGGTGAGGATAATCATGAAGTGAAACGGCTCGACGATATCATTCCCTAGGGTAATCAATTTCCCAGATGTAACATGTAGTTGAACATTGTCTACTTAGGTACTTTCTTGATATTCCACGGGTCCCTAAGTAGGTAGGTATTGCGACATGGAAAGATAACGAGGTCAATCAATCGAATCACATGTCAATATATGCCGTGTAAAGTTCAGTTTGGTAGAATGTAATGGATTTTAATTTTGATTGAAAGAAGCTATACATCCTCCAGTCCTCAACCTAGTGAGAAGTAAAAAATAAAATATGCAAAATGGGAATGCATTTGTTTCCATTATCTAAACCTACGTTCCTTTGAGGAAGAGGAGGTAGGAGTTATGTGAGGAAGTAAGGATTTGATCTGCCATCATCTATAGACGTGTGAACCCAGGGTGTATTAGGGAAAACCGCATATGCTCAAATGGGGTGCACAAAGACACGCATATTCAAAAGTATTCATGAAAAGATTATAGGTCGAACAATTCATTTCCTATCGACTCCATATTACCATATTCATGTTTCCTCATCCCGAGTATTCGCAAACGCCATCGTAGCCATCAGACTGATTTGAGAGGAGACGTATTATGCTGTAAGGAGAAGTGTTAGTAAAGAATGTCGACGAGACCGAGAGTAATCGAATACTAACTGTCCAGGTAATCGGCTGCCATCAATAACTCAAGGCACAGCTCTGCAGGAATTTCCATGTCTGGCACATTCTCTGAGTTGCGATACTTGTAGTTGTAGTAAAAGTATTCGGCGACCCTCTCAAGGACGACACCACTATTTGAAGTTGTAGTTAGTATATGAATAGTATTTATAGCAATGCCATGTTAGACAAGATGATGTTGCCATTGAAGGCAGGCTAATCGTATAATGCCATCCATCTAAGTTTCAAATGATTGATGGTGATGGATGAGGAAGGAAGCGAAGCTCTTGAGAAGGAAGAGAAAAAAATCTAGCAGAAATTTAAGTAGCCTTAAAAGCGGGTCTCAGATCAAGTGTAAAAAACGAGCACTCAGTCCGCGGCAATCCCAAAGTGGAATAGAGGGTCTGTATCGAAATAGCTTTTATCATCACCGACGCCTTTTTGTTCTTTGCTGGGTGATATAAAGGGTTTAGAGTATTGTCGTGTTTATGTTTCTCGAGGAATTGGGGAATCGTATTGTATGTGAATTTGGATGATGAAAGAAAAAAGTCAGGCATACCTGATCTCTGAGAAACGGCAGACTCCTGTCTGGGACTCTTCCCAACCACCTGTACATGAATGAAATAAGTATTGGTTCGATTGGTTCAAGTATAATCATAAGTAACTATGGGCAAAGTTAGATTTGTCAAAGGAGGGGCAAACGAACTGGATGGATCCAACATCTTCTTAATGGCAACACTGGTACAGGCAGCTTCTCTCAAAACGACATACTCAAATCCATCGCAAGATACGAGAGTTACATATTTGCTTTGACCTGGTTGTGCTGTTGCCATGATTAGAGAGATTGAGGGTGATGAATGTGGTGTAGCAATTGGTGGGTTTCTTTGAAGTGGCGACGTGATATATTCCCAGGTTCTTTGAGGTTACCGTACTATGTATGTGAACGTGAAGATTTTACTCTATGGTAGGTAGGCTATTAAGCGGGAAGGCGTCAGCCACGACAAGGCTGTGAATCTGCAACCAAAATGTCACGTTGTTTTTATTGTCATTGTTATTGCTATTGTTTTCACTCTGATTGGTATTGTGTTTACTTTTTTCCGTTTCAAACCTCACTCGCCTTTTTCATGATGATTACCTACCTAGGTAAGGTCAGACAACAAGATCTCAACCACGCGACAACCTTCTAAATATGGGCTCGGCTACCTACCTACACAAGGTTACTTTGTACTTAAAACTTTATATTAAGGTCAAGATCTGCTACATCCTACAACTTCAAAAATGGGAGATAACTCGCTCACTCGGTACGAAAACGCGAGTCCGAATCCGATATCAATTCATGATATATAACGAGTAGGCCATCCATCGAATCCTTGTACGTACTGGTTCAATCCGACATGCCTACTAGGTACAGATAAACCTACGGGCTGCTTCAATTCCGCACCAGTTTATGCATGCACTGCGAGATGAAAGTATAGATTCTTGGGAGACCATACCTAATGGCCAGGATTTCCACATTGAATAAGGTAGTATTCACAGACGAATTGGGAATTGAAGGCGAATCAATTGCCCGATTCCAGTCTCGCATACCATACGCGTATCTAGTCTAATCTAGTCTAATCTAGTTACATGTTCACTTACTCCTCTTCAATAATCTTTTCCTGCTTTGGTTCACGACTCACGAGTCAATCAGACAAACTCTCGGACAAGAAGTTCCCCCATTTTACCATTTGACCATTTGATTACCTAACCAACTCTATCCCAACCACCCAATAATGAAGCGGACAATGTTCAGTGGTCCTGATTCCCGAGGAAGCATAACTGGCAATCTCCTTGGGTTCCCACTCACATTACTTCCCAATGTACACACCGATACTATCAACACGGGCTAATTTGGACCCCTCAATATGGGACGCTGATTACCTGTAACAAACCTTTGTTCCCTTTATTTAACTTTTCCATCGGTGTTGTGGAACATCCGTTGCACCTGATATACCGGGACTATGTTGTATTATCATAATGTACCTACGTTCTGAGTCCTATCTCTCCCCCCTTTCAAGTTGAAAGGCACACGACTAATCACTTATCATATGTAAGAACGTTGGGAAATCGCCATGGACTAGATATAGTCCCTATAAAGTATGTATGTACTTACTTTGGTAGCATGACCATTCAAACCCTGTGCCCACTCACTTCATCGGATGTACACAAGCACAGCCCAAATAAGTCATAACAGGGAATTTTGCAAAATGAACATGTAGGTACATCGAATGGTTTGAAGGGGGTTGATATCTTATGGAAATTGATCCAATGGGCAGCATTGCCATCAATGCCATGCATTTCTTTGATTTGCTTTAAGCATTATTTTAGAATCAGTCTAATCTATATTTTGACATAATTGTGGACGTCATAAACGCTACTATATCCTAGTCTTTGCTAACTTTCCTTAGGGCTCTATGGGCCGCGGTCTAAAGTACTTCCTTAATTGCATTTCTTTTTTATCTTCATTTCAATCCCTATCTTCCTTTTTCATTCTCTATACATCTTCATTTTTGATACCTGCTTCCTTTTAATCATGGCGGGTGTCTTTGACGCCGTTGGGCGTTTTTTCCTTCACATATATAGAACTCTACTCAATAGGTAGGTGAATCAAATTCCGAGAAAACCTCTACTTCTCAGTATGATCATATCAGAAAAATACTAACATGTGTGTAGACATTCATTTTTCGGTTTACTTAGACATATTTTAATTAACATGACTTTTATTCTCATATGGATAACTACTTTCAAAAATGGTAAATTCAGAATTACCCTCAATTGATACCTTTCCATACTAATTCGACTTTCAAAGCATGGCGAATCGATTCCTCAATCCGGCCATTAATTGATGTTAACTACCTCGAAACATTGGATAGAAGAGTTTTTGGATTCTCAATGTTCGGTCTTGCATCACAATTTACCTGCTCGGTAATTGGAATACTTTGGATGTATACACTCACACGAAAGAAGATATCGATAATCGCTGGACTACCTCCTCTTCTCCTCAATATCCTCTACGCACTTTCCCATGACCTCTCCGAACCCCTTGATGTTTTCGCTTGGCTATCGTATGGTGTTATTCACTTCATCTCTCCCTTCCTCGCCGCCTTTTGGCTTTGGCTATTTGCACCTCCCGGAGTTGTGTCTATGTTCGCCTGGTCTTTCGGTATTCAAAACTGTCTGGGAATAATGACCCATCTATCCCTCCCCTCAGCCGCTCCTTGGTATGGCGATCAATACGGCTATCCTCTCCCACCTGGAAACTACAGTATGCCCGGTTCCGCCGCTGGCCTCGTGCGCGTCGACAAAGTCCTCGGAACCCACATCTACGCCAATGCATTCAAAGCCTCGCCCTTGGTTTTCGGCGCATTTCCTTCCCTACATGGAGCATTCAGCTGCTGCTGTTTCTTCTTCGTAGGCCGTTACTCCAGAAAAGGAACTTTCATACTCGGGTTTTACGTATTATGGCAATGGTTTTCGACAATGTATTTGCGTCACCATTGGCGGATCGATCTTTTGGGTGGACTCGCTTATAGTGCATTTGCTTTTTCGCTTTTCTACCGCAGTTTGCAGAAAATAGATAGGGCGTATGCGACGGGAGTTAGTGGGGGAAATGGTTGGCAAAGACTTTGGGAGGGAACAAGGTTGCAGTATTGGTTTGATAGGAGACCCGCGCAGCAGGGTTATGAGGTGCTCTTGGAAGAACAGGAATTTAATAAGGAGGCAAGGGGAGAGGATAGAGAAATCGACAGTCCGGAATCATCTCGAGAAGATTTGGAGGGTGCGTGGGTGAGGGATGAGGGGGTTACTTGGACGGTTAGAGACACGGAGAGGAGGTCGAGGTAAAGTGGGTAGGGTGATGTCTGGAAGAGATAATATTTCTGTGTCGAAGATGACATGGAAAGAAGAGTTGTAGAAGTACAATATATGAAGGAGCAGCATTGATATATGCATGCAGGGCGTTGGAAACTGGAATTGGGATTTAATACCTAGGTACCTAACCGTTGTGCATAGAATTGATACGGATAAGGAGTATATAAAACGAGTATCGGTATCAGACGAATATACGAGAGAGTACCAATAGGAGTATATAAATATATAAAATAGGTATATAGGAATAAACTGGATAATAAATCTTACAACGGGCAATTCCTGAATCTATTTATACTTGTATTCTTACATCCCCCGCCCTTCCCCTTCACCCCGGATACCTAGCCCTTCAAAGAGATATACCTACCTACTGTAATAGGGAGAATATCAACATAGCCTGATAACCACCCAACAGATTATACACAACCAAACTCCTCGAAATTATCCCATCTTACAATAAACAATGAATGAATGAATGAACGAATGGTTGTATCATCATCTCTTACCCTATCGAATATGCATTATTCCACTATACACACATCTGATATTACTCACTCCATCACACACATGTTTAAGGAAGTATATTCATACTCTATTATTCGTTCCCGAAATCATCCATTCTATATTGCATATTCTATATACAATGTAAAACATAAAATGAAAAGATATCCATCTACAAATAATTCATCAACATCCCTTGCCTTTTGTCTCTTATTTCCCATCTCCCGTCTCCCGTCTCATCGATTTCTCTTAAGCGTAGCATCTCAAGCATAGCATCTCAAGCATAGCACCTCGTCTCATAACATAACATCTACTCTCTCCAAACCATCCATATCCTCAAACCATCATCTCAAACCATCTCCCCTCACACCATCTCCCCTCACACCTATACCTACACTCCCAATTCTCCACAATGTATTCCCAATGGCTTATAAGCTCCTTCCCCTCCATCTTCCCTCCACACCTTGCCCCCTCATTCCTCTAATCACTGTCCCTCTATCTTCCTCCTCTTACAACAAATAACTAGATAGGTAGTCCCATTCATCGATACTCAAAGTACATCGTATACCTGGGCAATTGTGTAGTTGAAATATAGATGCATGTATGATTTGCATAGACAATAATCATCAAGTCTGCAAGAGATTCATAGGAACCTATAGTTGTCGACAGACATATCTAGCAGGTAATCACTCCGAGTAAGATTACGAATCCACAGTCATCTCCTCACCTCACTTCATATGCAATTTCATTCAAGATAAATCGTTACTTCTATTTCATATTCATCCATTCTTTCCTTCAATATGCATCCATTCAGCAATTCGATAAAATTCCATCCCATAAACGAACCAAAAAATCCACTATGTGTATACCCTGACTCTCACCAAATAACTGATGAATCGAGCAAAAGATATCCATATAAGCCCTTTTGTATCATTTGAGAACTCCTAGTATAGTATCTCTGCTTTCTTGAAATGAAGTTGAACGAAATGAATGTTGAGAGTCATTTGTCATAAAGGGAATCATCTAAGCGACCTCGGTGATCTTAGCAGCTGGCGCTTCAGATGCTTCCTCCTCTCCTTCAAGTGCTGGCATTTCGTCGTCATCCTCATCATCTTCACCCTCATCATCATCGCCCATTCCTCCCATTCCTGGCATGCCAGCTCCTCCGAGTTTCGAGAAATCAATACCACCGAAATCTCCACCGGCGCCTCCCATCATGTCTCCCATTCCTGGCATTCCGCCTAAAAATCATTTGTTAGTTAACTGTCCAGCCTTATGTTCAATCGAATACAAAAAACTTACCCATGCCACCCATCTGGCTCAAATCCTCCTCAGGAGCCTCATCTTGCTCATCCTCATCAACCCACTTATCGAAATCGGTCTTCAAGTAGTGAACCTTCTTGGAATCCTTCAATAATCTAGGCCAGAACTCCTCCTTCAACTCCTTCTTTCTCAAGACGAATTGAGTGTTCTTCTGTGTGTGGTTGTACTTGGAAGCACTCTCATCGATCTCTTCGTAGAATTCCAAGGTAACTGCATATGCACGCTTGAGAGACTCGGAGTAGCCGGAGTATGTAAGAGATTGGGACTTGAGATCGATCTTTGGTTCCTTGACATCGGGAACGCTGATGGTTAAGTAGATGAAATTCTTTTCGGCTTCGGTCTTGCTGGATCTTTGAGCCCAGAGAACTATTTATAATTAATTAGTGATATATTCAAATATCGAGTATACATATGCATATATATCTTTGTGTATGTGTGGTATGAAGTAAATAGCTCTGAGCAGTTACTGGCTCTTGCTTATGAATTCTGAGGCTTCAGCCTGCAGTACCCCTCATTGAAAAAGTAAATGTGGGATGCAACAGATTGACCTCAAAAACATAGCTAGCCACATAAACCAGCAGAGACTGGTATTCAGTCGAAATGGCACAAACTTCAAGCAGAAGCTGAAGTGAAAAGAACTGAGCTTTGGGTTGTGACAGTAGAGAAGCTCGATAACCTCTCTCTCGCAACAATCGTAAGAAAGAAAAGAGCTAACAAAGCTTACCTTCAGGTGTTGATTCAGCCATTGTGATTGAAAGTCTTTTTGTATGAAAAATGAACTAGAAAAGGTTGTTGATGCGAAAAGTGAATTGGGGTATCAAGCAAAAGGTTTGTACAGAGTTGGTATTGTTGTTATTGTTATTGTTGTTGTAGAAGAGAGAAATTATTGAGAGGGGTTTAAAGAAAGGATTGGCGAACTTTCTTTCTATTTGTTACTTCTTGCTGTGTGCAGACAAACGAGGCTGGAGCCAGCTAGATGTATGGAACCTGCGAGAACATTGGGGAAAGTACAATTGGAATGGTAAGTGAGTGGTAGGTAAATAGAGAGTAATAATGAGCATTCTTTGATTTGCAGTACATTTACAATACATGATGTAATTAATTTCCTATTATAGCTTTTTTTTTAAGATATATGCCTTATTTTACTATTTTGTTCAATCTATCAAATGAAGTCTGTAAATAATTAAATCAAATAAGGTAAATGAAGTTATTACTTTTCTGTTCTTCCTTTTGAATTATTAATGAGAACTTAACCCCACGTTGTAGTTGCGGCTCCTGTAGAAAAGTAGAATAGAAAAAGGTGAAAAGGCAACGCAACGTCACTAACCACAGACATCTGATTGAGCTTGGACCTATACTACTGTTGTACTGTTATACTATACTATGCTATAGACATGTATCAAACTACATCGTATTAATCACCATCACTTATCGGCAGACTTCCACTTATCACACTTATTACTAGGGACCTACGATAATCGAACCTTCGATTCAGATTAGAAGGATTTGATCCAACACGATCAAATCATCAAAGAACCTGTCTTCAACCTTCAATTTCTCTCTTCAGTGACACAGCTACAAACCTCCAATCCATTCCGGGAGTAAATCATATTCAAAACACTCATCATGGAATCCATAAGAGCCGTATTCTTCAAACCCGATCCTCAAGTTCAAGTGTGTATACTCCCCAAAACATACCATGCCATATCAATACCATACATACCCATCCATTCCCATTTTCCTCTAATCCCTCCATCTCCCCTCATCTAATCCTCCCCCAGGTCCGCAAATGTAACAATCTCATCCGCCAAAACACCCGCAAACTTGACCGAGACATCGCCGCCCTCAAAGCCGTAGAAAACAAAACCCGCAACCTAATCATCGCCGCCAACAAACGCGCCCAACGCAATCCCTCTCAAGCCAAACAAGCCGCTCAAGAAACTCGCATCTTCGCGCGCGAATTAATTCGCGCCCGAAATACCTCCCGCAGACTCGTCACGTCGAAAGCCCAATTGCAGAGTGTGAATATGCAAGTTAATGAAGCGTTTGCGGTGAGGAAAATAGAGGGCAGTATCAAGGCGAGTGTGGGTATTATGAAGGATGTGAACAGTTTGGTGCGATTACCGGAGTTGATGGGGACCATGAGGGAACTGAGTCAGGAATTGGTAAAGGCGGGGATTATTGAGGAGATGGTTGGGGATATGATGCCTGATCAGTTGGAAGAGGAGGATGAAGAGGCGGAGGAAGAGGTTGATAAGGTACTTGGGGAGATATTGCAGGATAGAATGTCTAAGGTGGGAGCAACGCCAAATTTGCCGGCAGCGCCTGTACAAGAGGAAGTTGCTGCGGAAGAGGAAGACGAGGATGCCGAGGCTATGTTGAATCAAATGAGAGGAAGGTTACAAGCTTTGAAGAGTTAGGCGGGGAAGATGGAGAAATTGGGTTTTGTATACCTCATTTGGAGTCTGGCTGGAGTTCGGATTGGAGTTCTGGTTGAATTCGTATATGCTTAGAGGCATGTTTCTGGTGGTCTTAGCATGGATCAATACAGAAGGGTTGTTCAGAAATCCTTCCTGGTCTATTACTTTATGCATGTTTACAATATATTACATGATAATAGACATCTCTCCATGATTTAATTCAAGATGAGTAGAGCGAAGAGGTTAAGGGTGAGTGGCATGACGTCTTCGATATTCACTTCTTTTACGAAATCACATATCAGATGGTCATACCCCCAAAGGTACGCAAGCAAGCAATCAATGAATACTAGATAAAATATAATTCCTATCCTCAAGCATACCATTTCCCTTGTAAACCTCATTACTCAAATCTCCCTAGCGATAATTCATTTCAAGATTAAAAGAATATTGAGGGTAGAAGAAGTAAACATGATATCCAGTATCCATTCAAATCATCAACCCCATTATCGAATCCGGTCCATTCGTCATTCTCTTCGATGCCCATTGTCAATTCCATATCCAAGCCTAAGAAACAACAGAAGGAAAAATATATAACTCCAACTTTCCTTCCTCCCACATTCAAGAATATCGAAATTCAAATCCGAATAAATAGGCCGTTACTTTCATCTCTTCTCAATCTTCTCGTCTCATCTCACCTCGTCTTGTCAATATACCCCCCTATTAATATCTCGTCCTTTGCCCCCCATTGGGTTGAGCTTTTCTTTCCTCGTGTCCATGCGTCGAAACACAAAATGCCAAGTAAGAGAAAAAGGTATTTGGGTAAGTCCACTGAATAGTAGGAACGGACAGTCAATCAACCCCGAATGGAGGAGGATATAAAGTAATGGGAAGATCCATACATAAAATGAAAGATTCGCCAAGCAAACACTCCGAAGAAAAGCCTCGGAGAAGGAAAAAGAGGATAAAGCAGAAAATGCAAGGAAGCAAAAAAAACCCTACGGACAACATCTAAAATCCCGGATGTACAGGAGCATCAAGTAATTGCAATTCCTCCAGATATCCCTGTTCCTCTTGCATGTTCCTAATAAAGCCCTCCTCACCAGCCTCACCCCACCACCCTCTCTCAACAACCTCCTTTTTCCTCTGCCAAATCTCACTCGCTACTCCTTTAACCTGTCCAAATGCTCTTCCGGCACTAGGCCAGACTTGCCATAAAGTTTTCAGAGCCCCAGTGTTCAGTTTCAATTGTTGTTTCAAATCGTCATCATTGAGAGTAGGGTAGAGAACAGACCAACAAGAGAGATGGACTACAGAGGCAAGAGTTACGACGCAGGTGAAGAAATGTGTATGGCGGATTAAGGGAACGGGGAGAGTAATGAGTTTGGAGATTGATTGGGCGGCGGTAATAGTTTTGGAGGCGTGGATGTTGTAGTTTGAACCGGGCATGATGGGGTGGTGAGGAGCACAGGAGGTTATGGGAGTAGTGATACTACTATCTAATTCCGAGAGCTCACGGTGGAGAACAATAGTCGCGCTAAGAGGATGAGGGTTAGTTTATGTGGAAAGTCGAGGCAATGTTGTGGAAAAGGAAAGTGGTAAAAGGTTAAAGGCTAAGAGGGTTTGACGGAAGATAGATAAGTGGAAAACATACGCTTCTGTAATCATATTCGCTTGGAACAGCATCTCATCAAGCTTGCCATCACCACTGACGAGTTGTCTCTTGTTATCTGGTAGATGTAAACGAAAATTTACAAGATACGCATCAAGACGATCGACGGCGGAACTGTCAGGATGTGGATTGATCATCTTTCCTGTCAATAGTCGACCTAAGTTTCGGATCGCAGAGATACGATATGTGAAAGAGGAGTAGCTGTAATCACGATGTTGAAAATCCTCATCGTCAAAGTCTGTAAGGAAATGAGGGGATGGAATATTCTGATATTTGTCAGTATGGTAGTCTCGAAAGTTAAGTACGACGGGAAATTCTCGGGTATCAATTAGGGAGGACTCACTCCATTAATATATTCGCTCTCTTCACATGGAAGTCCAACTTCTGCGGGTATGTCCTTCATAGGAAAGAAACTCTTTTGGTGAACACCAGCAATCATGCCATCAACCACAAACATTTCCCACCAAGTACGACGCCAACTCTCTTCCAAACTAGACCAGCCATTTCCGTGCATGGAAGCAAAATCTCTTTTGTTCATTCCCAGTTGTAATGCCAACTCTTGAGCATCAGTAAGGACTTCCAGGGCCTTCTCTTGATATGTATAACCATCAAGCCCAATGCAAAGAATAAGCATTGCCTGAACTTTGAATCCATCCTTGGGACAGTCTGGACGATAAATTGCTCGTTCAGCTTCTAGACATAGCGCCGTAGTAGGTGCTTGATCTATGAAGAATGAACCCACATATCTCATAGCAGCTTCTAAGTGCTCCAGTTGTTTTTTCTCCTTGAGCAATCTAAGCAGATTATCTCTTGGGAGAAGAAATGGGTGTGCGGGCCAAAAATGATAATAAAATGCTTCGATACATTTTTGTCGAAGGTCTAATCCATTATATTGAGGTTTATTGACGTCTAAAACCGTTTGATCTCTATTAATAACATAAGACGGAGGATTTGCCGGACCGAACGGTAGCGTCTGTAGTCTATTGTCGGGAGGTGTAGCTAATCCACTGGGGATGTTGGCCGAATTACCGGTGGTATTGATGGTGGTAGATGATGTCCCTGGTCGAACTAATGGACAAGCTCTGGCATTGTTTGACTGAGTTGACGCCGATGCCGCCGTCTTGTTTTGAGCCCCATTACGTCTTGGACCCTTAAAGCCTCGACGACTTCTCACGTAAACACATTCATATTCATTAGTAGAGCATCTAGAACATGGACTAAAGCCATCGCATTTGAGGTGCTTGGAGCGACAAGCGACGCATGCCGATGGGACTGTAATCCGGTCCTTTTGATGGTCCGGAACGACTGCTAACTGTCTTTCGCCTTGTTTCTCAGGCACATAATCGGAAGTTGGTGATAGTGATGAAGCATTACTCGTCGAAGGCGTTTGGATGGGAGAAATGGAATCCATAGCTCTAGTGGTCAGATTTGATGTGGATGTGGATGAATTGCTCGCCGACCAAAACATATGAGGCACAGAAGTAGAGGTCTGCTGCATTGGAAAGTCAATACTGCAACCCTGGTACAACCCTGGTACAGAATGTCGAATGATTGATGGATATTCTATCCTTGTACTACGATATTGGATAGGAAATGCTGACTACCGTAGTAATTGTGGTACCTAGCGAGGTCCCCGATGAGCCCGAATAGATTGAGTACAAGAAGGTTTGATAAGTTTAGTACAAACACGTCAATGTTATGCTGACAGCGATGTCGTTTGTGTCAAACTGGGTCCAAGACAAATCTTTATAAAGGGTGGAGGGAGCCACGAGAATGAAATAATGTTGTGAGCTTGTGTTGGAAGATGTTGAGAAAACGGACGGACAGCCTCAATATAACGATGGGAACCTATCACTCCTGGTGCGAACAAGTTGTTATTGAATGCATGCGGAGTGGTCCATCCGTTCAATCGATTTTCTATCTGACATACAGTTGTTTAATGCGTAGGTATGCGTAGTTGATGCGTATTTGATGCGTATCTCCTTTCATTTACTTTGGAGCACAAGAAGCAAATAAATCCTATTGGAGCTGAGTCCCGAGAGTGGTTTAACCGATTTCCCTACTACGTGCACGTCCCTGCTATATGCACGATCTTGATCACCCATTTTGAATCACTTTAAAAATTAATAACAATTCCAATTTATAAGATAAAGAGCTAGCAATTTAATTGATAAATGACAAGATATAATACTATCTAAAAACATAATAAAATCTTCAGATTTTGAATTTCGATGGAACTCGTAGTGCTCGCCCTCTACTAGATCGCAATATGACCTCCTCCTCCTTCTCCTTCGAATTATTAGCCTCTACAGCATCAGAGAGCTCTATAGTCTTTGTTGATGTTAGATCTATAGTAGAAGAAGCTTTGGGGAACTTTTTATCTCTTTTGATTGGAGATTTCGTTGATTTTAGAGTCTTTTTAACCTCCTCTTTCGCATCACGTGCAATCTGACGATCAACCTCCCTCTGCAATACTCTCTCTTTCGTCTCAATCTCCTTCCGTTCCTTCTCAGCTTTCTTTTCAGCTTTTATTTGAAGCTTAGCTTCCTTCTCTTGCTCCTCTTTAAGTGCTTTATCTTCTTGATACGCTCTAGCTTTAATAATAGCAGAGGGTGACCATAAAAACGCACCATTCCCCTCCTCTCCAATGAGATTTAAACGCTTTGAACGAGCTCTTTTCCTTTTTTCAAGCTTTAGAGCCTCTTCTAAACCTTTAGATCTATGCCCCTGTATAGAAGCTTCAGCTCCTAATGTAGTTGCAGCCTTAAAAAGCTTTAAAGTGATCTCATGGGTGGGAGCGCGACGAAATTCTAATTTCATTCTACGCATCGCTTTTGACGTATACGGTGTAGCAAGAGCATCCCTGCGAGTTTTAAATGATGTAGGTGGCGTAGAAGGAGCTTCCGGAGCAATACAGTCGATCGTAAGACTCCTATTCATAGGATATATGCCCGTTTTTTCGAAGGATCGTAAGATATTATGCCTCGTACAAGTGAGCTCCCAAGCCTTTTTAAATATGCCCCAAAACATGCGCTTTGTCATACCAACAATTCCCCCGCTATTGTGCATCAAATCATTCAATAATGTACTGTAATTCGTTGAAAGGGCACCGAAGGTTCCAACGTCGAGAGGCTGTAGTCGATGTGTAGAATGAGGGGGGAGAATTAAGACAATAATCTTTAATTCATCGCATTTTGAAAGGAATTCCATATTGACATGACTAGAGTGACCATCGACAATAAGTAGACGATATCTTCCACCTGCTTTTCGACGTGTAGCAGGGTCGAATACGTTTATAAGCCAATATAGGCCAAAAGCATTCGACGACCACCCATTGCTTGAGGCTCCAAAATAGGCTTTATCCTTCTCCCCTACATCCTGAACCCATGTATTTTGTAGATCCCCTGAGTCTCCTTTATAAATAAGAGCGGGAGGGAGAGCTGTCCCATCAGCACATATAGCTGCCAGTAGAGTAATAAACTCTCTTGATCCATCTTGCCTAGCTTTTGTCACTCTGCCTCTATTATAGGCGCTAGCACTCATTATCCTCTTCATAGTCCTCCCCATACCGATCATAAAGCCCTTCTCGTCCCAATTGTATATATCTCTCGGCCGTATATCGTATTTTATGGTCACTTTTATCAACTAAATTAAAAAAAGAGGGGTATTAGCAAGAGCGTTTTAGGTAATAAAGATCAACAACAATAGAAAATAGCTCAAACCAGATCATAAAAGTAATCAAATATAGCAACATTATCGGCTTTCACACGCAAATTATCAATGCAACGGAGATACCGACTTTTAAGACGTGTTGAATGCCTCTTGACAAAATTGCTAGTCCAGTTCTTTCCCACCTCTCTGCCTAGGATCTCTTCTGCAAGGTTTCTGACTATGCGGCTTGTAGGAGGGATAGATCTCTGTGTCAGCTTGTTGATTTGATCAATTAAAACCTCCTCCTGATCACTAGAAAGCGCTTGTTTCGTATCGGAGAGGAACTGTTTTCTCGAGGTGGTTTTACCTCTATGCCGCCGGGAGAGCGTGGATCGATCAATTTTGAAGAAATTAGCTGTCTGGGTGTATTTAGGAGCTTGAACCCCTTTCAAATGATCTAATGCAAGCTCTATACGAGCCTCTAAAGGCATATCATCGATGTTTGAAGCCATAATGTTGATATTTCCAAAGTCGTGCACGTAGTAGGGACGTGCACATAGTGGGGAAATCGGTTAATTCATCATACACGTGACCTTGGTTTCTTTTTACATTGATTGATTCGGATTTCCCCTTCATTATCCGCGATTGATAAAAAACTTCCTCAGCTCTGCATTTTCCTTGCATTCAATCTGCATATAAAAGGTTAAGATTATCTCACATGGGAAACTTCCCGCCATCTGCCCTTTTCCAGCACACCATTAGAGAGAGACAAGAGAGGGCTGTGATGCAAAATCTGCCTTTTGACACCTGCATAGTTGTGGAGAATAATATCAAAAGCGATTGGGTCAGGTATATGAGCATGGCCACAATGAGGCTGGCTCGCCGGTAGATGAATCTTTATCATTTTATGATACGATGGGATAATGTCTATCTGAATTACACTCAACGGCGTTGCAGTCACTAGTCGATCATTTTGTCATTGGGCTCTTTTTCTTCATTGAGGTTGCGTGTTTCCTACAACATAGTTTCTGAAAAGCTTCAGTTTCACATACAACATCGAAGAAGGATTGTAAGCAATAAGAATTTTTCGAGCGCCATCTGCGGATCCGCGGACCTACCCCAGTTTTTCATTTGCCAGGTTTTCTTTGCCCAGCAAATATCTGTGCAGGAAACAATTCAGCAGCATCGTCTTTTGATGGAAGGGCTTCAACCGCAATTCGTTCATACTTGCCGTTATTAGACGACCGGCCCTTTTGGTTCAATCGGTTCCATATTCTAGACCACCCGTGCCGTGATTTGTTTTGCCTCGCATACCTCGGTAGTACAATCAAATTTCCCGACACACCATTTCACTTCTTTTGAAATATGGACCCAATCAGTGCTGTAGGTATAGCTCTCAGTGTAGCGTCCTTGGCTGGTCAAGTGTTTACAGGATGCATTCAAGGTATATGATTCCCTTGATCTTTAGAATCAATTTATTGGATATTGATATCATTATTGTCAGGGATTCAATTCATTATCACAGCAAAGAATGTCCCTGAAGAGTCAAAATACTACAATTTGAGACTGCGGATGGAACAGCAAAGATTATTTGCATGGAGTGAAACTTCCGGTCTGCTAGACCTTGATAATCTAAATGATCAAAAAATTCGCGAATCCAATACATTTGTCATCCATCGAACCACCATCCTAGACCTTCTTGTTCAAATCCAATGCTTGTTCAAAGAATTCGAGAATTCCCAGAGGAAGAATAAGCACCTCAAAGTTATCCCTGACTTCGTGTCAGATGAGAATTCTATCGATGATCCAGCTAAAGATGCCTCCAGTGCTCATGTACCATTGTCCGAATCGAGAAGGCAATTCATAATGAAAGCTATGAAATCCTTCAAGACCAATACCACGGATCAAATCACTGAGGGGGCGCGGCGTCTTTGGTGGACAGCCTTTGACAAGGAAGCATTTGAGATTCTTCTTCAACGTTTCTCCACTCTCAACGATAATATGACGGATATCCTTGATACCCGTTTGCAAACCGAGATTCATCGGACGACTCAGGATACAAACCGAGGTGTATTACAACTTCACAAAAATCTTTCTTCTTTATGCCAATTGGTAATGGCCCTGAATATCAAGCTGGATGCTCGAACGTATCACACACCATCGATTCCTCATGATTATGCGGATGACAACAATTCGGGCTTAAAACTCTTGTCCCAGCTTGCCAAATTCAAAGCATTTAACGAATCAATTAATCCCACGACTGGAAGTTTAACATGGGATGAGGCGACTGGAAATGCTCTTTCGCTGGGGAGACCAAATGATGAAAGGATGAGTCTCGAAATTGCTAAGTCTAGCATTCAACTTGCTCTTGAAGAGGATTCGATAGATGGAGATGCCATTAGGTGTGAGGCTACATATTCCCACGATGGTATTGACGAACCAGTATGGATTGAATGGAAAGAGTATGATTGTACTCCTGGTGCTACCTCTCCATCCCCCCTCATAGTGGACCGCGTCCAGAAACTTGCTGCACTCCTTCATCACGAACCGAAACCGGAAGCTTTCCGAGTTCCTCATTGTCTTGGATATTTTGATAACCTTACCTCCGAGCTTAATTCTCCCTCTTCCGACTCCGAAGAAGATGAACCTCCTGAGGCACGTATTGGAATTGTCTTTCGGAAGCCACAATCAATTGAGACCTCCCCTACCTCTCTTATCCAATTATTCTCGAACTGCCCCAAACCTCGAATAACTGATCGTATAAAATTAGCTCATGCCTTATCTAATTGCCTATTATATCTACATTCCGTGAATTGGCTTCACAAAGGATTTCGATCGCATAATATAGTATTTTTCCCAGTCACATCGAACGATGGTAAACGTCAAATTGTGAACTGGGATCAAGTATATTTGAGTGGCTTTGATTTTGCTCGACCAGCTAGAAAGGATGAAACGACAGAGATACCAGGAGATGGTGAAGAGCATAATATGTATAGACATCCTAGTACTCAAAATATTGGATTCGGTCCAAGAGAGAGTGAGTTGCCTTTCCAGAAATATAATGGTCAATGATACTGATTTTATTTACAGGCTACCGAAAAAGCTTCGATATATATAGTTTTGGTGTGGTATTAGTTGAATTATGTTTCTGGAAATCAATAACCGAGATCATGACTGAGATCAGTAGACGACCTTCAAAGAGAGCGAAGAATGTACAAGAAATTCTTATGGGTGAAGAGATGCTGTCGAGAATAGGAGGTGAAATGGGTGAAATAGTGGAAGAGGTCGTGAAGAGATGTATAGTCGGTGGTAAAGAGCTAGGGGTAGAGGATGGAGAAGATGAAATGGGCGACGAAAGAGTTGCCTCAAAACTTGGAATGAGATTTTTCGAAAATGTAGTCAAAAAGCTGGGCGATGTCAAAGTCTAAAAAAGGACGTACCTTGGAGTATCAATACATATGAAAGTCCAAACTGAACCAAACTGAACAGAATATCCCATAATCCCACTTTTCGGTTGAATCCTGAAACATTTCGAAACAGCACATGTTGTGCTCACAGAAACACTTTTAGATAATGCCACCGGCTGTAGATTCCATGTCCATACTTACATATATTGGATAAATGTATCTGTAAACCGACGATCTTAAGCACTGCCAATCCCCAGATGAGATTTTCTGATCACAAGATTAATCAAAAATTACCGTCATAGCCGCCATGCCCAGACTCCAATGTATCCCGTCTACCTCATAAATACTACGACTCTATAATACTACCAAAGTATATGTATGTCAGCAGTGCCAATACGTTATACAACGTTTCGACGAACTGGGAAAATAGACTCCAAGTTCCAACTTCAGACAATGGCAAGAAAACTCGCAACGTTGACGGTAAAATGTAAGCGAAAGCGATATCACATTCATCCCGCACTTACCGCGAATATCGAAGATCGTTAAGTATGCATTTTATATATGTAATCACGGCTCATCATGGGCACAAATCCGTGAGTAGAATTGATCTACATAAACATACTCAAGCATGCAGGTAGTGTAGACGCGAGGTTCAACTCACCATCAAGCCATGAAGTGCACGAATTGACACAGCATAGATTATATGTAAATCCATCTTAACATAATCTCACATATATGTAATGTGCGTAGTAAACACAGCATGAGTGCCTCGAGAGTGAGTGCGTACCTGGACTGGAAGCGTACGAAATATAGACTGGGATCAAGTCGGGCGGTTGAGAGTCGTATGATTTGGCGTTGTACGGCATAAAATATGTACTTGGATACGTATATGGATTTCTCTTCGGATACTTGAATTTAGACATCCTTCCAACCGTTTTTTCGTCAAAAGGTGAGTTTGAAGATCCACGCAAAGTTGTGTAATCAAAATCCCCAACAGTCATCGAAAACTCCATCGCTGTCTTTATAATCAGTATCTCATCGTTCATCACAAACCATCTAAACTCTTCTCATATCTACCTTAACTACCCAATTCATAACACAAACACCCTTCTCATCCCTTCCGTACACCCCCGGAAGAAAACAAATCAACAGTACAACCCTATAGGCGCAGTCAAAACGAGAGTCAAAACGAAATACTCTACCACTCTGTACTCGACCTGTATCACTCGTATGACTTGTGTAACATATACTCGAGTCGGCTGAATCCGGATAAAGTTCCTATATGCTGTGTTTGGATATATATTATGTATAGATTAATATTTGGGGCTATACACGCAGCATCTGAATGGGTGAATGGATGTGGTGATACCGTGGGGTGAGGTGATGAGGAGATGGCTTGCTTGGTGAGAGACGGGTGAAGAGATAAGATGATGTGGTGAAGGCTCGAGCGTACTGTAACGTCTGGCTGAATGTTTGTGGATGGATGGGTGAATGATGAGGAATGTGTACGTGAAGAGACGGATGACGATTATACTACGATATGTATGTTATAAGTTCCAAAGTTGGTGAAAGTGAGATCATGATCAATGATTACTGATTAAGTGTCTTCGGTCAGGCTTTGGGTATTGATAACTTACTTTCCTACGCTACAATATCACTCTTTGATTTGATGAATTGAATTGAAACGATGTTTTATAAGAGAGGAGAAATATATACAGCCTTGCTTCATATACTATCGAAAATCCAGAAATATATACATAGCAAAAGGCATACTAAACAAAACAACTCTTGAAACCCCAAGGATAATCCATATAAACAATTCCTCACACTTATTACTGTACAACACTGTGTCCGCATGACATCTGACCACCACACTTCCCAAAGCTGCCACCACCCGTGCCGCGTTCTGGTACCTCATCCCCAATCAAGTCACATCCAAGCCACTTTTACATCTCCAAATCCCAAAACATTTCCATTCTGGTCAATTCATTCACTAAGTTGTGCTTTTATCGTCTAAAATACATAGCACCCAAGCCCAAAATCCTATATACAAAAATGATTGCAATTAAAATACCTACCCATTCACCGGTCTTGCCGGTTTTATATCCACTGTGCTTCGTCAGTAAAATTCTAATGAAAATCTAGATTGTGTAGGAGGGAGCAAAACTTACTATTGATCTAAAACTCCCTTACCACTAATTTTACATTGAGGTGCGAGATCGGTGATGTACATGCATTGACAGGAAGTTCCGCAAGTATAGTCTCTTTCTGAAAACTCATTAACCATCATTCCTTGGAAAACGTACGTCTATTGGTATGCATTAGCATTACTGTTGTATCATGACCACGAGTGGTACAAAGTATCTCGATAAGAGATTAGAGATTAGAGATTAGAAAAAAAAGAGAATATACCTGATAATCAATGTAATGAAATACATATCTCCAAAACACATTAAGAATTTGTGGAGGTACCAAGAAACCACCGACGCTCATCCATAGTCCATTTGCAAAAGCAGTGAGAGCAAGGGATATCACAAATGAAGGAAATAAAGAGGATATAAGAACGACAAGTGATTCAGCAGCGAGAAGATCGAGAAACAACCACATTATCCATGTGAAGAAGGCAGGAGCTGTAGGTCGAAAATTGTTGAGAAAATATGTTGTCACCGAGAAGAGAAATGATATTAAAACTGAATGCAATGTTAGTTGAGCATCAGAAAACATAAGTGTGAACATACATAGATAAGGTAAGCCAATAATGAAGTTCGAGAGCATGAATGCTGTAGGTCCATAAAGACCATTTGCTCGCTCTTTGATAAATGTAGAACGATCTTCGAGAAAAGATGGAACATAAGCGACAGCCATAAAAGACATGAAAGCTGAGCCAAAGAACTAGCATTCGTTAGTCATAAAAATGTATCCCTTGAAGAACATAGTACTCACAATAGCATTGATGAAAGGTTGAATTTCACTTTGATCCGTTTTAAGACGTAACCAAACTGTACCCATCATGATAGCAAGCCCCATATACATCGCAATACGAATACCATATGCGACCACATCTCGGTAACTCTTGATGAATGCTCTGTGTACCAATGTCATCAATATATTGAAAAATCCCCCACGCGAGGAATTGGCCACGGGTAAAGGCTTGACATGTTGCAGTGTGTGCTGAATGTTATCATGCATTTGTCGAAAAGTGGACGAAACTAGCCAAGATTGATGAATTTGTAGTAGTCTTGCCTGTGATTGTGACTGATTGTCTGCAAAATCGGTATTCATAAGATCAAGGAGGTATTCAGAAGCATTCATGTGGAGTGGGATCGGATATCCTATGGATTCGAAATGTTGATTGACTTCTGAGACAGGACCAAAGTAATGCGATTTTCCTCCGGATAATAATAATAACTTGTCGAATAATTGGAAAGTAGAGGTTGAAGGTTGGTGAATGCTTGCTATAACAATCAACTAAATGATCAAGTCAATATAAATCCTTAACAATGGTGGCAATAACTAACATTGTTTTGTTTTGCAACCTCTTTGACAAAAGACATCACTTCCCAACTTGCTGCAGAATCCAACCCAGATGTAGGTTCATCCAAGAAAAGAATTTTCGGTCCAGTGATGAGTTGACTGGCAACACTAACTCGTCGTTTTTGTCCACCACTAATACCTTTCTGAATTGGTGTTCCAATAATGGTATGTGCCTGATTGCGAAGACCGAATGACTTTATCAAGCCTCTAATCCGTCTTATTCGCTCACTTTTCGTCAATGAACTAGAGAAAAGTTAGTTTGTAAAATTGTAAACCGAGAGCTAGGAATTATACCTTTTATGAGCAAGACGAGCCGCAAAATTCAACGTTTCCTGTACTGTCAAAGAGCCTATGAGAGCATCCTCTTGTTCAACATATGAACTCATATCTCGAAAAACACCTTTAGACGGACTTGATCCATTGACCAGTGTCTTTCCCGTCACAACCGCTTTCGCAGCTGCATTTCTATGAGCCAAAACATTCAACAGAGTAGTTTTTCCGCAACCACTTGGTCCCATCAAAGCACATATCTCTCCTACAAACATATTAGTGATCCACCATTTCTCTGAGCTAACCATGCCAAATAGAATTACTGACCAGCTTCAACAATACCGCTAACATCATCTAGAATCGCTTTTGATTCTTTCGTTTTATTGTCCTTCACAGTAACCGTCACATCCTTCCAAATAAAATTCCGAACGGTAGTATTGTTTAGATGAGTATCATCAACGGCGGACAATTCAACATCAGTCATGAATTGAGTGCGATGTTCCATATCATAATCTTGCTCAGCCTTTCCCGAAGCTTGTGAAAGTGTGCTGCTGGTCGTGTCTGTCATAGTGTGATTCGACTCAAGCTCGAATTTGTCCAAGTCCCTCTGGAAAGGTATCCCGATTCCGAATGATTCACAATTCTCGAGTGTTGACTTCTGAACTTCCCGAATCCTGGTTGGATGATCGTTCCGAGTCTTGATGGAACTCGGTTCTTCGAAATCTTGTCGATCTTGAAGACTTGGTAGTCGAGGAGAATCGAATGGAGAAGTAAAAGGGTTGTTATCTCGGAATTGAGAATTAAATTGACTCAGAGGAATATTTGAAACTATGTTGTGAGACTTCGATTTTTGCCAATGAGTTTGATTTGACCCTGTGTTCGAACGACATTGAGACCTTTCTCCAACGTAGGGTGCACAGCTTTTATATTCCATATTTACCCTTCCGATATTGACGATTGCACAGTCAATTGTGTGTAATACAAAACTTAAAATTCCAAACTGAGCTAGGTATTATTCAGCCTGTCTGACAACATAAGCCAAAGTATTCCAGCTCTGACACGGTGATACCGTACGATATCGCAACACAAGGAAACGTCCGAAATACGAAGCGACCTTAGTATAAAACTTACTATGGAGAATTCGCCGATCGGAGAATACAAACCTTATAGTAGATTAAAAATTATATGAAGTCAGGCAACAGTTATATTCCAACATTAATCTGCAGGTCCCCGATTCCTGTGGGAATAATGTAAGCGCGAAGCATTTGGTGGGGTAATTGAGTACCACTCGAGCCACTGAATACTTTCCTGGGAATTGGGGATTGAGGAATTGGTAAAGGTGGGGCAAAAATAACGATCGTGCATTTATACCAAGCCGCCTTACTGGCTCTATCTTCAACTTGCTAAGGCTTAGCGAGGTCCCCGAGAAGAATTAGAGGTAGTAGGTAAGCGTAGTAAGCTACTACCATACCATTGACTTCCAAAGATACTTCGCCGACGCGGCATTCAATAGAGCTTTGACGTAAGTAATAAGCCGGAAAACAAAGGTATAGATACATACAAAGACAACAATATACTAAAAGATAACCATGTGAACTCATGAGAAATGTTAAAAAGGTCCCCTAATCAATCAGTTTGATTCCGATGAGGGTGATTTTGGAAGAAAACTATGTCAAAGTCGTCAGATTGCTTGGCTCCGTTCCTGATTCGTTGCTTACAATTCTCATTCTTCATGGCGGTTAAAATCGTTATCATTGTTTTGTAGTGATGTAAGAAACCTAAGACTAGGGTGCATATAATAAAGATTCCATGCAACCACAACGCTTATTGTACTAGCCGTTGAGTATACAGTATGCAATGTCGCCGACCAAATCAAGGTATTTTGGCTTTGTTAATTATACCGGCTGCGGAATAAACGCGTGCAGTGTCGCCGACCGGAGCAGATGATCTTGACTCATTCAACGGCGGAAAATGGTGGAAAAAAGGGTTTATGGAGATGAGAATCAAACGTCAGAAGTTGGTACAGCAAAACTGAATCTTTCGTCCATACATTTCTTAGAGCACCAACTTCCTAATCCATAACGATTTCCATACCCGGAATTTTAAATCCCCCTTGGACCAATTTTTGAAAAGTTCCTTGAGGATCATACTTCCTACTCAGGGCTCTCATCTTCTTAATATTCTCCTCACCATACCCCACCAATGGATTTTGCTTTTGGCCTGCATAATTGAGATAGATAAAAGGATTTGTAACTCCAAGATTCCCCGCCACCGCATTGATCTCATCAACCGTAGCATAAGCTGCATCAGTGAACTTTTCATCATCCGAAGCTTCAAGCCAAGTCACATAGACCAAAAAGAGCGTCAAATTGTCTTTATTTCGATCCACACCCATAATATTTCCACCACTTGCTACTGAATATTCACTGACCATAAGTGGGATAGGTTGAAAGAGAATGGACCACACAAGACCTGTAGTGTTTTTGAAAGGTTCCAAATGCTTGTTTGAGATATTCACGGCTCTTTCGTACATTTCCGCACTGTTCGAAAAGGTCGTAGTGACGAAAATATACCTAGAATTCAAAGTCGAGGTACCGCCCGCAAGCTCATCAGTCAATGAACTCACATTCGTGATTCGCATTGTGCTAGATATCAAATTCGGAATTGTCAATACATCGGAGTATATAGCTGGAGCTTCGACTGGTGCGACATAATCAATAACATTAAGGATACTCTGCGAACCAGAAACTTGTCGATAGGACCATATATCAAGAAAATTAGCCTTTGGATCATCCGATATATGATTGGTGAAATTGGTGAAAAAATTGATTTGGGCTTTGGCCGTGCTGATTGGATAGGTCATGATTCCTCCCCATAACTTTTCGAAAGGGAATGACTCCAGGTCATAGCGAGTTACGATACCGAAGTTGTTACCTCCTCCTTTCAATCCGACGAAAAGATCTGAATTCGAAGTGGCGTTCACATTAATAATTGAACCATTTCCAACCACAAGCTCGAAGTTGATAACAACAGTATCCGCCACGAAACCTTTTTGGGGCGCAAACCATGAGTAACCACCTACAAACGAATTCATGTGAGTTATCTCTACAGTTTATTCTTTGCTCTGAAGGCGACTTACCTCCAACAACCAAACCGCCGATTCCAACCAGAGATGCTCTACCACCAGAGACCATCATACCCTCAGTTTCCAGATACTCATAAATTTGTCCCCACTTCAATCCTGCAATTTTTATCCACCGATATGGTATTAAGCTTAGCCAGATCAATAGTGACTCCATCATTGGTTGATGCCGCTCCAGCAAATGGTGTATGACCGTCTCCCTTCACTGAGAATTGACACTGCCATCGAGTAAGAGTTCTCACCACTGCAGCCACATGTTCTCTAGTAGTTGGATGTACAACACAGGTTGGTTTATCATCGCGTGCTTGGCCAGACCAAAAGCCGTAAATGGTGGCATTATAAGCTTTACTATTCGGTGCAGCCGTGATATTGGATTTTATTATAGAACACTGAGATCATCCAGTCAATTCCACAGCCGAAGTAGTTGATGGATTCCAACTTACACATTCACTTGAAGAAGCTGCTTTGGTGAAACCCAAGGTGAATACAATCAACGCAACTCGTAGGAGCAACATTTTTCGTAAGGCGACTGTTACGAAACATAAAAATCAAGGAAAATATGTTGTTAAGAACACCGTATGATATACCAGATGCACTGCCAAGTGTCCTTTGAAATACACGACATTGTATCAAAGACTTTCGTATCATTTACCCGTTAGCAAATGAGTGAGTGTATTTTGAAGCAGCCCCTCATCATCAGTGGACTCAAACTACCCCATTAGGTTGCTCGTGCATCTTTTCCTGAAAAGCCCGGCCAGCTCATATATCATATTCAAACTTTTGAACATTCTAGCTACTTGAGAAAATAAGAAGCGTACCACAGCAACTATACAGTGATACCTAGGTATGCAAAGAGAAATAAGTATTCACTGACAGTTCAACTTTTCAAAATTGAATCGAAATTACAACTCCGTAAAATGATCACGACATTCCCGCTAATACTAATAAAGAAAGATCTATAGGCAGAATTTGAGATATGTGAATGGCTCAATTTACACCGCTCACGTGCGAAATTATACAACTCTCGTTTTGTTGCACATCTGAATTGAGTCGCTGTAAAAAATTGAAGTGTATTAAAAAATTACACTTCAGCTCAGGCCCTTCCCCGGAAATGCTACCAAACATCACCGGGAGGTTTAACGGAGGTCAAATTGTATTCAAGACCGTCACCAAAATTGGTACAAGCACATATGATACGACTATCATCTTTCAATGCCAGTGAAAAGTTGAGAATCACATTCAAATACCTAGTTTAATCCACATATTACAATCTCCATCTAAGCCTCGAGCAATCCCCTTCCCCAGACGCTCCTGAATCTTGATCCGCTAGTGACACTCACATGATCTTTTGCATCATTCAACTCACCTTTGGGGTTGACAACTTGAGATACCCATATACAAGCATCAGTTCCCAACACGTCACTGTTACGTCTCACATATTTTCACCTTATCGACATAGTTTCCCTCCAGAGTGGACCTGTGATTAAATTCTGTACACGCCTTGCTATGCTCTTTTATTTTGAAGAACACAGGTGAGTAGGCCACTGCAAGAGGATCAGGAAGCTCCTGGAAAGAACCATCGCCAGTTCATTAACGCGAAACCTTCCAATCTGTAAGGAATGATGATGTTCATGATACTAATAAGCTTAGCATATCTTCCAACTGATGAAAAGAGAAGGTAGAACACGAAGAGGAACTGGTATCCTGCGATATATAAGTGTTATACCGGCAGTTATATAACAAGCTCATGATATCATGATAAGAGATCGAGAAAAAGGAAGGAGTAAATAGACAGTTCGAGTCATCGAGAAGAAAGTGATGTTGTTTCCATCAAAAGGGATAAGAGTAAAAGATCGACCGGCATAGTATCATCCCCATGTCAGACAATATCTTCAATGAAACTGCATACTGTACCTTTATCCGAGCTAACACTTTCTCCACAATCGATATGGCTATATTGAATCCTTCGGCTTGATGATTGAGTAGCATGTGATCATGGCCATAGCATGTATGACGGCCGATTGCCGATTCCAAGCACCCAAATCCCAACTCGGGTTCCCGTCCGCAGAATCCTAGCTTCCATGTGCCAACGATCCATCCTACACATTCCACTCCTTACTCGTTCTCTCAATTCCTTCAGACCAGGTAGGAAAAGAGCCGCGTCGAAAAGATAAGATAGCAATGTTCTTTATCTGAAATTGATAGAAACCCCGGTTGTGCTTTCTTCTACCTGCATGTGCATATTCGCAGAATCCAGATTATGCAGTACAACATTGAAATTCCCATCATCATCAGAGGTATTTGGAATTGCATTATAATCAGTCCTTTTGATAGTTCATCATGAAGGATCATACAATTCTTTAAGCTACCCCTCCACACTCAAGAAGTCCTGCTGCTTTTATCAACCAAGTTGGACCCCAGCATGTTATGGAATGCCGCATTTACAACAACAAGGGAACAGCTGTGTCTTTGGGAACAAGTCGGACCTGCTAGCTTCTTGAGGTAATATCGAAGCTATTCGCAACAGAAGCACTGCAGATATCACATGTTCCTGCTAGTCAGTCTCGGACCTTGGTACGTTCTAGCTATCTAGTAGTAAGTCTGGAGCTCTCCGACAAGTACAGGTTACAGACTTTCAAACTTTACCAGCGATATCGCAAGGAATCCACTTGGTTCATCCCTTCCATGCTTTATAAAATAATTCAACAAACACATGAAAAGGAATTTTATCCTGCAACAATCTAGATAATAATAAAACCACACACAATTAAACCAAACCGTGAAAACACAAGAAAATAATAAGCCCCATTCAAACATTCATGCATCAATCTCCCTCTTCTCCCAACAAAAAGCAACTCGCAAGAGTTTCAAAGACGCTCAGACCATTCCCCAAATTCGCACTAGTAAAGAAAAGACTTAATTCTCATGCTTACCTAATCCACATGTTGCCCTGCCAAACCGTTCGAGCACCATCGTCATACTCCAAATTATCGAGCATCAATATAGATTCAGAATAGACGATACCATCAACATCACTCCATCTTCACATATACCAATACTCACGAATATACTACTAGCTCACCATCTGAACCTTAAAAGTATCATCCAAACCAACCACCACCAAAACAACAATCATGCCCACCACCCGTCGCAGCAGCGGCCCCGCCCAAAAAGGCACTCAAAAAACCCTCTCCTTCACCAACACCTCCAAGATCTCCAAAGCGGTCAGCACCCCCACCACACTCAAAACCAAATCTTCCATCACCAAGCTCCCAGACCTCACCGAGATCACCAAGGCCCCGTCCCCCTCCCCCGCATCCCCAGATCTCAAACCCACCACCCTCCCAACCACCTCTCCCAAACCAATCTCCCAACCCAAACCCAAAGCCCAAACCGCCCATCAAACCCTCCAAACCACCCTCGCATCCCAAATCTCCGACGCCAAGATCCGCAAATACTGGAAAGCGCGTGAAGATTTACGTTTAGCGCCTCGAGTACACCAGAAAGATTTAGAAATCAGTGAGAAGATATTGAGGGAATGGGATTGTATGAGTCAATTTGGTGTATGCATCTATCTCCTTTCCCCTGAAAAACACAACTACGATAACTAACAATCCTCCAGCCCGCCATCGGCATCTCCCGCACCAAACGCTGGCACCGCGCCTCCAGACTCGGTTTAAATCCACCCCTCGAAGTTCTCGCTGTTCTCGTCAAAGAAGAAGAAAAGAAAAACAAAGCTGTAGAAAGAGCGTATGTGGATGAGTTGATGGGGGCGAAAGGAATCATTGGAGGGGATGCGGTGTAATTGAAATTATGGAATGTAGAGTTCTTTTGGGAGACACTGAGATGAGAATCAAGGAACTGGAGAAGCAGGGACGAATTACCTAGAAAGGGAGTGAGAGAGAGGGAGAGAAACCTTTAATCTGGGGGATGGGAAAGAAGAAATTACGAGAACTGGAGTGTACGATATGGCACGACATGCTATGATATGGGAGGATCCTTAAAATAGGATATACACGAACTGGAATGGATGGGTACATGCGCATGGGATATGGTCAGGCGTTAAGGGATTCTCTTACTTCTTCTTATGTTACAATAAAGCGGATTTGAGTTCATATGTATTGAATATATCAAGATGAAATATCAGGATGAAATATGAGCTATGAATATTGAACATGGACAGGATATCAATTAAAAAACCTGCTTCTCTATGATCACAGCTTGGACTTTATCGTGTTGACCTTTCTAGCTTGGGCATCACCACAAGAAGTAAGATTGTCATTTAGTTTCACTACGACATAAAAAAAAATTCATACAAAAACTCTAAAACACCTCATTGATTCATCATTTTAATTTCATTTCCATTAAAAAATTCTTGCTCTATAGCAATTCTTCATCTACTACATGATTGATCTTAAAAACTCCACTCATCCAGCATGTTTTGGATCAGAAAAAAATAAGTATTCCTTGTAAGAAGTAGGAAGCATGCTCTATAACTTCCACCCTTTGAATTCATCCGCGTTTACAAAATTGTCTCCTGGTTAACCTCAACCTTACATCTGAACCTCAACACGACCCTCAGAACCAGGTGCACCTGATGACAAAGATGGCAAAAGGTATGTAATATCATCCCAAGGATGTCTGTAAAGACCAGTGCGCAATCTCTTTTGATCAAGGTAATGAGCAATCAAACCAATAGAACGTCCAAGAACGAAGAGACCGTTCAAGACACCCATCTTCATGTAATCTTCAGCCTCCTCTGCACTGAATGCACCACAGTTGCGCATTAAATCAACGAAGCAGACGGCAACAGCACCATCAACGTTCAAGATCAAGTTATCCTTCTTGGAGGTGGTGACAGACTCAACAGCCAAAGCATAGTCGAGCATCTTGCAACTTGGGAAACGCTTCTTGACAAACTCCTTAACGAGCTCGACACGGAGATCTGGGTTGTTTCTTGACTTGACTTTGTGTCCAATACCTGGGATGAGTCTGTTTTGCTTTCTCATGGTGTCGACGAAATCACGTGGGGAAAGACCCTTGTCAAAAGCTTTGGTGAACTCCTCAGCGGCACCATCGAGAGCACCACCGAATCTAGATCCGATAGTCAAAAGACCAGAAACGAGAGCAGAGATAAGATCCTTTCCTGCTCTGGTAGTAATGATGGTGTTCATGGCACCAGAAACAGCTGGACCGTGATCGGCAGTAAGCATAAGAACCATTTCGAGGAACTTGCTTGCGTAATCTGGGAGACGACGACGGAACCACAAAAGAGACATGACACCACCAATTCCAATATCCTCCTTGAAGACATCAGAAATTGGCATACCGGCATACAAAAGTTCTTGTCCACGATCATCAGAAATGGTAGAGATGAATGCAGCAGGTTTACGGATAAGACCAAGTTCTTGAGCCCATGAGTAATCGATTGGGATCTTTGGTACAACTGGCTCAGGTTGTGGGACAATGGTTCCAGCTGCAACAAGCTTCTCGTAAACAGAAGCGAGAACAGTTGGCATGTCTTCAAAGGTATCTGGAACGTGGAAACCAGCCTCCTTCATGGACTTGTTCTTGGTAGCAGCAGTCTCGAGCTGAGAGTTGGCAAATGAACCAGCGTGTCCGAATTGGACCTCAGTCTTGAACATGCTTGCGCAAGTACCAATAGCCCATGCGACAATTGGCTTTGTGATAGTTCCGTTCTTAACGGCCTCAATAACTCTGTATTCCTCAACACCACCAACTTCTCCTAACAAAACCAAAATTTTACATTCTGGGTCGGCTTGATATCTGAGGAGATGGTCGATAAAGGTTGTGCTTGGGTATCTGTCACCACCAATAGCAACACCCTCGTAGACACCATCGGTTGTGTTGGCAATAATGTTGTTGAGCTCGTTGGACATACCGCCAGATTTGGAAACGTAACCAACGGAACCCTTTCTGTAAAGCTTAGATGCAACAATGTTGTCCATCATACCACCAGTGTTACCAATCTTGAAGGATCCTGGCTTGATACCACCGACAGTAGCTGGGCCGATAATTGTAACGCCCTTCATTGCAGCTGCGTGAAGAATTTCACGGGCACGCTAAATAATTCATGAGCACTGGATCGAAGGAATTGGAGATAGAAAACTTACTCTCTCAGGTACACCCTCAGCAATGATGGCAATTGACTTAATTTGTGGGTATTGCAAAAGATCCATGGTAGATTGGTAAACACTACGCGATGAAGCAAAGTTGACAACAGTATCAACATCCTCGTGCTTAGCCATGGCCTTTTCAACATCTTGGTAAACTGGGAGCAAAGTTTCACTGGTACCCCAGTACATCTTGCTAACGAATTGACCACCGAATGTATAAATGATACCTGCAACCGAAGGAGTCTTTCTCTTGCAGATGAAGTCGAAATCGAGCATGCCTTGAACAGCTCTTGGTTGCAGACCGTAAACGAAACATCTCGTCTTGTCGTGGAAAAGGGTATGTTCAGCTCTTGGGCTCAAAGGTCTGGAGGGAGCAGCAAATCTACGGATATTGTCGTTGGCATTGCCTTGAGCACCGGATGCTGTAGCGGAAGGCATGGTGAAAGAGGAAGTAATGAACAAAAGTCTGAATGTGCGGAACAGTAAATTGTTAGTCAATTGAAGAAAACTTCTATACGGCCCAAAAAGGAAATAGTGATTATGGTGGTGTGGTGATTGGGCTGAACGGAGGAGAGAACGAATGAGTTTGGGGAAGTCCGTATACGGAGGAAGGAGGAGACAGAAAGATAAGAAAAAGAGGGTAGAATATGAGCTTACTTGGTAGAGACTCGAGAGATTCAAGGAATCTTTTCTTCAACCGACTTTAATCTTCGACGGTGTGGAGTTTTAAGAGGAATCAAGAGAATAGAGAAAGGGAAATCCGTACGTAAACAAAAACGTAAGGAAATCTAGTAATTTCGTTATTCTAAGTGTAATGAGAAGACACACAACTTGAATACTTTTCAAAGTACTTTTGTGATGTATGAAGAGGAAGTAGAAGAGGAAGAGGAGGGTATTTTGAGATTGAATGAAAGGGTGACAACTTACCAGAAGAGATTGGGGGGGTTGGTCTGTAATAGAATAATTGAAGAGAGAGAGAGAGACACACACACACACACACAAGTGAATCCTTTTTTTTTTTCCAAACAATTCCTTTCGAAATCTTTCGTTGACCACTGAATTGAGGGCCGATATTTGGAGTAAGGATTGGTTGAAGTTCTTAGCTGAATACCCAAAAGGAATAGAGGGGAGTGGAAAATAATGAGCTCGGACCGGAGTGTGTGATATGCGTCCAGAGTAAGACAGTCTGGAGTTAAAGTGGCAATGGATTTGTGAATATCAGGGCTCGAGCAGGGCATCCAGGTTTGGCCTTCTAGCGTATTCGACAGTCTATCCTCTAAGCCCTTTTGAGCCATGTCCCTTGATAAAATATGTCGGCGTTGAGTAGATTCCGATGGTTGAGAGCCAATGAAAAATGGAATCCTGGGTTAGTTAGCGTCCCAACGACCACCAAAATCATGAGAACCCCATATTTTTGAACTTGATAGTTGAACATGCTCGCCATAATGCTAGTTTCCATAGTTTCCATAGTTTCCACCGCTAGCTCCCCTTATTAGTCAGTCTCTCCATAGTAGTCAGTGGCCAACTCGCAGGGGGAATGTCAAGTCAAACCTTTTAGTTCCTTCAACATACCAATAACATGCAGATTCCTCAAACCAGTCCAATAAATCACCCGAAAACACACGCCATCTTGTCCAAAGGAAAGGGACCCGCTTCCATTCAAGGGACCTCATCTGGAACCACCCACCACCCACTGCCACCACACCCACTGCCACCACACCACACTTAACTTATTACTATCCCACGCTTTTCCATCCTTTCCACATTGAGAAGAAGTAAAACAAAGCAGCCAGCACTGGTACAAACAAACAGTTCAGAATTTTAAATAAAAATAATAAAAATAATAATAATAAAAATAAAATTCACTCACTCATTAAATGTAAATCTGGCCGATCTCCGTATTCGCTGCTCTTACTCAATCCCAATATTCATCCAGCTGGTCCTTTCCAACCCACCCCTCCCCTCCTCATAGAATTTCTATTTCATTCTCCAAAAAGAATTAGGAATCTCCGATTCATTTTCAATATCTTCCCCCTCCGCAAAATTAGAAAAGGAAAAAAACACCTTAGAAAGAGAGAATATAGATTCCATCTTTCCAGTTTAATTCCATTTCCCTCTTTTCGAAAAGAATTGAAATCTTGGTCGTCTTAATTCTTTGACCATTTTTCTTACCTTCCATTGATAGAATACCCCTTTGGTACGTATATTCTTAACTTTTCCCCCCCTCTCCGGTGTTTACTTTTCATTTTGGTGCGGCTTCATATCGCAACCGGTATAACCATCTTCTCGGTCTCGCTCTTTCGCTGTCCGAGTTAAAGGACTGGTCTGTTGAACTATCTCTCACCGACTCGCCTCATCAAGCTGAAAAGTCCGTTGTTTAAGTTTTGTGAGTTGGCATGATCTGCATGGTGTTGAGATTTTCGATGGTCCAGCCCTCCAATTGCGTTTGGGAATTTGTGCTTGACCATTTGAGGATTCGGGGCTTACAGCTGTCGAGGCTTGTAAAGCACCAATCTGCAGCTTTTGAAAATCTTGAAATTTCCTATCAATTTCATGTCATTTGAAATTCCCAGGACCTTTTTGTGCTAATCTGGAATTTCAACAGTAAACTCATCAATTTTCATACTTCAAAATGTCTGCCAAAGCAATCACCGAGGCCGACGGAAAGGCTATTCTCAACTACCACCTCACCAGAGCTCCCGTTATCAAGCCATCTCCTCTCCCAAAATCTGCCACTCACAACCCTCCTTCGAAGCTTGCTTCTTTATATTTCCCAGCTGATGCTGAGGTCTCATCAATCCTCGATCAAGCAGAAACCTTATACCCATGGCTCCTTGTTCCAGGTTCCAAATTCGTCGCAAAGCCTGATCAATTGATTAAGAGAAGAGGCAAGAGTGGTCTTCTTGCATTGAACAAGACTTGGCCAGAAGCAAAGGCATGGATTGCCGAGAGAGCAGGAAAGCCAGTCACAGTTGAGACCACTGTTGGAACTCTCCGTCAATTTTTGGTAGAGCCATTCGTACCACATCCAGAAGGAACCGAATACTATATCAACATCAACTCCCAGAGAGAGGTATGTACCATTTTCACATTCCCACTTTTGGAGTGTAGATTTCGTCAGAGGGAGTTTGCAGCAAATCTTGTTTTTTGGAACAATAAATAAACCGATGTTTGAGTAAATATCGAAAAGTAAAGATTTTGAGTTTATACAAGATTTCAATATTCCAACATTTGCAGTGGGATTCATCAGTTCTTTATTGCTTCTCATTTACCAATGGTTCGGAAGCACAAACGGACGAAAGGAAGCTAAGGAACCGATTCCAACCTCCCCCTGGTCCATAACTCTCCTTATCAATTTCTCAGAGCATGCGAGTTCAAGTCCGGCAGATTTATTCGGAAGACGCGCTGCCTATCGTCATTTATGCTACTTTCACTCGCACAATTTTCATAGAGCTTCATAGCATTATGTACATGCTCACAATGTAAATCCACGTGCTAATAATTTTTCTTTCTAGGGTGATTGGATTCTATTCACACACGAGGGAGGTGTCGATGTTGGTGATGTCGATGCAAAGGCCGAAAAATTGTTGATCCCAGTCGACCTTGCCGAATACCCTTCAAATGAAGAAATCGCTGCAGGACTTCTCAAGAAAGTTCCACAAGGTGTGCACAACGTTCTGGTCGACTTCATCACCAGATTATATGCTGTTTACGTCGACTGTCAATTCACATACCTTGAGATTAACCCATTGGTTGTCATTCCTAACGCTGAGGGTACCTCTGCTGAAGTACACTTCTTGGATTTGGCCGCTAAGATTGATCAAACTGCTGAGTTCGAGTGTGGTGTCAAATGGGCTATTGCACGTTCACCTGCTGCTCTCGGTATGGCCGCTGTTAAGGCAGCTGATGGAAAGGTTAACATTGATGCTGGTCCACCAATGGAGTTCCCAGCTCCATTCGGTCGTGAATTGACCAAGGAGGAAGCATACATTGCTGAACTTGATGCCAAGACTGGTGCATCTCTCAAGCTTACAATTTTGAATGCCAACGGTAGAGTTTGGACTTTGGTTGCTGGTGGTGGTGCTTCCGTCGTTTATGCCGATGCTATCGCCAGTTCTGGATTTGCTGATGAGCTTGCCAATTATGGTGAATACTCTGGTGCACCAACTGAAACCCAAACTTTCCACTACGCCCGTACTGTCCTTGACCTCATGCTTCGTTCACCAATTACTCCAGAAGGCAAGGTTCTTTTCATTGGTGGTGGTATTGCCAACTTCACCAATGTCGCTTCCACATTCAAGGGTGTTATTCGCGCCCTTAGAGAAGTCAGCAACTTATTGATCGAGCACAAGGTTCAAATCTGGGTTAGACGTGCTGGACCTAACTACCAAGAAGGACTAAAGAACATCAAGGCAGTTGGGCAAGAATTGAAGCTTGATATGCACGTTTATGGACCAGATATGCATGTTAGTGGTATTGTTCCTTTGGCTTTGGTTCCAGGACGTCTTGCAGAGAGTAAGATTAAGGAATTCAGTGGTTAAATTTGGGAAGAGATGAGATATGAACATTTTTGACATTCTTCTTCGAGGGCATTTTTGTTTGGCTATTCCAAGCAAAGGTAGCACAATGGCGTACAAAGCTTGCTTAAGAAATTAACAAATAGATACTCGTAATCGTGACCATTTTTCTAGTCTTAAATGATGCAACTGTGATTTGTGATAATTTGTGTGGTGATATAATAGTATTGTTTGTGGCCTCCTCGAATTAACTATAAATAGGAACCTAAATATGCATAGGTGATCATAAATACATAGAATTTCTCATGGGATTTTAAAACGAATCCACACGCTTCAATCGTCGATAGTTCCATGTTGTTATACCCAAACACTAAGAGCGAGCTAGAAACAAGCTCTGGCACGTGATATGCATCATTCCATACCTCTTAAGTTGATCTTCCCTTTCTTTCGAAAATCCAACACATGATCAATTCGATCCGTTGAAGTTGAACACCCGCCCCGGATTTATAAAAACGGTTTGTACGGTTGCACAGGCTTTCCTGATATCTTTGTACACGGTTTCATACGAGTACTTTGGGTCGGGGGAAGAATAGAGTAGAGTAGGATAGAAAAGAGAAGGAGGAATTTGTTACTTGTGACTGTGGGGTATAGGGTAGGGTAGATTTGGGTAGGATTGGATTGGATTGGACTGGACTGGACTGGATTGGTTTATTTGATTTACTCGATTGGTTGATTGATTGAGCTTTTGATTAGGCTTTTGGTTCGATACGTGAGGATCGAGTGAGGTTTGAGGATTTTGAGGTTTGGGTGCGGGTGTAATTGTGAATATGGGAATGGGTGTGGGAATCAATTCGGGAATGAGGATACCGGAGAATGCTCTCGGGAAGGTTGTGGGGGTGGGAATGGGAAAGATAAGAGGATACGGGCGTGGGTCTGGGAGAATAAAGAGGATGGATGGGATGAAGATGTCGTTGAGATCGGAATCAAGGGTTCCTCCTTCTGCTAGACTCTTTGGGAGATCGAGAGGATTCTGCTCTTCTTCATCGTCTTCATATGTTGCGTCGTCTGCTTCATCGCCATCCAGAATTGAAGACAAAACAGGAGCAAAATCAAACACAAACCTCCTTCCTTTTGCGAATAAAACGATATTGGTAACGGGTGCGACCCGCGGGATTGGGAAAGCCATTGCGCAAAAATTTGGAGAGTTGGGGGGAAAGTTGTTATTGGTGGGAAGGAATCGGGAGGGCTTGGAGGGGGTGGGGAGGGAAATGATGAAGGGAAGAAGGGGAGAGGGAGAGGGAGAAGGAGAGGGGGATTGGATGGTTGTTTGTGGAGATGTGGGGGAGAGGGAGTTTTGGGAGGGGAATTTGGAAGGGGAAAGAGAGTGGCTGAGGGGGTAAGTTTGAGTTTATTTTTTTGACTTTGGATTTGCATTTTTGGTTCTTCTGAGGGGTTTGTGGTGCTGTGGTGCTGTGGTTTCTAGAGGTGCAGATTGAGGGGAAGTGGAGAGAGGAGAAGTGAAAGGGGTGATGTATGGCTAGCATGGAGAGAAAATAGTGAGGATAGTTCCTTTCTACTCATTCCTCTGCGTCTCTGCGCCTCTAATGCCTTTGAGAGTTGGAGCACCATTAATCCATCAACTCCAAATCTTCTCACTTCGCCTTATCTATTTTCTCGCTCCATTGCTATTCTCACTCCCATTTGTTCCGTCCTCCCTCACCAGCATTTCCCCATCTTCCCTATACGCAGAATACGATTCCCCATTCCCTGTTCCCTGTTCCCCGTTCTCCATCCCTCTCCTCCCAGGCACCACCCAACTAACATCTCCCCCTCTCAGAACCCCACCCCCAAACCCAAAATCGACATCCTCATCAACGCCGCCGGTCTAACCCACGCCTCCCCCCTCATAACCACCTCTCCTTCCCTCATCGAAAATATCCTCCAAACAAATTTAATGGGTACAATCTGGGGATGTAAAATTATCGGAAAAGAGATGTTGAGACGAAGGGAGGGTATGTTTCTCCCCCAAAAGTACAGAAGCTAAATCAACTAACCAAATTAAACATCAGGTTGTATAATAAACGTCTCCTCACTCCTCGGCATCAAAGGCGGAAGAGGTAGTGCCGCGTACGTAGCTAGTAAAGCCGGGGTTCTTGGTATAGTTTTCCCCTTATTCCCTTCCTTTCTCCCACTCTCGCCTCTTTCTCATTCCTCTTACCCCTCTTCTTCTTTTCCCTCTCATCCGACCCCTCCTTCCTTCTCCAAACCCGCAACTAACCACACCCCCCATCAAAAGGACTCACCCGCGCCCTAGCCGCCGAAATGGGCTCTGCAGGAATTCGAGTCAACGCCATTGTACCTGGCTATATCGAGACGGATATGACGAGGGGTATGTTTATTTTCTTCATTCAAATTTTCATTCAAATTTTTGAGGGGGAATATTCTTTCTCCCTCTTCCCTTCCTCCCCCCCCTTCTTTTCTCTCCTTATGCTCTCCCTTTTATTCTCAGTGTCACTCTCACTATCCCTCTCGCAATCACATATTCAAATTTACATTCTCTCTTCCTACCTTCCACCATCTTCATTTTCTACATCACCTCTCACCTGTCACCTCACAAGCCCCCATATCAAACAATCCACCTTCATTTTTATTTCATCAATTATGTTATATTGTTCATGCCCCCGCTATGCTATTCTGTATTCTGGTATTCTATTCATGAACTCCTTTCCTTTCCCCCTTCCATTTCATGTCCACATTCATCTAAATCTGCTATTTACCACCCTTCAATAATTTTTATCTTCATTGTATCCACCCTTGTTGTTTCTTTCAATCTTCTCAAAACCTCATATTTCACCAATTCAATTCTCGCTTCCAGCCTCCAAGCCCCAAATAAATTCTCATCCCCAGTTTCCTACCTCTCCAAACTTAATATACACAAGATCATCTTACATTTTCCATTTGGCATCTTCAACTCGAAATCGCAATCAAAAAATAAACAAAAACAAATAAAGAAACTGAGCTAACAACCTCCTTCAAAGCAATGTCAGATCCCGCCCGCTCAGAAGCATTAAACTCCATTCCTCTATCACGTTTTGGAGATGTAGCCGAAATAGCCGATGCCGCCGTCTTTTTAGCAACCAATAAGTACGCAAACAATTGTGTGCTTAATCTTGATGGAGGATTGAGCGCCGTATGATATTTCCATAAAGGGATACAAACCATTTGTTGAGTTGAGGTTGAGGGGAGGGTTTGTTCGAGGAGAGACGCCGCCCGAGTATTGGAGATAAAAATTGAATAGGACATGATGGAATAGTGCAAATGCATAAAGGATAAACAGATTGAAATGCGAATAAGCATTTAATCATCATCGATCAAAATAGCTCCATCATTTGCATCATCCAATACAATAATTCCATCATTCAAAGTATCCATGGACAAATTGGTTGAGCCGGACGGTTCCATTTTGGAACGCTTCGAATTCGAGGAAGGATCATGTTCCAATGCATCGGATGCAGTTCTCTTTTTGACACCATTGGAATTACCATTTTGAAGAACTTCTGCAGTGGGAGATTTTGCATGACCATTTGTTGGTTCTTTGGATTCAGGTTCTGGAGCAGGTTTCTTACGGCGTGGAATTGGTGATTCAGGGGATGTAGCGTTAGATTCTTCGGAGATAACAGGAACGGTAGGGATGGAGGAGTTGACGTGGATATCGAGACTTTTGATGGGAGAGTCTTCCATTGCGGTGTCACTGTATGAGTGTTAGGATATGAAGAATACGAAGAGAAAAAGAACATAAAATGATCAAAAGACTTACGATTCTTGTACATTAAGGACGAGATTAACTCTAGGACCCTTTGGATTTTCATCATCTTCATCAATAACTGTTAAGAATGTATCTGCTTTAATGCCTATGTATTTTGTCAATTGATCGCACTTAAACACGTGTATTCGAAAGAAAAACTTACCAAGTTCACTAAGTTTTTTATCCAGATTCTCAGTTTCCTCAACATCATAAAGTAACCCACTCTCATTATTAACCACGAATTCCTCTCCATATCCAAGTTGAAGTTTCAAGAAACCCTCAACGAGATCATTAAGTGTAGCTCTTGACATATCAACCAAGAGGCGAGTCTGTGCTACACTGCATACAGGACAGTCTGGGTTTGGTTCTCGGTACTTATCAGAGGAGAGTAATCTTTCTGGAGCAAATGGAGAAAGGAAAATCTATTCATGTAAGTAGGTATTTTAATTATCCCGAATCTGAAAGTAAAACATACCTCTTTACTACTAGAGTAATCACCACGAAGTACTTTGAATGACTGCAAAACACAAAGACCGGCTACAATAGCGTTGGTAGTTGCGATAGCAGGGATGATATTACCAGCCATTTGTTTGATATCAAATCGAGATTTAGTTTCGATACCGAAGACGATGGATCTTAAATTCGCGCTTGCGGTGACAAAGTCCAAAGTATCTTCATCATCTTTATCAAATGTGATGATGGGTTCTGCGGAGGTAGCAGCATTTGAGGTAGATTTCATTTCTTGTAATCTCTTACTTAATCGTTCCAGACTAATGAAGTCAGAATTGTGATTTTTGGAAAGGAATAAGGGAAATACTAACCTATCCTTGAAGACGATGAGATTCTCATGTAAACTCCAAACTCGTTGATCATCTTTGATTATAGCTTGCTTGACGGCTTCATCATTTCCTGCTTCTACATTCAAAGTGGTGTAATCTAATGCCTCAGGTGGTCGTCTTGATTTCCACATATCCTCCATAGATCTTAAACGAATGATATCATCCTTAAAGACCTTATCAAAAAGTAGTTGAGGGAATGCATCGGTACCCATCGATTCTTTAATCTTCTTTAAAGCTTGAGACTCTAATCGCAACTTTTCAATCTCCTTGGCTGTTTAACATTAACACAATACTTCAGAATATCACGGGGCAATAAAACTTGGAGCTCCATAGCTTGGAGGAACATACCATTCTCTGAATCTTCCGAATGATCCATTTCAGTTGATTCATCCTCACTAGCACCAAATACCTCACTGCGATGAATTTAGCAAAACTTCCTTCCCGCTCAGTTCCCAGGCCAGACATACCTCAATAAATAGCTCTTTCCCCAGACTATACAATGAATTGGTTGACTTGGTGTACTGCGAATAGTACAAACCGGGAAACTCTTTGGTGTCTCTTTTGTTGTGCAATCATAACATGCCGTCTTTCCCTTCTTGATAACCTGAACTTGTCCATTGAAACCAGTTGTGCCCGATTCGATTAAAGGTATATCCGCTGCCAAACACATCTTGTTTACATGTCTTCTAGCTTCAAGATTGTCCAAAGCATTGAAAACCATTGTAAAACCCTTGAACCAATCCACGTTGAATTGTGAATCCTTGATATTCGCATGATGTGCTTCTAGTTTGACTTTCGGGTTGAACTTATGCGCCGCATCTTTCGCAACCTGTAAATTTCTCATCAGCGCATATCCAAACTCTGCCATGAATAGACAACCTACCAAAGCCTTTGATTTCTTGATGTGTTCATGACGGAATAGGAATTGTCGATTCAAGTTGCTGAGATCGATGGTATCCAGGTCTACAATGTGAATTTCTCCAAAACCAGCCAAAACCAAGTTCTTAAGTAATTCACATCCAATTCCTCCAGCTCCTACCATCAAGATCCGGGCCTATTTGAATAGTTTAGTAAGAGAATTCAATTTCAATGGGCCTCCGCAAAAGTGGGAAATTCGCAGAAACAGTTGGTTGGATCAAACGGAACTCCAGCGACATTGGATTTATATATCTGCAAATTGGATTTTCGACGGTAATGAATGTATCCGAATTCAACAGCAAGAATCATAAAAACCAGAAGAAATGAAACAAAAGACCGAAGAGCTTCTCGCCTTCCAGAGAATAAGATATTGTGAACTTTGTACGCTTACCTCCTTGACCATAATATTCAAAGGTTTCCCCAATGACTGCATGTTGAATTGATCGCGGATCATGTTGAGTAATTCATGCGTTGATATTTTGCGACAGCGCAAGATGTAGAATGACGACCAAAATCAAGGTTGAGTTTATGTGAATAGAAATCCAAAGTTGATCATCACCGATTGAGATGGTTCCTGAGGCTCTGCTTATTATTTTGGTTGCTAGGTTAAGCTATCGATTCTACTTATGGGGGATAAATCCGCCATCGCGTTGATAAAGGTGGAAAACGCGATTGATTATATAAGCGAACTTCTTATCGTTTGGGTGGTAGGAGGAATTGGGTAAGCATGAGCTGAAATTGTAACTCAATCATGCATTATACTAGACAAGATGATAGCTTCATAGTATAATCTCAATATAAAAAGAAATTCAAAAAATTCTACCCGGTCACCTACAGCTAGTATTCTCAATCGTTCCTCCCTTTCCTTCTTGTACCCACCCTCATCTAAAATCGACGAATTTTACAGTCCATACATACCCCGCCGAGCCCACCTCCCATGCATCTCTCATACCCCTCCAAGCTCTAACTCTTTGCTAAAACACAATACTACAATATTAGAATATCACAACCACATCATTGAACACTCAAATATCAAACATCAACCATTGAACCTCCAAACCTCCCCTGAATTCCACATTCAACCCCCTATCCACCATGTCCGACGATGAAGCCGATCCCGAGCTCCTCGAGCTCCTCCGTCAACATTTCCGCAAACCTACCACCCCAGATATCCCCGAAACCCGCGTTCTCGAAAGTGCAGAATACATTTACAACAATTCCATCGATGTAGCTCTCGATATGGCTTCCACCAAGGCAGCTGCGGCATCCATCTACTCCCAAATGCAAACGAAATCCTATTCGACAAAAACATGGTCATCACATGACTTACATCCCAAAGCCAAAGACGAGAGTACCGTAAACTTTATCTTCACCATGGATTTACTCAATTTCTCTTTTTGGAGTCTTCAAAATGAAGAAGAAAGATTCGCAGTAGAATACAAAGGGAAGAAGTGGACCGGATATTGGAGTTTAGTAGCTGCATTACAAAGAGGTCTGGAAGAGGGATATCCCATTACCAGTTCTTGTTACTGGCAAGACGAGAATGAACTCACGGAAGAAGTATTCGCGCATATTTTTCGTTCATGTACGGCGGAATCCATGCCACTTCTTACAACACGTCTCTCACTCCTTCGTGAAGCGGGGACCATTCTCTACGAGAAATACAATTGTTCTTTCACAAATTGCATAAAGGAATCTCATCACTCTGCAGCTGCGCTTGTGAATCTACTCGCAGATTCATTTCCTTGTTTCAATGATGTTGTTTCGTTTGAGAAGCGGAAGGAAGTCAGGTTACTCAAACGTGCACAAATATGTGTAGCGGATTTATGGGCAGCATTTGATGGAGAAGGTTGGGGAGAATTTCATGATATTGATAAACTTACGATGTTTGCCGATTATCGTATTCCACAGTTGTTGAATACTTTGGGATGTTTATGGTATGCACCGGCGTTGGAGAGTAAAATTAGGAGAGGAGAAGTTATTGAAAGTGGACACACTTGGGAGGTGCAGTTGAGAGGTAAGGTTTCATGATTGTCCTTTTCTTTTTCTACTTCCCATTCCTTTGTTTTAGGTGCGGAGGAAATTCAGAGTATTAATCTAACATGATAAATAATAGGCTGTAGTATATGGTGTGTAGAATTGATTCGAAGAGAGATATTGAAGAATCATCCAGAGGCAAAGGTAAATGCTATTTTGATCGATTTCTTTCTTTACGATACAATGAAAGAACGGGAATTGGAAGGAAAAGACGAGATACCCCATCATAGAACTAGAAGTATATGGTATTGAGCAACGGAGATTAAATTGAGCGTCACTCAATATTACACTACACAAGAGAAGTTTCTGAAACATCAACTTAGATAACAATGAACATACTTTGCAAGAAATTTAAACTGTTGAATATGGTGGAGATATCATTTGTACAGATTTTGTATTTGTCTATCTGTTATACATATGCAAATCGACCATTCCCAGGTCCAATCATGCATCAATTTGCCAATCCCTTTGACCATTGGCTACATGTATGAACTCCCAAACACCTTGTTATGCACATATACCAATAACCATTTTATATCTAACGTAAACGCCGTTCTATGCAGGTATCTCATAAATACACATGAAATTTTAGCCCAACTATGTATACTTCTACCATGATACATCAGATGTTCTCAAACCTTTTTCAATCGAAACACAAGATCCATGAAATTCAAGCGACCCAGACGATAATTTTTGTCGCATCCGATAAATTCTGTGTCGGTTGCTTGTAATGAATCATAACTTCTATCGACAGCTATTGACAGCTCTCATACCGCCTCATACTCTTGTCGCTCTTCGCTTGGTAAGAGTTTGTCAAGTGGGGGTTCATAATGGAAAGAAAGTTTTGTGCGGAACTTCCGAAGCACCTTCCAGTCACGATTCGAGCGGGCGTAAGTCTTTCTGGCCACTTGAGGAGGATAGGTCAGATAAATCTCCTCGGCCAAATGTTTAACTTGTTGTTTCCCCTTATTGATCTTGAACAAGACCAAGTTCAATTCCCGTAACTTCCACTCAGGATTTACTTGTGGAAAATCCAAGATGAGATCCCGTTCTAGAAGTTTGATGTGTCGTTTGTTGGTATTAATCGCGAGTTCGAGGAGATTGATTCGTTGGTTAGTTTCTCGCGATTCCTTCAGGCGAAGAAATTCCGCTTTCGATTTGATGCTCTGTTTCATAACATGTAGATGCCATGCAATATGTTTGACTTGTTTTGCACTTTGATTAACCTTGGCAATAAGATCCATCATGCGCTGCTCTCTTTCTTTTACTATATAGTAGAATTCCTTCTTCAAGAGATTGACTTGTCGTAAGCTCAAATTTATCTGGTATTCGAACACGTGAAGTTTTTGAAGCCGTTTCAACCCCTTGAGAACAACAATTCTGTGTCCTAACGACATATGTGGAGAGTCCTGTAACCTGAGATGATATGTATATCTCCAATCTCTAGGGAATTGATTGTAGTAAAAGGAGACTAGAGACATCTCAGTCGAAAGAATGTTTGCGTTCGACAATGCAACCTTGGATTCCAAGCTTTGAAGCATCACTCTTCTACCTTGACGAGTTCCTTGTTTCGATTTATTTTCTCGTGCGTTCTCTGTATATGTAAACTTTTCGAAAATCTCGAGGGAGCGATCAATGCTATGCTGAGATGATGGTCGATTCCGAGTTTTCTTCGTTGGAAGATAATCCCAAGCTTGTGTATTCCCAAACTCGGGGAAGTTGAAGTCGGATTCCTTTTTGATGTTGTAACCGAAACTTTTTGAGGATATCTGAAGAATGTCTTGCAATGAATTCACACGTGCAACGAACCTTTCAACAGAATCACGTATCGAACCAAGGTTCAACCAGAATAAAAGCCTCCCCAAATTCCACCTAGGAATATCTATTGGTAAAATGCTTGGTAGATCTTTTGTCGGGTCAATTCCACAAAGATACATAAGCTCTCTTATAGCCCACCGTGTAGTCTTGGTGAGCGGGATGCGATCAGGTATTTCTATATTTTCGGCCCAGGTCTCCAATATAGAATGTAAAAGTGATGCTCCAGCAGCATGATCTAGTTGAGCTACACAACTTCTCACTGCTTCACAAAGTAACTCTGGTCGAATCTTAATTTTCTTGTCTTGACGTAAAGCTGCTCGAATATACATGACAGATTGCCGAGCAGTGGTCATTTGAAGACTCGTCCCAATAAGAGCATCGAATATTGATTCATCTCGTGGTACTTTTCGTTCGAGCCAACCTCCTCTTAGGGTCAATCTTTGAGCATGTTTCTCTGCCCAACTCAAAACACGTGGATTGTCCAATACTTGATTCTCATGTCTCCGTGCAATTCTCATACTCCCATCCACTGCTCTCATACGCCTGATAATGCTTCGATAACCTTCTAAATCATTCTTGGCCGCATAATGATTCAAAATAACCTGGATGGTCCTTGAAGTAGGTTTGAACATTGTATCGTAGAGAAATGAATCAATAATTACTTGAGCGTGGTCATGAAGCATTAATTCTGTCAATTTCTCGATTAAAAAGTTATAGGTAAAAATGTTTGGCGATGCTGAACTTATGAGAAGATTGTAACATATCTTAGCTAGAATTAGATTGAGATTATCCTGGCCCGGAGATGTATTTTTGAGGAGATTTTCCAGCGCATCATGTAAATGAATTCTTTCTTGACCAATTTCGGCTTCCAGTTGGTACGCGGGCATACTGATATCACCCCGTTGTAATTCTTCCACTCGTCCTATCATTTTATCAGTCTGGAGAAAGATACCAGATGATGCTGAGTGTAGATCCGCTGCCATAGGAGAGAGCTTAGTAGTCCACATGAGTCGATGAACTAGCTTTGAAATCGAGTTTTCCAATCGATCCAAGTGTTTCCGAGTTTTTACTTTGCGGGGCTGAAGCATGGCGTTTGAGGGTATATATTCACCGAACTGTTCTAGGTTTGCGATATGTTCTGGTGTGGCTGACTGAACGGGGGAAGTGGTGGATGGGGGGATGATATCCTGTGAACTTTCTGGTGCCGTGGTCTCGGCGGACCTCGACACATTTGAGGGTATGTTATTAAGTTGAATTCCCAATCGACTCATGGAAGAGTTTGCCGTCCAGTTGACTCCATCCCACGTCATGGGTCCTAAAGATCCAGCCTTTGTATCAATAATTCCAGTTCTTGGGAAAGAAAACTGATTCCCCAAATACCCTGGTAGCCTTGAAGTTCCTGAAATTGCTGATGTCCCTGGTTCTCCTGGCATTCCTGGCATCTGATTTTTGACTTCACTTGCATTTTCCTCAACCTGACGATCCTGCGATTCCTCCACTTTGTCGGTAGGAACTCCCGCCTTCGCTTCTGCAATGGCTCGATCCCATTGTTCCCTTCGTCGAACTTTTCGATTTGAATCTGCCACTGCAGCAGTTGCGAGTATTGTTGAATAACATGCCGTAAATATATCTCCTATGCTAACCCTTCGACGTTTCCCAATTGCATTTGTAGTTTGACGAGTTATGATTGTGCCGATTTTCACACAAGCGTTACAACGACATGATGATCTGGTCTGCGCAGCGCGGAACCATAAACTTTGCATTATATTTGCATACTTGTCGATTTATGGATTTTCAGCTTACTGGACTCGTCAGTCGTGCCATTGAAGGTTGGGGAAGTTTCGAACTTTTGCGCTATGTAAAATAAATTGATGTCTATCAAAACTTATCGGATGACTTTCACAATTGGGCGGCCGCTTTAACCGATCGAATTTGTAGTACAAACTAACCCCTCCTCATTATGCCCCTCCATGATTTTCATACTTGCGTTGTAACAATAAGGTCAAATAAATACATACATTACCAGTATCACGAAACTCACGATGCTTACCTTGACACTTACTGCAGATCTTTCCGGGTCAGTATAAACAGGAACCTCGAGATATACAAGAGCTAACACTTCACTGTATAGTGTGAATGAGCTTGTCCCCGATGACAGCGCAGAGAAGAACTTCTGGTATACTTTCAAAGTACAATGTGTATCATGCAGAGAAATTCATCCAAACTTCATAAACATCAATAGATTTGTAAGTCAAGTCAAGGATAGCGAGGGTCTGATTTCTTCTATCCTCCAGATACTAACAACAATTTCAGGAAGCAAATGAGATGAGTGGTAGTAGAGGAGAAGCAAACTTTGTATGGAAATGCAAGTTTTGTAAGGTGTGTAGTTTTACTCATCAATATATCATGAAACAGAAGTACTGATTTCATATATAGAAAGAATCATCTGCATCAGTTATATCAACACCAGTTCCATATCAAGCAGCTTCTCCACCAACTCGTCAAAAGATTCTAGAATTTGATTGTCGAGGTCTTGAGTTGGTAGAATTCAAACCTGAGGTAAGCCTTCTTTTAAATGTTACTATGATATTCGAATCTTATGTATTTCTCTTAGGGAGATTGGTTGGCCGTTGGAACTGATAGTGGTACCAAATTTACCGCTATCGATTTGAATGATGGAGAATGGTATGATTATGATGATAAAGCAGGAGAGGAAGTTAGTATTAAGGATTTGAAATGGGAGATTAGGAGAAATTGAGATGAGACAGGCGAGATGAGATCATGAATAGATGTCAGAGGGATCAAGTATGAATGTCATGAATGATTTGGTTATTAAGTCACCTGGTCTGTGGGAATATAGTGTTGAAGCAATGAAAGTATTTGATACATATATGAACGATCTATATCAATATCTAGGTATTTGATATCAAATCTCATTAAGATATCGTAAAGTGACTCTCCAGATATTCAAGCATGATATAGCTTCTTGGTCATTTTCATAATCAAATTTCTATTGATATTGATGCTGAGATTATTCCACATGACGATCACCAGCCTCATCACAATCTCAGCCTTGCGCTTCGCTTAGAAAATTTCCCCAGCGACGCCAGCCTAGCCAACGAACGAGTAGCAACCAACAGCAACCTCACTTCCGACGCGACCATCTCAAATCCGCGTCTCTCCACCACCCATTCATTTCAATCTCCAGCTCACATCATGAGTGTAAGTTATCTCTCTTCTCTCTTTAACATCAAATTACTAATTGTCATTTAGTTCGTACCAATTAACCCCCGCCCATTCCTTCAAAACCTGTACGTACTAGCTATCCTTCCTCAATCGAGCTTCCAATATCGAATTCTCACCAACTTCCTTCCGCGCATGCATGAAATTATCTACGTACTAACCCGCTATGTAGCGTCAACGAAGAAGTAATCATTCGTTTAAAATGGGGCGGTCAAACCGAATATAAGGGCAAGCTTGTCAGTATCGACAGTTATATGAATATTCAATTATCCGGTGCCGAGGAGTGGATTGATTCGGAAATGACGAGTACTTTGGGTCAAGTCTTGATTAGGTTTGTTTATCCCTTCTGTTCTATTTGAGGTTTTCGAAGAGATTGGGTAGTTGAGGCTGGGCGTTTAAGTTGATGGGCTGCACTGCACTCAGTGCCATGGGATTGCGCTGCGCTCCAAAATAGAAATGCCCATCAAATTGGGATCGAATCAAAAGTAAATGCGCAAAATCTAACATTAAAATAGATGCAATAACGTCCTCTATATATCAGCCGCACAAATCAAGAAGGAAGAAGATGATACGAAGATGGAGGGATGATTCTGTGAACTTGCGACTTGACAAATGGATAGATGGATGTGGAAACCATAATGGATTGAAAGGAGAGGAAAGTAAGAGAGGTCCAATGAGAAATTTGATAGATACCTAGTATGGGAAAAAAATATGAATGAAATGCGGAGAGCATCGCATAGCAGGTATGGCAGAATGTAGGAACATCTCACTTCCATTGAGCAGGAGTAGTAGGAGAGGAGAAATTACCTATATCTACAATGATATATTCACGGACGGCGTTGTTCAAGCAAATCAAAGCAAGCTTATGGTTATAAGATTCTAAACAAGTCACGCTACACTTCTACTACATCTTGATTACACATGCGCAGTGACGAATAATCGTAGAGCATATCCATTGCCCTCTTACTTCAGTGATAAATTGATTGATAAATATGCATTTTTCATATAAAACCTATTTACATAAGACAACCAATTGATCGACTACTACCTACCTCACTCAAACCCACTCTCAAGCGTTTGTTAGGTCCCACCATAACGAACGCCTCAACTAACCACTCATACCATACTTTTCTATCATCAGTTTGTCTCCAAATACTGACTTCTACCTCGGAATCATCAGGAATATATAGAGGTGACTATTTATATGTTAATGACTCATGATTGTAAAGTTGAGGAGAGGAAATACTTACCTTCAAAGGGAAGAAAATTGGAAACCATGAAATCATATCTTTACTCTTCGCATCAATTGTATCAGGACGCGTACTCAATTCGACCTTATTCTCGGCTTTTCCTCCACCTTCATACAAAACAGCTTCAAAATATCCGGCGAGTCCATTGATCACACCTCGATCTTTACAAACGAACTTGAGACGTGCATAACGTGTATTATGTTCATTAGCACCATCACCTCCAGACATACTTCCACCACCACCTCCACTCACACCACCGCCTCTTCTGGCTTCAGCAATGTGTAATGTGTTTACAGGAAGTGGATGTGAGAATTCCCATGCTTGTTGAATTTGAGGATGTTCGGGAACGGAAGTGGCAAGGAAATCAATGGCGTGGAACATGACTACATAAGGAGTATCGGTAGCGTGTTCATCTGCCGAAAATCTGTTGGAAATATCGGCGTGAAGACGAGGAGCAAGAATTGGGGTAAGGTGAGCGGTATATGAAGCGGGGATTGAAATACCGTGTTCTGGTGCTAACACATGTTGAACTCCATCTATACACTCAGGTGATAATTCATTGTCTGCAAATGAACCAAGAAGTTCAGAGACAAGTATATCAACTTTACCGTGTGTAGTTGCTGGAGTGGTTGAAGATGTTGTGACGGCTTGACCTATAGGTCCAGCTGCATTCTTCAATGGTCCTTTCCAAGCACGCATATCGGTCTTTACAACATTGACTACTCCATTCCAGACATTTTCGTTGTGTCGTTGAAGGAGGACATATGCATTTGGATTCTTCTCCACCGCCCATACTTCAATTGGAACACCAGTTGTTTGACTTGCTTTCAGAGCTCGAGAAACTAAAGGTCCACGTCCAGAACCAGCTACTGCAAGAACAACGGCACCACTAAGACTTGATGTGGGCTTTTTGTGTAAAACCCAATCTGATAATGCTCGTTCAATAGCTCGCTCATACCAGTCATATTTAACAGGGTCTTTCTCGAAAACCTCATATGTAACAGATTCGAGATTATCTGTCAAGGGTTGAAGAGGAGCTTGTAAGTAATCTTGATAACCTGATCCAAATTTCTCAATAGGAGTTCGCTCTGGTTGGTTTCTTTGGAGATATCTTAAATAAATCAAATGAGCTGCAACATCCTTTGATTTTGTTTGTGATTTGGTACTATTTCTTCTAGCTTGCTCCGCTTCGGCTGGGGTTGGAGATGGTGCATCTTGAACAACACTTGGGGGTGCATAACCATCGGCCACTGAAATTTGTTGATTTGGATCATCCAAACCAGGGACTGGCCCTACATCACATAATAGTAACCATGGTGGGTTCTTAAGCTTCATATAGCGGGTGAGGAGATTTTGATGAGCTTTGCCCAAAACTGGATGTCCACCTTTATTCTTCAAGAATGTTGATTGAGTAAAGGTCAATAATTTTAGGGGCTCGGCAAACCAACGTGATTGAAGTGATTCAATAGGAAGTTGACGGGGAAGTGCCAATGCTATAGGATGTTGGTTAGCTTATGTTTGTTCTTAATGACATTCAATCGGGGAGTAGAAGTCGTAGTTCCAAAACAATAATGTCATTACCGACGCTATCAATGATTTGAGTTCTGGGCCACGGCCTTTAAGATTTCATAAGTTGACGAGTCCCAACTCGAAAAATATGAAAATAATGGAGAAATAAAATATATTTTCATTAACCTACCTACTGAAAGTCTGGAATTGTATTTACATACATCCCGAATCAAATTCCAAGCATCCCAATTCTCGTACAAATCAATTTCATTTTCTCCCTTTGATGTATCTGTTGTTGATTGATATCTGGAAAATGGCAAAAGATCACCCGTCATTTCCGTATGGTCTTCGACACCATACATAGGCATATGAATTGAAATGTTGATATAATTGGCAATTGCGAGAGCCTCTTGAATAGCACGAGCATATTGAGCAAGTCCATTGTTTCCTGATCCACCATTGCATGTCCTTGGACCTGGGATAATAACATTACCCACTCCACAGAAGGAAGCATATGCGACTTCGATATTCAAAACTTGACGAGAAATATTTGCGATGAGAGGATCTGGAGAACATAAATCTATCCAAGGACTAGAATATGCGATAAGTTGTGAAACTGTATCGGAAGGGGTGAATGGTGTATCGACAGGATCGAGAGGTGGAATAATGGGAGCTGGAGGGGTAGCTTTGTTTGGCGCATCACTTGAGTCGATAGCTGATATTTCGGCCAAATGATTTGAAATCAATGAAAGTACTCTGGAATGGAAATGGGGACTTGTAATTGGACTTGTGAGCATATCATACTAATAGAAAGAATAGTTAGTAAAAGCCTCAATAACTCGAGGGTTAACATACTCCAACATCACCAGCTTGTCGCAAAACAAATTCTGTGACAGGTAAGGGCCGTTTAGACTCATGATGTCCAATGTAAAAGGTTGTGAGGTTTTCATCGTCTGCCGTGTCAGAGTTAGCATCAGCATCTGCATGCTCTCCAACAAAAGGATCCCAGGCTAGGGTACCGGTAGCCATTGTGATGAGGCGTTATGTGAAATGCGCCAGTTCTGTTTTTTTGGATCTAGGTGAACTCTAAGTTCTCGGTAGTGCGGGGTTGATCGAATTCGTTGTTGAAGAAGAGAGGAAGGTATGGCGGGTACCACTACAAGTATCGTGAACCTATAGATATTATTAAGATACCGGTTCAAAAGAACCTATATGTAAATTGGAGAGGGTTTAACCGTAAAGGTGGTTGGTTTTCTAAATTATTGTCCTGGGTCGATGGAATGATATTTTGGTCAACTTTTCTGCCGGATTAGATCAAAGCGGTGTGTAACAGATTAGACGTCGTCGACTACTTGAATCAACCATCCTCGAGGAAGGACTCGACACTCGAGACTTAATCTTATCACTTTATTTCCAAATTAACAAAAAACGTGAACTTACATTGTTTCATTGCCAAGCTTGAATCTCATCCATATATTAAATTGTTTTACTTGTCATGATTTTACATTGTTTCCACAATGAGTTAATGAGAAGAGAACCTTTTAATAAATCTTGATGGCTTTGAGCGTCCTCGATTCCACCAAAGCTTTTCAGTCCAAATTTACACATTGTATCTGTCAAGTAGTCTTTGAACCACCAAGATCTGAGATAAACTCTAAGGTTCCAATGATGAGCTGGGATCACAACAAAGGAATCCTTCGTGAACGATCACAAAAGTTGTTGGTGCGATGATATGCAAAACTTAACCCTAAAACGGCCGGACGCAGTCAGGTACCGTTCATCAATATGCAAATTGATTAATGGGTCAATTGAGCTTCAATGTCCACCACATGCGCGTATCTTGGAAAAAGCAAAAGTTCATGAATGGACCCAAGCTTTACTCAGGAAATACCTTTCTTGCACCTCGCCTTTTGTTCTCCTTTATCCAGATTGCGGGGTCAATGAATTTCGCGAGGCGGCGATCCCAACGCTGTCTTGTCCGAGTCATCCTTAACATCATTAGCCAAGTCCTCTTGGGCGAGAAGAATCTTGTTTATGGTCACGAATTGCAGCTGAATTGCGCGATTCAATGGAGTACGTATATGACCATCCACGGCAATCATGTTGACGTTCGTGCATCGTAGCAGGAACCTTGCCATTTCAGAGCGATCGCTTTCGACTGTGTTGTGCATGGGCTTGGTTTCAAAGAATCGGCTAGAAGAAGAAAAATGATCTTGACAAGATTAATCTTAAAATCTCGGATCAGATTGTACAATATATGAGAAATACTCAACCTTTAGCAGACTTCTTAGAAGCCTTCAAAAGAATAAATAATCCGAGGATGTTGAAACCTTTTCTATGTTGATGTCTAGAGCGTTTTCTTTGATTACCCTGGTATCCCGCTCCTAGGCCATCTGTCTTGACCATTCTTCAATGAGTAATTGAGAACGTGTAGATATGCTTAAATCCTCTTCGGTGTCGGATTATTGTTTCTTCAAGAAGTGGTACTTACTAGTTATGTAGCAATCCGCTGTTAGGAATTGAGAACAAGCAAAGCGGAGAGGGGAGGGGAGGGGGAAGGGGAGTGCTGGCGTGTTCCCCAATATCCCTCGGATTTATCCTGAAATCAAGTTAGTCTGAAACACATCTATGATTTCGCGCCCCTTCTGTCAGCGGAGTGGTGATTACATCACGTATCAAACACTGGGTATTCTTAGAACACAAAAGTGAACTGCCAAATATCTTTTGGCAAAAAAGCGAGGTTTGGACAGTCTGTTGGCTGCGAAGCACATATCACTCCGTCTCTGTCCGAATTTTCTCTACAGTAGCACAGGATCTGCGAATATTGTACACAGCTCTAAAATCACTTCACTCAATGCTGAAAACATGAATATACGATTATGTTATTCGCTATTTTCGTGATACTGCTAAGTCCGAGAAGACATTACATGTATCCTATCATGATCGCTCAATGAATTCAAATTGAATCCAGCAACACTAAACCTCAGTCCTTACTCAGAAGAATTTGAGACTACCATTTTCCCATCCCATCTCACTCTCAATGTCCTTCAAAACCTCTTCAATAGGAGTTGCATATGTGACATCACCTTGAAAGCCTTCAAAGCCGTGTTTATTTCCTGCCCAAACCATTGCCATGGGTACAAGAATAGTTTTTCCCTTAATGTCAACATCAAGGCTATAAATGAGGGCACCGGAATCGCCTCCATCAGATATCTTTTCTTTTCCCTCCTTTGTATCATCACCTATGAATACGTGTTCATCTGATGTCGAGTTCTGATTGTGAACAATAGCTCGAACAAAATTCACTTCACATGCTTTCCAACCTGTTGTTCGACTTACAGGTTTGAAGAACAAACTCTTCTCATTCAAAAGGGAGAACGATTTTGGATGACTGACATTGAACTCCATGGAATTCTGCAAGCCTTGACATCTTGTGATAAAAGCCTTACATTCATCTGGTGACCAATACTTTTCTCCGAACTTTTCAATAAATCCCGAGATCTGAGGTTCTTTCAGGAAATAAAATGTAGGTAACTATTAGAATGATCAGTTATTTTCTTCATCCAAAAGCCAATCAAAAAGTTAACCATACCTGATTACTAGGATCAACACAAGCATTGCGAATTAAAGCTCAGTCGAGGATTCCATTACGGGTAGCAACCTTACGCCATTCGTTTGAAGCAGCATAGACATAACCAGCATAAATGTCGTAGTTCTGGGCTACATTCAATCGTCTCATGCATAGAATCTCTTCTTCTTTACGCAATTGTATTCGAATAGAGAAATCCATTTCAGGACACTGTACTTGACGTTTCTCTGCCTTTTCGACTGTATTTCTAGCATATTTAATCTCGTCCTCCATGGCTTCAAGTGTTGCTTTATGATCTTTGAATGCGGGTAACGTAATCTTAAACTGTTCCATTCCATCGTTGTATTTGTATACTTCAGATGGACGTTCTGGGTCAGGAAAAGCAACATGACTGCAAGTAAGGCTGTAAATTGCGTCTCCCTGTTGCAGAAAACCAGTCAACGAACCAGCCGGATAAATTTTTTCTTTGGTTTCTGCTCGTCCAATAGAGAGACCAGGGCAAGGAGTGTCATTCAAAAACACGGAAGGAAAATTGTTGGCGAGATTGACACCAGGGATTTCGGGGCAATCGGTTGAGCGGAGATCGTTATCGCAGGTCTTATTCATCTCTGTCTTTGAGGAACTCGAATAGTAGATTTGAGAGATATCAATAGTGAACCTAGATAATGGATAAGTTAGGAGCCCAAATAAATAAACTTGACATGAAACTCACTTTTCATGCATATCGTTTCCATGCTTTTGATTATCTAGATTCTCCTTGATGATCTTCTCCATACCCTGTACGACTTTGAGAGCAGCATCCTCGTTATCTGTGAAGTAATGAGGGGTTTGAATACAAACATGAATGACGATAGGGTTCGCATATTTGTCTGCTCCGAAACCAAGATGAAGAACGTTCAAGATCCATGAACAGTTAGGAAGTGACGAGACAAGGAAAGTTTTAAGCGGAAGGCGCAGCTCATGCTCAAAACATTGAATGTATTGCTCATCGTTGGGATTGTGAACAGCAGCAATGCTTTTCTGGAAAGAATGCCAAAATGGATTTAGGACAAAACCTGTAACGAGGACATCTTTGGCTTTTTGGCTGGTTGCAATGATTTCCTGCTCTCCAAGACCGTACTTATGACGATCTTCTTTTTTGACTAGCCAAAGAGACATTTTCTGAGTTTTTGATGTACTTGTTGGTGTTTTGTGTATCTTTTTGTAAAGTTCCTTCCTCTGATAATGGTTGAAATGTTCACGTTCAATTTTACTTTGAGAAGGAACAGAAGAGGCTCTTTTATCTACATCCTGTATGCGCTTAGACTTAGATTCAAGGGTAATACACTTAGCGTCATTCGGGTATACAGCTAGGTATGGCCATTGCAGTCTATTGTATCAATCTTGATCAAACATTGTGATTCAACTTAGCCCATTCACTCTTCTGAATGATACAAATATCAACAAGATGAGTCACGAAAATGAGAGTCCAGAATATGGATCGCCTTTCTCTTAACTCAGAACTATCCAAACCTTTTCTATGTGTTCATTCATCTGTAGCGAATCTCTCAACAGTAACACCATCTTCCTCACTAATAAAATTGCTTGCTCACAACGAACATTAAGCTTCGGAATGATTGCTTCTATGTGATTTTCCTAGACCTGTAGACTGCCAGCGTATAATGATATTAAATATTTCCAAGTCCATCTTGACGTAAATCTCCCCTTTTCTAGCGCTGTTCTCTTTGATATGAATACCATAGTAACAAGACGGTGACCCAGACCAGAGATGAAAGGATGTGATAAGAAGGGGGCTTCTCTTTCGAAGGAGGAGGAATGTTAGTTCCAAGCTTTATTGTCCACGTGATTGTTCGACGATGAAAAGTTTTGTTGCACATCTGAAATTGGGATCACAATCGACAATGTCGATTACGGTTTTAGTTTCTATCAATTTCAGATATGCAACAAAAGGTATCAAGGATTAATTTGATTGGCTGGCCGATACCGAAAATAGTATGTATGTATAGCTATTTTTGCTCCAGACCCCGTCCGATGAAGAATCATATTTCCATGATGTATTTTGCTTTTGATTGGAAATCAAGCGGCAACTTAGCCACGCAATTTAAGCGGACAGACTTTGGGATTACTATTACAGCGGCTGCAGTACCACCTAACAATGTTGTCGGGACCTAATTTAGCAGTACATCCGCGGAGCTTAACAAAGCCGGCGACATTTGATACCCTACATTCATTCATCTCATCATCAAACGGGATCTATCGTGCATATCCAGAGTGTAACGAGACCGAGGGGACTAAAGGCCTGTGGTATTCTTCAAACTCACATTTGATCATGCCGTCGAGAACAAAGCCTCGACACTGTCTGTCATTACCACTCACCGATATTTTCGGCACCCATATCAAAGCGATGCGTCTATCAAAGGTAATAAGATCGAGGAGAGAAATGGTATTCCTCTGGGCCAATGTTCGAGGATATTGGAATTCTAGGAGTGGTGTCCCTTATTTCCAGCCTCAAATTACCTTCTCAATAGACCGAGTACATTGTGCATACTAGAAGGTAACAAAGTAGAAAACCAAAACCTAAAAGTGGTGTTGGTTTTGGTCGATGTTCAAGGAGACTGGGGCCCCAATTGGCATAAAGCGGTATTCCTCCAGGCGTGTATTTGATTACACCATCAAAGAATGGAGTCTCTTCACCTTGTGTCAGCGGTCATTCCTCCTCCGTTTTTGAAGAGGGCAAATGTACGTATTTTTGAATGGAAGAATGTATGGAAAATAGACAAGGTCAAAGAGTTTTCCCTGGGACTTGGGAGATGAGAAGGAAAGGTTGAAAGGGATTTGAATAAGTTGATTGTGCACGACATGCCATGCCATTTCTCAATGCCCCCGGGTTTCCTCCGAAGCAAATCAAGTTGATTTTCATAATTCTATGCTGTGGAATAGCCTGAAGAACATCTAAGATTCCTCGCTATTTTCTCCCAGAGAGTGGAAATTGCATTGCGTCTTCTCTGAATATCCTCCGACATTTATGAAAGGGACAAATCGTGGTGAACGACTGGATTTTCGTTCTCGGTCTCCAAAACGACACAAAAAAATACCATCATTTATCGATAGTACCAACATAAACCAATGCCATGTGAGTAGCAGTGAAATAGCTACGAATATCAGATATTCCGACACTCATTCCTTCGAATACCTGCTGGGATATATTTAACGACCGAGAGCGATTTCTCTTAATCCTTACTACTCATGCCCATGATCAGTTTGACTTGAAGTTTGAGATTTCTACGACGATAAGATCCTACATTGATGTTATGATATTAAAATAGAACTACTAGGTACAGCCAATAGGTGGCGAGTGAACAATCCTACTAAGGTATTGCCAATAAAGTATCGTCTCATCGACCAATCAGACACTCTGAGCATGCTTACTGTTTACGGGCAGCAGATTCATAGGTTCAGACATGCAACAAAACTACGTCGTACTGAAGAAGTGATCTAATTGGTTACCCGGTACTCGGGATGAAATGAATTGAATGATAGGAAATGTAATTTTCAACAAGAATTGAGAAGAGATACTAATCAAAAGATATACGGGATTTTTTGTGATGATCAGCAATGAGAATACGATGTCTGTCCGTGTACGAGAACTTTCTCACACCGGACATTCTTATAATGGAGTCGGACAGGCGTGGTGGATATATCGTGATTCGTGAATGTAGTTCGTATTGTGATAAATGTAAACTTCGTGTAGAAGGTTCCAAGTATGTATAGGTATGTAGAATGTGGCGATACGAGCCACATTGATTTTTCATTGGCTTTCAACATCCATACTAAGTAGGTATCCTATTTAAAGATGTCGGTATTTTTGACATATCGATATCGATAAAACTACCTAGTTACCCGTGTGTACTGCATACCCGTGTTACTATAATTTTCCGTAGTCTGTTGAACCAATATGAATTCCATCTCAATCTCACCGTCACACAATAGGATCGGTTGAAAGATATATATATATATATATATATATGTATGTACATTTATTTTCACGTCCCAACATATTGAGCAACTCCTTGATTTCTTGGAAGACTTTGTAAGACATCGTACACCAAAGATCAACAAACGGCTAACGGCCATTGATAAATGCAGATAGATGTCATCGGGATTATATCGGATCTCGGATCTCCATTCACCTCATTTGTTTCATTTTGCATCCCCTTTTCTTTTTTTTCTTTTTTTTTTCTTTTTTACGGATTACCATAGTGGAATAGCCGGTCGGACACATTGTGATGTAATTGAGAGAAAATACCCGTTGCGTGTCTCGTGATTGTGATACATTAATCTTCATCAATCTTCATCAATCCTCATCCATCCTAGAGAATCATCAATCGCTATCTTCTCTATCTTCATCAAATGATAAAACAATCGATATGAAACGATTCAAACCTTCATAGTTAGGTACCAAGATTCAAATCTCAACCATTCGAAATGCATCCTTTAGAGGACCTTTTAGAGGAAGCGGTTATTAAATTCATCTTAATAATCCTCATCACATCGTCAACCTTTCCTATTATAGATTAGTTTTATATCTCGTATTGAGTTTAATCTCTTATCAAAATTAAACTTATCATGGATTAGCCCCAATCGGGCCCCTCAATTATTCAAGTATTTGACCGTGTCATCCTTCCTTTAGTCCAAATAAGCTTCATATGCTCCACTTTTTATTTTTTGAAGTGAAGCTTCCTTGATCTTTCTTTTACTCTTCACCTCTCTCTCTTTTATCGTCTCTCTGCTCTGCTCTGCTCTGCTCTGCTCTCCTCTCTTGTGAATTTTGCAAGAACGATTGATTTAATTTAATTTTGTTTTGGAAATCCTAACTTCACTCGTTTGAAAGGCTTTCGAATTTCTACTAATTAATACTTCTCTCTACATTTACACTCTCAAAGATTTGGTCCATCCCATCTTTGCTCTCCCATTTGCTCTCGTTTTTGTTCTTGGTATTTTGGACTTGATTTTTCTCTCGTAGAAGACTTGTTTATAGTACTACCTACCTACCTACCAATTACTTAATTAATTTTTGGAGGAAATCAAAAATCATGTTGTCTGCTATGGTATGTTTACAAATCCTCGATCCCTTACAGTTTGATGGCTTGAATGACTTCAATGACTTGAAAACACAACGGCTTTCATCGCATTTCATCGCACTGTGAACCGTTAAACACATGCATAACCTATCATGGATTGTTGTGCAATTATATGCAATACTAATTTGTACTCGATAATTTAGATTCCCACAACCGTCCTCGCACTTTGCGCAACCGTTACACTCGCTGTACAAACGATTGAAATCCAAGGTTCCGATTTCGTCAACTCTGTTACCGGTGATCGATTTCAACTTTTGGGTGTCGCATATCAACCAGGTGGATCTTCAGGTTATAACCCTGCGAGCGGTGTTGATCCTTTGAGTGATGGAGCCGTCTGTTTGAGAGATGCCGCTTTGATGCAACAATTGGGTGTTAATGCTATTCGGGTCTATAATGTGGATGGAAATCTTAATCATGATGAGTGCGCCAGTATCTTCAACGAGGTGAGTGATTTGTGGCTTCAAGGTTCGTTCTTGACTAGAGACAACTAACACATAATAGGTCGGCATTTATATGTTAATTGATGTCAATTCTCCCTTATCCGGCGAGAGTATCGATAGAAGCTCTCCAGCAACCACATACGATGTTTCATACTTGAACAGAACTTTCGCAGTTGTTGAGGCCTTTAAGGATTACCCAAATACTTTACTTTTCTTTGCTGGAAATGAAGTTGTTAATGATGATGAAACTGGAGGAAGCGTTCCCCCATACATGAGAGTAAGTTTACAAAATCGCTCCGTCTCGCTCCAAATCAACTAACACATCTAGGCCGTCACTCGTGATCTTAAGAACTATATCTCAAAGCATGCTTCCCGCTCCATTCCAGTCGGTTACAGTGCTGCAGATGTTCGCGACATTCTCCTCGATACATGGAATTACCTTCAATGCACTACTACCGGAGATGACTCCGATCCATCAAGAGCCGATGTCTTTGCTCTCAACAGTTACTCATGGTGTGGAGACTCTTCATACACGACTTCCGGTTATGATGTTCTTATTTCGGATTTCAGCAACACTAGTGTTCCCGTTTTCTTCTCTGAATATGGTTGCAATGTTCCAGCTCCTCGTGTTTTCACAGAAGTTCCAGTTCTTTACGGTCCATTGATGACTCCAGTTCTTTCCGGTGGAATGGTTTATGAATTCTCTCAAGAAACCTCAAACTATGGATTGGTTACTATCAATGATGATGGTTCCGCTCAACTCCTTTCCGATTACAACACACTCCAGGATCAGTTCAACACCCTTAACATTACTAGCATTCAAGGAGTCAAGGCACAAAACACCACTACAACCGCACCATCCTGTGATTCATCTCTCATCACTAGCACAACCTTTGCCAATAACTGGACTATCCCAGCTGTTCCACCCGGAGCTGAAGATCTCATCAATAACGGTATCAAAAATGCCAACAATGGAAAGATAATTTCGGTTTCAAACACCAAGGTCACCCAAAAAGTTACTGATGTTGGAGGAAATACTATTTCTGATCTTGCCATCAAACCATTAGCAAATGACGCAAGTAACACACCATCCGGTGAATCTACTGGCTCAAATGCTACATCTAGTTCTACAACTTCATCTTCATCTTCATCAACTGCTACTGGTACTTCATCCGCTGCTAGTTCTACAACAACCAAGAAGAGTTCGGCTAGAAAAATTGAAGGTAGCATGATTGCTTTGGTAGCTGTTCTCGGTGTTGGATTAGTCTTGATCTAAATTCACTCTTGATACATTTTTCTTTTACAATATTTCGATTCTTGCACATATTTTATTTTTATCATTATCGCATGCATACGCATTTTCATTGTACATGATGTGGCTGGATTCCACCGAATACTATAAGTCATGAGATGTGTAATGGGGATGATTTTCTTGGGGAATTTTGTTTATGATGGTATAAATTGGTGGATTGGTGGATTTGATTGTGTTATTTGAAGAATGATACTGGATTTTGATGGTGAGATTTTGGGGGATCAATTTTGGAGGGAGATTTTGGGGATTTGGGAGGAAGTCATATTTTGAGGAGGATATGCCTATGTATGGGCTTGATGTTTTTAGGGTGATGGTTTTGTGAATCAAGGAAAATTAATGGATAAATGTGATACCTTTCTCGAGCATATTATTTCTTGCGATGAAGTTGTGATGTATTATGGACCAGAAAGTTTGACACGAATACTCGTGGATTCATATGATTATGTGATTGGTAGGTAGTAGGTAGGAGATGGGAGATGGAAGATGGGAAAAAAGGTAAGGATAAGAAAGAGTATGAACAACTCAAAGAGGAATGTAAGTGATTTCGATAGTATATACGATGTGATATCAGATTTCGTACAAGAAAAATCAAGGGGTAAGAAGGTAGAGGGGGAAGTTGAAGAGATATAAGGGGATTTGAAGAAATGAAATAGGGATGGGAAGGGAATGAGGATAGTATTGGGATGTGGACGATTTCTGTTATCCTATTATGGGACTTAGGGTAGAGAGATTATATGTTCTGATATGTAGTGCTAGCGCTGGGTTAGGCTAGCTATGAGTTGCAGGCTGAGCTTGGAGGTTGAAGATGGGTATGGGTATAGAAAGTATGGAGAGGGAATCCTGACGCAAATAAATTTGTTTACATGAGGGGAATGGGTAGAGTGTAGAATGTACTAGGTATGTATGATTAAACGACGGCGGAATTAAAGTCGTAGTGCAAGTGTTATTCTTTTAGGGGGGGAGGGGGAATGAGAGATGGGAAATTGGAAGGGGGATGTGAATGAGAAAAATGAGGTTTGAATGGTGAAGATGGATGGTGGGGAGGGGGAATGAGGATCTGTGGTGATCAGTAGGAGGCGTGTATGGTTTTGTGATTTCGAGCATGTGAGGGAGTAGATGGAGGATTGGAGAGGTTTGGTTGGATGATAATGGTATGGTGATGGATGAATATGATTTGATAAGATGTTTTCTTGTGAAACGATTGATAGGGGAATTCTGGGCGCTTGATAATACCTAGTAGCTTTTACCTTGATTTATATTTTGTTTTTGTGTCAAAAAGAGATGAGATTTGAAGATAAATCAGAAGAGTAAACTCAACGACCCATGGACTGGACGATTAACTCGTAATACGCGGGGTAAATAATCAGTAACCCAACTACATATATCCACAGAATCACAACATCACATCACATCATCACATCATAAAACCAGACATCAAAAGTTTGAAAACACTCAAAATATGTATTCAAAAAATAAATCCTCATCCTCCTCCAGAAAATAAATGTATATACAAAATCTGCCTCTAGTACACCAACTAGACTATCCTCCATATGTATCCGAAATGTCCATCAATTATCAGATCACGCGAGACTGTTAAGAGATATTCAATCCAAGAACTTCGGGAATAATCGTCGCGATTACTGTAAGGCTTAAATATTAGCTTTTAGTTTTTTAACGCCTGCTGGTTTTTGCTGTTGTATGATGTTGTGTTGAATGTGATGTGATATGATGTATAATGTGTAATCAATGTGTAAAGAGATCGAAAACTGGTAAACTATTTGTGAAGACCTAGTCTCACTCTATTCATTTATGCAGCCACACATTGGGAGTAATAAGCATTTTGCTCGACGCAAGTACCCGTGGCACAAGCGAGTCCTCCCGTGCAGTTACCGTACAAAGGAACAGAACCAGTGGAAGAAGAAGCGGGGGTGCTGGTGGCCACGGCAGCAACACTGGTTTTGCTAGATGTGGCTTTGCTGGTGGGCACGGCTGCGACGGTGGTTTTGACGGTGCTGGTGGCTTTGATGGTGGAGGTGGTGGTGGGGGTTGCTTTGCTGGTGCTGACGGGGGTGGATGAGCTGGCTATGACTTTGACGGCACTTCCCTGGGTGATGGAGACGCTGTAGGCGGAGACGTCGAAGACGGCGTTGCTACCTAGAGGTGGGGATTAGTAATCTTGGATGTGAAATTGGAGAATGGATTTCTTACCAGTGAAAGGTTCGGTTCCGGCTTCCAAAACGTTAATGTATTGGCTGGTGGACCATCCTTCATTGGTAGCCAGGTAGTTCAAGAAATCCATAAGATCACCATTGAAGTTGGTAGCTTCAGTAGATGCGACAAAAGAGTAAACAGTGGTGTCTCCGTTGGGTCCAGAGTACAATTTGAATTCATAACCAGCAATGGTGGCGGTAGCGATAGGGGAACCGGTGGAAGAAATTGGTCCAGCTCCTCCGATAGCGGCTAACCAAATCATGATTTCATATTCGTTGGTTCCTCCAGCGGTAGAGGCAGTGAAGATATCCCAGGAGACATCAGCGACGATGGATGATCCGGTGTATCTATGAAAAGATTAGAATCAATTGTTTGTTCACAAAAATAAAAGTGACGGTGAATGCTTACCCCCATTTCCAAACCGCAGGAATGGCAGAAATAGAAGAGACTTTGACACCAGCAGTGACAACCGAGTTCAAAGCCACATTGGCATACGATTTAACGCTTCTTGAAGCACCGGCCCAGCTCCACGATGTGGACCAAACAATGGTCGAACCACTCAAGGAAGTAACGGTCGAGCATTGAGATCCGGATGTGGCTGAATCTTTACCCCAGAGATCTTGGTAAACGGTGTAAGCACCCGTGGCGACACTGTCATATTGACCACAGATTTGAGTTGATCTCGCCTTCAAAGTTTTGTCGGCAGCTGGTGCGGCAAAAGCAGCACCAGAGAAAAGAAGAGGAAGTGCGACCTGCGTAAACTTCATTTTGATGGATGATTTTTTCGAAAAAAGGAATGTGAGGGTTAAAAAATGAGGTATAGAATGGTTTGTACAGGAAAGAATGAATCAACTTTTGATGGCCAAGAGAAATGGAAAATTGGCACAAGAAGAAGGGAGAGTTATATATGGGAATGAAATGATGTAAGCATGTGGTTATTATGCGTCCAGAAGGAGGAGTGGACGTAGCGCCACGCTTTCGAAATAGATGAAAAATAAATGAAGTAAGATGAGTTGAGGGGTAGAGATGGATCTTTCGATAAGCGACACAGGAAATAGAGGGAATGGATTTGGTGTTTCATTTTGACAAAGATAGTTAGACGCTCCGTGTTGGGGGAAGAGTTCAGGGGTAATTTGTGGGGTACATGAGTCTAGACATTTTACCGATCCAATGAGAGACTGTATTCGGACGCGGGTCATGGTTCTTGGGATGAAAGTTCGTGAAGGATAAAACAAGGCTGATCGATGTCCTCGTGGACCGTTTCGTTTCTTGACAGAACTGGGCAACAGCGGATATGCACTTGACAAGCATTCCAGCGTGGGAAATTCTCCTTGGCGCGAAACGATTCTTCCAGAAAAGATACACGTCATGCGATTTGAAGATTCATATACCTAGTCTGGGCTTGGAGTACCGACGAACGAGTAACTAAGAATAGGAGAACCATGGAGAATTATTGAACGTATATTCGCAATATCCGATTTTAATGAATTAATCATTTTTATAGTATGTATTTGTGATTCAATCTTCGAGATTCGATCGGGAAAATTTGTATTTAATACTTGGTACTTCGTACTTCGTATCTTTTTCCAATATTGCTCGGGAGTCATCCGAAGGTCCGAAGGGACCGATTGATGAAAGCTGTGGTTCACGAATTGTTTGTCGAGTATAATGTGTATTTCTTTTTTTAATCACCACATCATACAAACGAAAAGAAGCAAATCCTCAAATAGAAAGAAAGCTTTGCAATCATTTTGCATTAATTAACTTGCATCAATTTTGTTTCTGTGACCAAAATATCCGGGTATAATGAGCAGAAAGTAAGCGAGCTGAATTCACGCTGTCTGTAGGTGGGAATTTTCAACCCCGGATTTTGTTATAGGAAAGGGTGACGACGATCAACAAAATGAAGTTTTACCGCGGAGGAATCTACCGAGGTATTTAAGGCGAATGGAGTATTTGAACCTTCACATCCGAGTTTTGCTATCGTGTATGGTCGTACGGAATATCATAAAGGTCAGATGTATGTAGATCCAACGGTACTTAATGACTTACCGGTATGTTTGAACTGGACTCCACACTCAATGGACGTGGTCTTGAGTCAGTCGGTTTGCACCTGATTGATACCTTACCGGTACATGATGATACGATACGGAAATTAATATTCCTCCACGGAATTGTTAGGTATGAGAGTTTGTATTCCTGCGTCTTTTGATTTCGGAGTATGTGGATAAAGTGCTTGAATTGATTGTGTATTATTGGGCATGATTGAAGTTCTTCTAAAGTTTAAATATTCTGTCTGGTTTCTTCGGTATAAGGATAGTGTATTCTTTCGATATTTGAATGACGCTGTGCTATATGTCGAAAATCTAACGTGGAAATCTTTCATTTTATGCAGGTGAAGAGTGAAATAACTTCTCTTTTCAATTGAATTTATAAAGATATATATTCGATATACTTGTACATAGGCTCGTGATTGCTGTGATGAATATTCCGGACATCGTTTTCGTGATTGTGGGGGTGACGTTTAACCTCCTTACTCTTCCCAATAATGTTTAAATTCTGAAGTACAAGACCTACGTATTCATTTAATGTCACACACTCAAGTATATAAAGGGTGTCTTGTAAATAATCAACAAAATAATAATGAAATCCATTCATCAACCACAACCAATCCGTCACTCAATCCTTTGAGATACCATTCCCGAATCCAAGTCCAAAGTACTTTGAACGCAATCTTTCGGTATCTGCGTACATGCAAGAATATCGAAGAGGATATATGTATTAAAACATCTTTTATGGGTTTTCATCCAAATCTAAATGCTCTCTCTAAATCCAACAATCCGAATTTCGTGACGACATGCTGCCGATACCCAGATCACACATCTTAGCCCTTCGTGAAGAGTGATGTAGAGTCAATAAATAGTATTGTCTTCGCATGTATAAGTAATTCTCCAATAGCAATACTCTATAGACATATACATAGTAATATGTATAATACCAAGAGAGGAAAGAAAACTAGAAGTCACAAACCAAATTCCGGAAAATCATCTTTTGATTTATGATCTAGATATGAGATGTATTCGATAAATCATATACTCAGATGTAAGATTACCTGCTCCTGAATCCTATATCAAATACGTAGGTATGGATTATACCGTAATAATCAAGGTATAGGGATCTTTGACTGCCGTTAGTTACACCCGTTATCACTACCGGGTAACATACCCCACAAACAAGGAAGTACCGTGATGCTTTCTCCTCTCTCTCTCTTCATCCTCTATCCTTGATATGCTCATACCCAGTACATACATGCATACGATAAATATTATAATTCACATGTCGAAACATCTTCCATAAGTTTCAGAACAAAATACACATCTCCTGTCCAATTTATAGCCCAGCATATCAAATTACAGTCGAGTCGCTCAAATCAGTTCAAACCCTCAACGGTAGTCGATTCTTCGTACTACCCGCGGCGTGGCAGGTATATGCAAGCCAAGTTGACGTGAAATGAACCGTGCCCTTACCAGTAATCTAGTCCTTATCAGGAATAGCTTACATCATTCAAGAATACTCTTTTCCAACTTCACTCCATTCATTGTAAATCATGAAAATGATCAGTTCGGATGCTTACGATGATTTGTGAAAGGGTTTGTTCATGAAATTGTATATTGAAAAGATCACTGCTATTATTTCACTTTTATCTGTTTTGAATACCTAGATTCTGGGATTTGGTGCTTCGTTTTGGCTTATCCTGTCTCTATCAGGCTTCATCAATCCAACCCAATAACTTTCAGACCACTGGTGGACCCTATCAAATACATCACAATCTTGACCACTGATCATCAGGTACATAGCCCATTCTCATTACTATCAATCATCACCTCCTCAATCCAAACCATCAATCCTTCGTCGATCATACCCATACCACTTCCACACCAAATCATGCAATCCAACAAAACCCCTTAACCATGAATTTCGAGGTTCATGTATTGAACCTCAGGAGCTCCTGGAACCCAAAATTTAGAATTTCCATACGGAAGATTAGTATTTGTCTATTTTCTGGATTGAAGAAAGTTGTACTTACATTCCAATATTAGGAACACCACGTTTTATGAAAATCTCTTTCTGCCAAGGTCTTATGTTTGCAAGAAACTCATTTCTAGTCTGACTATATGGCGTAGGGTTGTGGGTTATGATATAACCAGGTTTAGGCCCCCCATCTTTTAACCATGTTAAACCTCCATATTCAAGCCATTTTACCCATTCTCAATACATATCGTCTTGACCCTTACGATGATGTACACGGTTGGTAAATCCAGCATGCGCCAAAAGATTATCGAAGCTATAATCTGATGCTTCATCACCATGTAAGCTTCGAATAAACGAGTCGTTGACGGGTGATGTGAATCGAAAATCTTTGGGGCCTTGTTTGCAGATGTAGTCGTTAAAATAATATAGGTAAACCTTTGACGCACGCGATGAAAATTTCTCACCCTGATCGCTTTCAAAAAGGGAATCCGTTTTATCAATTCTACCGGGATTTCGATTGAGACCTCTGAAATACTCATAACTAAGATGCTCGTGAGCAATTTGTTTCTCATAAAGATCATTGTCTTCGTGCAGCTTTGGAGCAATGCTATTGAGCGCGCCTAGATTTAAGGCGATTGCTGATATTTCTTTGGGGAACTGAATCCAAAAATATTTGGATTCTATACGGCTGAAACGGCCCATTGGACATATAATATCATTTTTATGACAGTAAATTCGAGGCTCAATCATCGAGTAATCTTCTGAGGGTGTTTTGGGCATTCCGAGGCGACAACCAAAGGCGAGTTTGTAATATTTTAGACCAATCAACCGTGAGAGGCAGCTGACATGTAAAATAGGAGCAACAACTTGTGTTGTTACGAATTTGAATGGATTCCATCGGATTTGAGTGGAGTAATTTCGAGGGCCGTTGATTATTCGCTGTTTCTCAATTTCCCATAATTTTTCTGGTCTTTCACTCCAGGTCCAGATATCAAGATTTCTTGAATTATTATTTGCGACGAGTTCCCAGATTTCGATCCAAATTTCCGTTGGCAATTCTTTCCGATGATTAGATGTCTCGTCTACCATCTTATCGGTTGCAAGCTGATTGGGTTCCTCCTTGTTGTCGTGAGGAGTAGTCGGCATAACAGAGATTGTTAATGAGGATTTCGCCTTATCCATCTCTGGGTTTCAATAAGGGTGGTATTCTTCTGTGGTTTCTCTTTTTCTCTTTCTTTTTCCATTTCCTCTTCTTCTCCCATTTCCTCTTCCCTTTCTCTTTTCTTTCCAATCCGGTGATGAATTGATGAGGTCCTTGGTTTGATCAGCATTGGATTGATTTGAGTCGTCGTCATCGATAAGTATCGACTTTTCTGCAGAATTCAAAGCTCTAGCTGGGTTCGGAGTTTTGTTACCCCTAGGAACTTTATAGCCTCCTCGAAGAGAAGAGTTGAAAGGAGCCACCATGATGGATTGAAGTGTAGTTGACAAAGGTTGATTTTCTTGGGATGTTGTGAGTGGAATGTCTTCTTTATTGTCAAGATAAATAGTTTGATAGTGGATGGTATTTTGACATGATGATGTCAGGGCTGTGATGCTGCTTCCAAAGTCCTTGACATTGAGAAGGGAATTGGGGTCGAAGACTTTGCTTATAATTGTTTAGGATGCAGGTGATCAATGGTTATGGTCCGAGCACCTAGTGTGGATTGATTCACCAGACAGAATACAGCAGGTCATCTGAAGAGCATCTTGACCGTACTCACATCTCTACCATACTCACATCTCTACCATACTCACATCTCTACCATACTCACATCTCTACCATACTCACATCTCTACCATACTCACATCTCTACCATAGTAATCTATTCGACATCTCTACTGTTGATATTCAATAACCTTTTACAAAAAGTACCCTACTTGGAACATTTTTCATTCATCTGGTAGATGTATGTCTCACAAGACAAGTTCTTCAAAGAAAAACCTGACACAGAGGACAGCTGAGGGTTGAGCCATAGGTACTCGACCAAGCATTGTTTGTTTAACCTTGGAGACCTTACCTTAGAAACCTTACCTTGGTATAGTGAATGTTTTCATGTCTTTCTATCTATATTGACTATCAAGTTAGGTGCAGCAATCTTTAATTCACAAATCCTCCAAGACCATAGCTCAAATTCACATTTTTCCCTACCCGAACTTTGGGAAAACTTGCCTAAGACCTTTCATCTTTATCTGTTTTCTTAGGTTTGTATTGTGTCATCACATGACATGACCGTTCTTTCAACCTCCTTATTTACTTTGCTCTGAATTTAATTATTACTTCTTGAATTTGATATTCATTGATCATTGATCATTAATCATTAATCATTATAAGGGTAGTGGCATTCTTTGTAAAGGTAGACTAGCTGCTGACTATAAGTGGTCAAACACGTGAGGAAACATGTAGGTAAAGTCTTGCTCCACAAATACCGCCAATATACGATAGAGTTGTTAGATCCATATGAGAGAAAGCTTTGTTCAGGGAAAAGTTCGGCAAACTTCTTCGAACTGTCAAGGTTCCCGAATAAAGTGTTGAGATCTCAGGTTAGAGTCAAAGACAGTTATCCGATCTAAGCAAGACTAGAAAACTTCCTCAATCATCGATGGGAACAATGTTGATAAAAATACCCTCCTTGCGGGGATCGGGGATCGGGGATCAAAGCTTGTCAATGTTTATCCCCCCACAAACTTAAGTATATTTGAGATTCAATTCTCAAACTTTTACCATTAACTCTTGCCAGCAACAATATCTCTTGGAAGTTCAAAATTCCTTTTCTTTTCCTTCCTCAGTTCTAATCATCAGTTTCACGCTCTTTTATCAAGATCTTGGATTTCATCTACCAATCTTGGCGCTCATTTCAATCCTTTTATGTACTTTCATGCTCTAACCAATTTCCGCCTTTAATTTTGTTCTTTGTTCTCAAATTACATCCACCAATTCTTGGCTCAAGGTTTCTTTCTCAAGGTCGAGGTCGCAAAGGTTCAAATTTTGTTAAGATGATTGACGAATCGAATCCAATCGAACATAATTATGTCACTCAGCCTTGCTTCCCCTTCGATTTATCTTGTAGTCCTGCTCTTCGCCATACTCACCATACTCACCATGGATTGAAAGCTCAAAATCGCATCAACCCATCAGCTCATCACTTCCAACCGTCTCAACTTCATCTTTCTACCCCATTCGACCTTTCTCTCATTTCACGCCATCCTCAAAAATTGGGCTTACGTCGAATGAAAAAGAGCCACAATCTTGCTGATCTTGCAAGAGTGAAAATCAAGTCCTACCATGAGATCGTCATGACAGTCGATACAGACCCTTCTTTGCCCAAATTCGCAGACTTTCCAAAAGAAATTCGGCTCAAAATTTGGGAAGAATATGCCAATAATTTGACACCAAGAGATATACCTGTCTGGCGTCTTAGGAATCCGTTTATTCATTCATCCACTAGTTGTTATATCAATGTTTATGATCATATCAGCAAACGTCTTCAATTGATTCCTCTCAGTAGTGGATCGGTACGTCATTATGATTTCAAGTGGGCTTGTCCACAACCAGATATCCTCTACATCAATTCTGAAGCACGAAAAGTTGGATTGAGTATTTACACCCAAGAGAGTTTGAATGGTACCATTTGCTCCAAGATGAATTGGGAACCTGGTTCGGAAACTGGTCCAGCAACCATCTATCGTCACATCAATGGAATGGATCGCATCATGCCAATGTATGATTTTTCCAATGGACACGAAACTTTTTGGATCGAACATGAACATCAACTCGAAGGACGCATTGCACTCAATGCTTTTCTATATGATTTGGATCCAAATCAACCAGTACTCTCAAGTGATACTATGTTGATGTTGATGAAGAGTTCTTTAACAGCTAGGGAAAGACGCGAACTTTATGATAAAGAAGTCGCAAAAGCTTGGGCAGCAGTTATACCATCAACCGCTATACCACCTCCTACTAGGACACTTGGTCATTTCCATCCATTCAATATTAAGGAAATTACGATTTACTATCGCACTGAAAGTCTCATTGGAGTTAAAGGTAAGTTCTCTCCTTCATTCAATTTAAGTCGCACGTTACTAATTCCTGCTAGAATTTAAATGGACCAACATCTCCGAAAACCATCTCCACGACTATGAAGGCTACCAAGAAATGCTCAACATGAAACGCGCCATCAAAATCGCATATCAATACTGGGAATTGCAACGCTATCGCACTTGGGTACATTACACTGGCCACATGAATCCTCAAATCACAGCTGAATTGGTGGAGGATCTCAATACATCAGAGTTTAAGAAACACATTGGAAAGATAAGTTATTTGTTGTTGACGATGACGAGAGATAATCCGGGATTGCAGGAAAAGTATAAATCGAGAATGGAATATAAGATGGCGAATCCGAGGAGAAGTTGGAATGAGAGAATGGAGGAGATGTGGGAGGAAAGAGTACCGGTTTTGCCGAAAATTCAGTTTGCGGTTTGTGGGAAGAAGGAGGGGGGGCTGAAGGGAGTGGTTAGACCGCCAGGGTTTAAGTTGTAGGGTGGGGACGGAAATGGCATGGGTATGAGATGGGGATAGAATCGGTATAAGAGTAGAGGTGGGGATGTGGTGTTCGGGGATGGGAACGGGACAGGTATGAGGATGAGCATAAGGGTAGAGGTGGGGGTAGAGATGGGGTGAGGGGTGGTGTGCGAGAATGAAGATGCGTATTAGAAGCGGGAGATGGGCATTCAGGAGAGGTAAGAATGATGTGAGAATTTGGGAAGGGGAATAAAATGGAGCCTTGGTTGTGATTGGAATCACTCCTTCTGGATTGAATACATGCGCGTCAAGGATTGGTGATTTGGTAATGTTCCAAAAGGCTGGATGACACAACGGGAGAATTGATACGACAAAAAGCTCAACACGATACACGAATATCGAACTCGACACTGTAAGTACACAGACAAAAAAGAATGACAAAAGGGTTTCTTATTTTCTTCATTTTATTTTCTTCTCCTTGTAAATTAGAAAAGTTAACGTCTATTTTAGTAGACCAGTAGTCTTAGATATTCTCCTTTGGGAATTATGAAATAAAATAGATTAGAAGGGATAGATCTTGAATGAATGAAAAGTCAATTGGTGATGAATTTTCCTTCTGGGATTTTGGGTGCGGCGGATCTGCTTGCTTGCTCGCTCGCTGGGTGTGGCTTGGGAGATGGGAGATGGGGTAAAATTTGCGGAGGTAGATGATGGAATTGGCGCTGTTGTTGTGATGCCGTGTGCGATGCTGTATAAACTGAGAAGTAAGTACTCAGTATATCTCGATATTTGATTAATTCATAAAAGCTCATTGGATTTGCTGTGAGTGTATTCCATCCGATCTTTCTCTTTTTTCTATACCTCACGATTTCACGAGCTTTGGTGGAGGTGGAGGTTGACGTTGATATTGATATCGATGCAGAAAAATTAACGAAGAGGCGGATCCATTAGTTTTTCTAGTATGAGTGTGTGTATCATCAGAGTTTTCTGAGGGCGAATGGATAGTTTAGCGGGAATTTGGGATGGTGTATCGGGATTGGATTAGATTGGGGTTATGAGAAGGATTTTGTGATTTGTGAGATTCTGATGATGATGATGATGATGATGATGAGTATATGAGAGAGGATCAGGAAGAGGGACGGAGATGGAATGGAGATGAGAGAGGGAGATGGAGGAAAATTGATATCTAGATAGTCACGCATCAGCGCGATATATTTCACATTTCCTATTACAAACAATCAAAAGCTTGTGATTATCATTATCATTACCACTATCGTCATCAACAGAAATCCAGTACCCAGATACCTAAGTATCATTTCGAGATCGTGACATACCTACCCAATCCCAGGTCTAGTTCTCAAACCAAACTAAGCTAAGCTAGGGTATTCGAGATGACTAATCGTATTAAGCGAGGTACTGTGTGTGTCGTTTTTGGTTTTGAATACGGTATGGTATGGTATGGGGTGAGTTGGTATGGAAGGGTAGAATGGATAGGCTGGGCGGGGTAGTGGAGTCACGGGGACTGAGTGAGAGTTTGAGATAAGAATTCCATTGGTATTTTTTTAAGGGGGGGGGGAAATGATTTAAGATATTTTTACACGAGATGTCCGGGGGAATCCTCGCTTGGGTTCGGATGACATGGTTCACCCGGAGATCACTAACACCTCAGACTTTCCAGTTTGCTGTAAAACACATCATGTAAATTTATTTTCAGGATTCTTGAAGATTAGCGTCATGCTGCTTATTCTCATTCTTACTTATCCTTTTCATCATGGAGACAGGATCCGAGAATTTGCCTGGCTTTGTCCATGCTGAAGTCTCCTGGTATTCTTTTTTCGGTGAATCGTGCGCTGTTGATAATTTCATTCTCTCCCCAGATTGCCATAGGCTATGGTGTTAAATTCTGACTCTAGTTAATAGACGAATATGTGGAACGGGAACTGAAAATCTTAGCTCTAAGTCTTATAGAGCTGAGAACCTTTTTTGAAACTCCCATGTTCGATCTATCTGAGCTCGAGATTGCCACTGGCAACACCATACAAACTGATAGTCTGAACATAATAGCGTTAAGGACGATCGGAAATCTCAAAATATATTGGACCGAATATATAGAAGAACATTTGATCTTAAATATCCCGGAGAGAATACTGTATCTTGCATATTCACGATTACACCCATTTTCTCAATTCGAAAGCTTGCAAACAACTCTGTGAGCCCCCCTTCGTGACCTGCTAAATCCTGGCAAGATACTAAACAATTCAAAAGCATTGATCCCGGTCAAATCTGTTCACGCGAGAAAAAGGATAAATTTGATGACCAGTCATCCCACTGGCTGAATAGCTGTATTGCAGCCTCGTGGGCAATGATATTTTCCTATCGATACGCAACGCTTAAATGCCAGAAATCATGTTTTAATACGGCATTGAGATTTCTTCATTTTGCCAAGGATCCTATGGGAGTGCTCAAACGCGCATACGAAGGTATATCATTCGACCCGGTCCCATACTCATATTGTGACTCTGATCCTATAATGTATCCATGGCAATCTGATTATCGCGATCCAGCACCTTTGAGCAGGGCTGAGATTGAGGGAATAAGCAATTATCATGTTTCGAGTTTGGGTACTGGGTGGATCGCCGACCTGGATCCTGACGCCCACGAAAAGACCACTTTCCAATACTCGAATTTCGGCATCTTCGAAAACAGAGTTCGTCAATTGAAGTTTTACATGGATTTCTAAAAGCCTCAAGGATTTCGACAACTCTGGAGAGACAAGAGAGATGCGTTGAATTATTGTACTTTTTGGGGTGTAATTATATTTGGAGCATCGACTTTATTTTTGGCGATAGTATCACTGGCTGTTAGTGCTGCACAAGCCGTTGCTGCTTTCAAAGCTTTGGATATGCCGCCTTCGAGTCATTGAATATGCAGCCATTCGATTTCCCTTTTCAATCGTGTCCCAAATATCCTCAATCATAACCTCCTTTTCCTTTTCATCCCGCGGTGGATCCCTCGCTTCCACCAACAAACAACCCCGCATTCTTCCTAAACCACACACAATTGCTACCTCAACCGCAAGATGCGCATTCACTAGCCCCTCCATTCCCATCGGATTTATCTTCTCGCACTCGTTGAACAAATAATCACATCATCGGTTCTCCCCTCGAAATGCCACAATCCCTCTTTTGTCGGATGTTTTGAAAATAAATCTTTACTTGAGTATTTATTTAAATGAGGAAATGTAGAAAATACACCTTGAGATAATGTGAGTACAGGTTGGCGGATGAAATAATTCAGACACCTTTGGCGAAGAGACGGAGTTCAACACCCATCATGGGACTAAAGTTCCTGTATTCCCAATCTTCGGAATCGGCGATTTGCGTGCGTAGAAACCGATTTCGGTGGCGCCTAAATGTAGGAAAGGTGAGAATGGGGTTTGAGGATGTTTGCGATTTCGGTTGGGAGGGGTCCACCGCCGTAGTTTAGGTAGCGAAGGTTTTTGATGTTGATTAGGCATTTGGGACTTTTTGCAATTTGGGTGAGGATTGCGGGACTGAGGAAACTGGCATCGAGATTTCCGTGGAGATGGGCAAGATTGACCACTTCAGATGTCATGTGAATGAGTGGAGGGAGAACGATGGTTGTGGTGGAGTAGATACAGAATGATGTGAAACAGAGGGCTGCACTGTGGAAAAGGCTGAGGCCGATGAAAACTCTGGCATTTTGATAGAGTGAGAGAGTCATAGGTTGATCTCCGGGTGGAGGTGGGATGAGGAAAGTGTCGTGTTGGGATATGGTATACCGTGGGTCAGTATGATAGGGTTTTGGGTACCGGTGGAACCGGAGGTATGAAGAACAACGAAAGGTTTATATTTTGCTTGCTCGAAGGGTTTGGTGTAGAGGTGTGATGGTACTGAACTTTCCGAGAGCAAGTCCTGAAGATTTTATATCCTCAATGTACGCATTTGTCTTTTCGAGAGAAGACTTTGGGTAATAACTGGTAATTTTTCTGGGACTAAAAGGATTTTGTATTCCAAAGACTCGAGTAGTGCGATATGACCTCCAAAACTATTTGGAAGGGAATAAAAAAACATCAATGAATTACGGTAGGAATTTGGAGTAATTAGTCGAGGATAGTAACTGGAACCTGATAGCCGGCCTTGATAGCAGCAAACAGTAATATAATGTATCGGAAGTCTTGAGGTCCAACACATCTGAGTGTTTCAAATGTTTCACTGCGACCTAGATTCTTTTCCATCCACCAAGAGCATTCATCGATAGACCTGGCAAAGTCTTTGTATATGATATCTTGAAATCCATCTTGGATGTCAATCGATAATGGAATCGATGCAAAAACACGAGTGGGATTACTTAAAGCTAGACCATCAATCACGTGTGGAAGTAGTCTTCTTCCACGGTCGCTTGAAAGAATAGGATCTTGTGTCATGTTGAGATTCGAATACTCATTGATTTGGGGGTTTCAAATCATCTAGGACGGGACTGGCTGAAATATATGCAACATGAACAACTCCATGATTGCACTTGTAGTCCAATTGTTTGTGTGAGAATGGAAATCTTTCTTGGCCCATTGACCGATAATCTAACATGAAGTATCCAATCGAGGGACATTTTTACTGTGTCTGCTTGTGCGGGGGATTCTCTGACTACACTTACCTAGATAGATATGCGAGTCTGCGGCAGTGATTGCACTAACATTTGATGATTGCCATGATCAAACCGAGTTGTACTGAGGAAACAACTTGTTGCTTCACAGTTGCTACTTTGTCACTATTCAGGTTAACGAACCTTGGAAGCAAATGAAGACCAAAAATTCTTATCCAAGAGGGCTATGAGAATACAAACTTTGGAAAACTACCCAGGTATACAACAACCCAAGTTGCTCGAATGTGAATATTCTCAAACGAGAGTCGAAAGACCAACGTGGAAAGACCTGGTAGTCAATATGATGGCCAATCAGAGAATTTTCTATAAACGTTCTTTCGCTGTCGTGAAATGCAGTTCGTCTAGGAGGTTCGAGAGAGGATCCAATAGAACGGAACGGCCGGGACATTTATATCATATCAGTGTAATCATATATATGCTAGAAACATATTTTCTTTTCAGTCGATCTAGAGAGTGCTAGGCTAAATTCCGATATTGAAGATTTAATCAAGCGTTTTTTCGTCCAAAATATTGATTGTAAGATTTGATGTTGAATATTGAAAAGAGTGAATAGTTTATTCTTCAATTTTTTCGTCCTTCTAGACTCTGGAGAGAGATCCAATTCATTAAAGGTGGTAATTTCCCTGTAGAACCAATATCATCTTGCTTGCCTTAATTAGTGGTGTATTTTTGCGACGATGTGTAATAATATTCAATATCTCTTCCGCGCTTTGCCTTATTAAATGACTTCTAATCTTGAAGCATTGAATATTGTGAATAGAATCAAATGAGATGAACAAAATTTTATCCACAACCCATGGATATCAGCTGTAATGCGGGTGGATCTGCTGTAGCCTGAGGCAAAAATAAAACTAAAAAGACCCTGGGCCTACTCCCCCACATCGGCCATGGTAAAAAAAAAAGTTAACATAATCTTTTGAACCTCAATCTTCAACTTTCTTCTCTTGTCATTCATTTTCAATCATTTTCAATATTTGCATGCGATACGTGTAAATATACTTTGAAAATGGATCAACAACAATTCTTAGAGCTCTTACAGGGTGTTCAGATTCGTAAGTTTTTACCAAATCGCAAAATACCCCTCCATTTTTGCTAACCTTTCCATCATTACAGCTGATACGGAGCGTGTCAAGGCCGCAACCACAGAATTAAGAAAGAACTATTACCCAAACCCAGAATCCCTTCTCTGGCTCATCGAGATCTTCATCGCTCATGGAGATCAGGCAATTAGACAACAAGCCGCCGTCGAGGCTCAACGCTTGGTCAAGAAGCACTGGAAAAACATTTCAGATGCCCAAAAACAACAAATCAGAGAACAACTTCTACAAAAGACATTAAATGAGGAGGTTAAATTGGTTAGACACTCTGGTGCTCGTGTTATTGCTGCTATTGCAGGTCAAGATATCGAAAACGGACAATGGGCCGACCTTCCAGATACTCTCGCACAAGCCGCAAGCTCTCCTCAAGTTTCACATCGTGAGGTCGGAGTTTTCATTCTCTTTACCTTACTCGAGACTGCTTCACCATACTTCGCCGAGCAAACTGCTGTCTTGTTCTCCATTCTCAGCAAAACCATTCACGATCAAGAGAGCACTGATGTCAGAATCAACACTTTGATCTGCCTTGGTGCCGTTGCTACTATGATCGAGCCAGATGAGGACCCGGAAAGTTTGAAACTCTTCCTTGAGATTTTCCCACAAATGGTCATTGTCTTGAAGAACTTTATTGATTCCAAGGAGGAAGACCGCACCGTGCAAGCTTTCGAAGTTTTCCAAACTTTGTTGGGTTGTGAATCAGCTTTGATCGCACCTCACTTCAAAGACCTTTGCAGCTTCATGCTTGAGGTTGCCTCGAACACCAACAACGAAAATGACGCAAGAACTCAAGCTTTGTCTTTCATCATGCAATGCACCAGATATAGAAAGATGAAGATTCAAGGTACTAAGGATTTGGGTGAAAAGATCACCATGACCAGCATGCAAATCGCCACTGAGCTCGAGGATGATGACGATGAGGATGATGAGACCTCCCCAGCTCGCTCTGCATTGGGTCTTCTCAGTTTACTCGCCGAAAGCTTGCCACCTCGTCAAGTTATCGTTCCGCTTCTTAACGCTCTTCCACAATTCTCCAACCATCAAGATCCAAGATATCGTCAAGCAGGTATCCTTGCACTCGGTATGTGTGTTGAGGGTGCACCAGATTTCGTCGGTACTCAAATGGATAGTTTCTTACCTATTGTTTTCAAACTTCTCGAGGACCCAGAAAGTGGTGTTAGGCATGCAGCTCTTAACGGTGTTGCAAGATTGGCAGATGATCTCGCTGAAGATCTTCAAAGCACTCACGAGCATCTCATTCCTGCTCTTCTCAAGAACCTCGATGCTGCTATGCAATATGCAGCTGGTGGAAACAACGACAAGCAAACTCTTGATACCATGAAGGCATCATGTGGTGCTTTGGACTCCTTGACTGAGGGTATGGACCAAGAAATTGTCAAGAACTACCTCCCAACTCTTGTTCCACGTCTTACTCAATTGTTGGATCACCCAGATGTTGGTGTTAAATCTGCTGCCGCAAGTGCTATCGGTTCCCTTGCAAGCTCTGCTGAGAAGGAGTTCCTTCCATTCTTCAAGGATACTATCGAGAAGTTGGCACAATTTGTTGAATTGAAGTCAAGCAATGATGAACTCGATCTTCGTGCTACTGTCTGTGATTCCATTGGTAGCATGGCAGTAGCTGTTGGTGCTCAAGTCTTCCAACCTTATGTCAAACCATTGATGCAAGCAAGTGAAGAAGCTTTACATCTTGACCACCCACGCTTGAAGGAAACTAGTTACATTCTCTGGAGTACCTTGGCAAAGGTCTACGAAGAGGAGTTTACACCTTTCCTTGAGGGAGTTGTTACTGCCTTGGCTGCTTGTTTGGATCAAGAAGAGGACAACCTTGAGGTTGAGCTCGGTGAACATGCTCAAGACTTGCTTGGCCAAGAAGTCATTGTTGCTGGAAAGAAGGTCAAGGTTGCTGGTGCCACGGATGTTGAGGAAGCTGATGATATGGATGATGATGACGATGACGAAGACTGGGATGATCTCACTGCCGTTACTGCCGTTGCCATGGAGAAGGAAGTCGCTGTTGAAGTCATCGGTGACATTCTCACACATACTCGTCAACACTACATGCCATACTTTGAGAGAACTATCGAGGCTATTTCTCCATTGGTTGAGCACTCTTACGAAGGTGTCAGAAAGACTGCTATCAGCACAATGTGGAGAGCATACGCTTGTCTTTACAGCATGATGGAAGACAAGACCGGAACAAAGTGGACCCCTGGTTTACCTTTGGCAACTGAACCAACTCCTGAGTTGGTCAGAATGGGAGAGATTGTTACAACTGCTACAATGTCTCTCTGGGAAGATGAATATGACCGGTAAGCTATTTTTCTTTGATTTCTCCTATCACATGGAATGATGAACAACATGACGTTATACCCAGCTCACTCAGATGCACAAGTTGCACATGCTGCGAACGCGTATCTACTCCTGATCATAACTATTGTCATTTATTTGTATAAATTCCTTTGAGGAATATATCTAACATTGTATAATAGTGGTGTCGTTACCGACATTAACCGCAACGTCGCTTCTACATTAAAGCTCTGCGGACCAGCTATCTTGGCTCAACCAAACTTTGCCGAATCCATCAAGAACGTCATCTTTTCCGTCATCATGCGTCTTCACCCATGTCAACAAGATCTTGGTGATGAACTTGAGTCACCTGACGAGGAAGATGCTGAATCTTCCGAATACGACTGGCTCGTCATTGATACCGCTCTTGACCTTACCTCAAACCTTGCTCTCGCTCTTGGAGCTCAATTTGCTGAGGTCTTCAAGGAGTTTGAGAAGCCACTCAAGAAGTTTGCCTCTTCCAACACTCCATTCGAAAGATCGACCGCCATTGGTGTCATTGCTGAAATCACTGGCCACATGGGATCAGCTATTACTCCTTTCACTGCATCCCTCTTGCCAGTTCTCCTCAAACGTCTCTCTGACACCGATCCTGAGGCAAAGTCCAACGCCGCATATGGTACCGGTCTCTTGATCTTCCACTCCCAAGATAGCGCTACCTATCTCCCATCATACAACAATATCCTTAGCAAACTCGAGCCTTTACTTCAAACCAACCATGCCCGCTCCATTGATAACGCCTGTGGATGTGTTTCCCGTATGATCATGGCCCACCAAGATGCTGTTCCACTCAACGATATTCTTCCAGTTATGGCTGGATTATTGCCACTCAAGGAAGATTATGAAGAGAATGAGCCAATCTTTGAAATGATTGCTGGTCTTTACAGTCAAAGCAACCAAACTATTTTGCAACTCACTCCAAAGTTGATTCCAGTATTCGCTGCAGTTCTTGGTGAGCCAGTTGAACAATTGGAGATTGAGACTAGAGAGAAGGTTAAGGGTGTTGTCAAGTTCATTGGTGGAAGCCACCCAGAATTATTGAACGGACACCCATCATTGCAAAACTTGTGATTGCAAATTTAGGGACTTTTCTTTAGGAATTATTTGGTGGATTGGACTTCTGATTGATGGCTATATACTTGGTCTGAAAGAATATCGGAATGGATAGATTGATGGGAAGGAAATAAAAGGTTTTGATAAGTAATGACGTGATGAACATACCCCCAATGCACGAAATGAAGAATGAAGGATAAATACATAGATTATATTACTTGTAGACAGAATGAGAATTTTCGTTTTGTTTCAAATTTCTTTTGCGCATAATTACATTCTTCATTTGACTTTTTTCAATTTTATGATTGGCACGTGTACGTTGATTGATACCTTTCATGGGGGCAAGCCCCCAAACCCCCAGTCCTCGCTGCGCTCGAAAACTTGTAAGGGTAACGATCTTCTTTGAGGCTCTCCAGTGTTGAGAATTGAGAAAGATCATGTTTCGATCAAGACAGGTTTGGCAAATTTTATTGGGTAAACAAAGCCTCTCGTCATTCGTAACCTGGCCTAATCAGATTTCACCTGCCCTCTATATTTAGAGATTCCACTGGCAAAATGGTACGCAATGTTTCTGGGATAAAGACATATGCAGCGGTATTTTCGCCAGATTGTGGCAGAAGTATGATTCCAAATGCTTCAATTGTTCCGTGTGCGTCGCTGCTGCTGCGCCGCCGGTGCCGAAACATCAGACCAACTTACTCGTGTTGCAGATTGCGGAGTCGTGATTTGCTATGTAGGTTCAAGGGCTGTGTTTTATTAAAGAAGTCTTTGCGGGGAAGATCAGGTTTGGGGGATGGATTATTACAATTTTTATATTGTAATGATGGGAAAAGACTACGGCTCAAGTGAACCTGCTTATGAAGATTGAATAGTTGATTGATTCTAGCAATTATTTAATTCCATTTCGTTGAAAGGCTATGCCGGATCTTCTGAGTTTTTTCACCGACAGAGACTCTTATGAATCTGCACTTTCAATCACTTGTTCGCAGGGGTTTATACCCTGAGTGGAGACTGTGAAGGGAGGGGTGGGGTCGAGAAGAGGCTCTTTCTAGGTTCTGTACACCCTGGATTACCAGTTTGGGAATTTCGATGCAACGCAAGAAATGCGCAGCCATTGATGTTATCTCCACGTTTGATCCTACGTATCACATTTGTACAAACTGCATGACTAGGTTATCAGGCTCTTGCGCGAAGGATGCGGCACGTAATTTTTACCCAAATTCATTTGGGGGCGGAATGGAGGCTTTAATATAGATTGGAAAGGTACTGAGGTGGAATGTCATAATTTTTTGTTTCGTCTTAGTTTCTTGGTCCATTGGTCCATTGGTCCGATTTTGGTTTGGTGCCTATTTCGCTTAAGAAGCTTTGATATTTGTTTAACGAAAATGTTATTTCGTTACGAGAGTTTAGCTTCGTTATTGGTCTGTGTTGAGGCTGTCGCGGCTTTATATAGTAGTGATGTCAAGGTCTCTCAACGAGATTTTTCTTCACGGCAAACGACAAGTTTAGGGGCTATAACGGTGCGTTCTGCGGAACAAAAACGAAGCGTCGCAAATTTCAAACCAAGTTTGGAATGTACTCATCATTATGCTGATCGTAAGTCGACTTTTTTTTTTTTTGGATTTATGAATTGGACTCCGATATATCAATTCGCCTATTCACGCATCGGACATTGAATTTCAAAGCAAGATTTCATGCTTTGTTGTCACGATTTAACGAGATACTAATGAGATATAGACGATTCTATAATTCGAAGAACACATTCGAGATTCGCATCCACGTCGATGAAATATAAATTACCTGCAGTCATTTTGGAAGATATTGAGCTCAATGTCAGGAATATTTTGTGCTCAAGATCAAATATTATCGTTGAATTCCCTTCTGTGAATTTATTAGCTGAGGCAGAGAAAGAATGGAAAGATTTTCCCGAGTTCTTGGTCATTTCATCACATGCCGGATGTAATGACCAGAAAGCGCGAGCTCCATATTTGTAAGTGACAATTGTAATAATTTTTGAAAAATTACTAACAAGTAAAACAGAGTCTCTAATGTGAAATACGTTCTCAAATCCAACACCGCAATCCTCTCCGTGCAACGGATTGAATGGAAAGATGCTTATGATACAATGGAAGTAAAATTTGGTATGGGTAAATACGATAGTAGCGCCCTTCGTATACACAGTGATTTGCGCAAAAGAATTACTTCGTCAGTCTCAGTATCATCTTCTGAAACTGTCTCTTTTCCATCACCGCCATCAGCAACACCAACCTCGGATACATCAGTTCATAATATTGGATATGCGGCACCTGCGGGTTTTAGTCTTGGAAGCTTCGCTACTTCGTATGTTTATATTTTCTCTTTAAATGATCAATCCAATATAACTAATACTATACGTCAGGAATGATGGTGTAGGAGGATCTTTATCAATAAAGTGTGGTAATTGTTCAATCGAAGGTTCAATCGAATTGACTCAAGGCGTATTTAATGTTAGCGACTCTTCTCACAATACAGAAAAAGCAGTGAACTTTGTAGAGAATGGTTATTTCGACATGGTAGTCAATGGATTTAGTGCCCATATTGAAATTGATTCCGCAGTCACGGGAACATTTACAGAAACTTTCACTATGGCCCTAACAACATTGGCTTTGCCGGGTTTCCAGGTATGTCAAGATTCTACCCCACGTTCTTTGGCCATGGGACATGTCTCGAGAAATTCTAACACATCTTCTAGATCCCAAATATTGCCGCAATAGGTCCGATGTGGATCCCCGCAATTCAAGGTTCTATCACTGTCTCTAGAAATCTAAACTTCACTTACGGTTTCGACGTTTCCGTGCCAGACAAATCATCCATCCGGTTGAATATTGGTAATCTTACCGAATCAACATCTTCTGGTTTTAGCGACTCTATCATCACCGCTCTTCCGCTCACCGCGACCGATCCCTCCATATCCTTGACTCTCTCCCTCGCCCTTCGTTCCGAAATCCTCCTCGGTGTCGACATATTATCAGGCAAAGGATCCATAGCCGCCGGTGCCTTTCTCGATCTTCCCGCTCTCTCCGTCACAATCTCCGAGCTCACCTCGGTGGACGAAAACTGCAATCCGGCCCAAAGCTCCTCGTCAAGTGTCGAAGATCTAGACTATTTCTCCTCTCTCACAAATATTGTTCCACAAGCAGATATAGCCATAGGACTTCAAGCGGGTATTCAATTGAGAATTCCAGATTTAAAATTCGTGGAGAATGTAGGGACGACGGCTACGCTTGCTGGAACGAGTATGTCGCTTCCGACGCATTGTATGAGTTTTGATGGGGAGAAGAAGGAATTTGTTACTCCCGGGGCTACTGCTAGCTCTAGTTTGAGCACAAGTACAGGTACAGCGGGGGGGTCGAAGAAGTCGAATGCGGAGAAAAAGGCTTCGGTGCCGGTGATGGGGAGTGGAGGATTTGGAGGGTTAACTTGGATGGCGGGGCTTTTGGGGTGTGTGGTTTTTGTGGCGTTGGGTTTATGATGATGATTTTATAATTTTATGTCTTGGGTAATGAAGGGAACTCGGTAGGAGTTTGTACTCATAGCTTATGTCACTAAAGAGTAAAGTAGATTGGATATTTTTCGACACATAGACTCCTGTTATGATTGATGGCTGTAAGAATAAATGATATTTCAAACAAGGAATTCAGGCCAAAATGCGTAATTCCAAAGATGGATACAAGCAAGTACGAATTGAATGAAAATTCAACAGGACTAGGTTCATGAATGGATTCCAGATGATAGCTACATGAAGGAGTCCATTCTGCGAGGAAGCGGAAGAATACGACTCAAGGATGAGGCAAGGTCAGAAATTTTAGTTTCGTAACTAGAGTGCTGGTTCGAAAGTTCGAGCTGGGAGAGTTCCTCCACAAATGATGAAGTGCTTGCTGTTCTTTCTGTGGTCTAACGGGAGGGCTAGAATTTTGTTCGTGAGTATTACATCACTGGTTCGCTTTTCCTAAAAAAAAAACCTGTTAGAGGTCAAAACTCAATCATCTAAGTCCTGGATTCGTGGATTCTCAAGATTTGTCAGGTGTCAAGTGGCCAAAAACCTGCAACGGTGAATCGTCGACGGAAAGAAGATATGCAGCTACATGAATCATACATACGAGCATGTTTGGCATCATGAAACCTACTATGTTCAAAACGATATATTTTTCACTGCCATATTATAGTCGCGTTCTTATGCAATGGTAAGGCACAGTAAATATTCCAGAGCCAAAAATGACGTCGAACAGCCTTACGTAGGCTCTCACTAGACCATTCCTGGTCTGGATAAATCGTGACAATTATCCGTAATCATCGCGCTTGTCTTCTTCCTCTGCCAACTTTCCTTCTTATCTTTACAACTATCACAGAAAATAATCTTGGAAAGAAACAATAATTCATTCATTTTGACATCTGTATCAATATGGAATCAATTCCTCGGTCTCACGATTATGAGAAGCTTGATTTCAGCGAAAATCCATTCGAAAAACTCCCGAGGGAATTGTTGTTGCCAATTGTTAAGTTCACCTCTGATTTGGCATCGGTCTGGAGCTTGAGTTCAGTTTCGCCGGCGGTTCATTTGCTTATTGATGATTTCGGCAAGGAGATTGTGGAGACGATCTTAGAAGCGAGTGAGCCAAAGCAGATCCGAGTTCTTTTCACTCACATCGTACTTCTGAAACTGGGTATACACCCATCAACGTCGCTCGATGATTTCAAACTGCACGACGCCAGATCCTGGACTCGATTCAACGAGCAGTCAATCCATCGCAAATTAATGTTGGATCCATCCTTCATCGCCTATTCTCAAACTTGTAAGTCGATGATCTACGAATTGCTTCCCAACAATATTTCGCCAGTCGTCATGCACGCAATCCTTCGAGACGCCTACAAGATTGAGAGGTTGACGCATCTTTGCCATAAGTACTTTCTTAATAGATGCAAAACATTCGAGTTCTTTGGGCCTGTTGAGTTGAAGAACAACCGTTATTTTCGTGTCGATGTGGTACAATCGAAATATCGCAAGTATTTTGTTCACGATGTTGAACCGCCATCCTGGATAGAATTGAAAAGGATTACCCGAGCGATTTGGTATATACAAGCGTTCTATGAGCTGAAGAATAATTCCGGAAAACTTCAATGGCCCAGCTCAGACTTTGATAGCCTCCGAAATATGGATACTAAAATCTTTATGGGAGATGCACAGCTTTATACCGCAAAAAAATGCGGCTTTGACTGTTGCACTTTATTTGAGCGAGGCGCATGAGGACTTTCTGGACCAGCCCGAGAAGTATTTGACCTCTTTTTCACAACTTCCTGATCCCGTCGATGCGCTTGTTTTGGTTTTGCCCATAGAGCAAAAGTTTGAAGATCCGAAATCCGATTTATGGAGACAAAGTATTTCTCATTTGGATGATTTTCGAGGAATACCGGGCCTTTTTGTTCCCAGGGTGTGTCACGCATTTAAAAGTATCTCCTATTAGAGAACAACCACCGTACCACCACTTCTAGGGTTTGCGATCTGGGATCGAAAGAGAATGTTTTGTTTTGGACTCGCTAACAAAGATGGACAACCAGAAATAATTTATAATGTCAGAGAGTTGATTTTCAAGTATTTGAGTATCTTACCTCCAGAATCAGCAGTCGAAAGGTTTTAACAAAATTATACAACCCAGTCAAGGCACGTACGATTACTTCACATTTGTCGGATCAAAGGTTTGTATTAATTAATTTGCTAGATAGGCAAACCATGAAGTCTATGGGAATTATTGACAAAATATCATTATCACAAATTTGTCCCAATCAAGGTGAGGTTCGTTGTTTTACAGTCAGGGGAAGCAAGTTCATTCATCCCAAACGACTTGAAAAAACTGCATACCTAGTTTCATGGGTCTGTTGGTGTATCTACTATTTCGAATGACATATACACTATGAGCTCCTCTAAGTTTTTGACTGTAGTAGCACCGCCCGTTGGTTGGTCTTTTGCCGCCCATACTCTAATGGCATTTATGCATTTGATTCCTATGGAAGCTCCGTGCTGTAGCAAGATATACGCTACAACTGCTCCATGTTTCGAACCAAGCATGGCCGTAAAATGTTCTGCCATCAAGCCGGTATTAAGATCGATCAGTGTTCAAGGGTTTATCTCAAATCTGTGTCCGAGCCAGACAGGAACACTGACTGATCCTGATTCAACAAAAGCCCTTGTTACCTCTACCCGTGACTGGTTCTGCGCTGAGACCAGCTATACCAGATATTTATTACTCGCTGGGAACTACCGTTTATTTATCTGGAAGTGTCACCCAAATATTCTCCGAGGCTCAGTTTATCAACCTTAGAACGCTTACTGCACCAACAATCACCACCACATCACTAGTCGAAAGATCAACAGGTTCATCAACTACCTCATCAACCACCACTTTAATCCCAATTTGGGTTCAAGCTGGAGGATTTCATTGGTCTCCAGTTCCAATACCCACACCACTGCCTATCAAAATTCCATCTCTCCCGGAGTTTCCTCCAATTCCAAATCCACCCTGCTTTAAATTCCTTGATGTTTTCTCTATTGATTTTCCTCTTGGTAAATCTAAATCTACAAGTACATTTAAAAGTGGTAAATCAGTGGAGCCTACCTACACCTCAAATTGCGGAAGTCCTTGCACAGCAAATTGCCATAAAACCGGAACTCCTACCTCTACTGAATGTGCGACAGAAACAACAACAAATTATTGGGTCTCTTGTGCCTCTAGTACTTGTGTTACTACTAGTTCTAATACAGTCACTGGATGTGCTGTTCAGCTTAGTGTCACAACTTTCACGGCAAAATATTATTGTCTACTTGTCGCACTACCAAGGGGTGAAGATGAAGGATTAGTTGAAGATCGAACAATCACTTCAATCTGGACTGTGATACAAACTACTATCTCAGAACGTGTGTCAATTTCGGGATCCTTGTATACTGTTACCTCGGAATCAATAACCGTAAATGGAGTGGGATACAGTGTTCCAGCAGTCGTGACTTCATCTGTTATGGTACTTGGAGGACTTACGGCTACGCTGTATTCTCCAGCTATTGTATCTTCTGCATCCATCACTGCCCCTGGCTATGGAACCAATCCATTAACACCACAAGCACGGTTGTTCCAGTGAAAAGTACTTCCACTTCATTATTACCAATTCCAACACGAAGCGATCCCCGTGATCAACGAGCGTATTGCTTTAGACAGCATAATGATGGGAAATATGTACCCTTTAATGTCACAGGGGAGCAGGAAGTTCTGTTTTCCATATGTAATCAAGGCAACACTCTTTCACCTGGTGGTCCTGCCTATACATATGTGTACACGGATCCAACAGGTGTTAACGTCATCGCACAAGCAAATTGGGCGTCTGATCAAACCGGATGTAATCCCGAGGACGGTTGGCTATTGGGATCCGAATCTGATATCTGTGAAGTATATTTCGATGACAACGTCTTCGTTTGCGATGACGAGAGCATTGATGATAATTATGGTGGCGCTCATATTTGGGATGGCCCATTTGGATGCATTGAATACATTATTTATGCGGTCAAAAGTGGATCAGGAAGTAGTACTTGTAGCTGTTCTGAGAATGGATGTACTCCAGATAGTCCGGCATGTTGTGCTGATGGAACTTGTGATGGTAGACGAAAATTGGTAATGAATCGTGTTACCCTTATTCCAGGGAGTTTAGGACTGGTGGGGGATCAAAATATCACCTCGAGCTAGGAATTTCTTTTTAGTTACTTATTTTTTGGTACAATGATAGACGAAATTAACCTGCAGAGCTTGCAGACCAGATCCGCAATTGCCATTTATTCAGAAGCGATGAAATTAACAGAGGACTTCTGTGGAGGAATCCAATTGTTGATCATTGAAGAGAAGTCCATCTTTCTCAAAAATGTATAATTATCAGTAGTAGCCTCTCAGAGCTGTGACGGCTTTAGGTTATGGATGTTGGTCGAGGTAGGAATAGAAGGAGCAACAATCAAGGGGCTATCGTGTCACGTGTCGTGATTAATACCCCGCAACATTGATCAATACCCCGCAGTCCACAACAATACTTGAGCAAGAATTTTGCAAGACTCATATTTGAGTAATCCTCCATTACCTGACTTTCTATCTCCGTGTTACCTTTAAACCTCCTTCATTGCCCACTTCTCTTTTCTATTTCTCAGAGACTCCCATCAGAAACCTGTCTACCATCCCCCGATACTGCCATCGTACATTATCATTTTCCCGCCGTGTCTTTCCTTGAAACTATCCGCGTAAACTTTCATCATGCCATCACAAGAAATATCCGTGGAAATCAAATTTTGGTTTATGAAATCATCATCAAATCCAAGACCTTTCGCGCCTTCATAACCTAGGTCAGTTGCGACCCAGCCAGGAGCCATAACAATGGCATTCAGCCAGTCATCCTCAGCATTAATTCGTACAGTAAGCCAATTAACAGCAGCCTTTGAAGGCCCATATGCAGCATTTTTGATTGGAATTTGGTTTCTATCGATAAATTAACACCATAGATTTAACATTTTGGAAGGAATGTGTTTAAACTTACGCAATTGCCCCGGCCGTGGAGCCCATGGGTGAGAAAATGGGATTCTTTGATTTTTGCAACAAAGGTCGTGATGCTTGATATATTGATATACAGCCATAGACATTTGGTTCTATGTGGGCTTTCAGATCCGATATTTTAAGGTCAGCCACTGTTGGCCAGACATAAGAGACGCCTGCGTTGGCAATAACGATATCAATATGTTGGATGCCGTGCTTATGCTGGAGTTCTCGGATGGCGTCAAATACATCTTGTTCGATCGAGGCGTCAATTTTGACGACAATTACTATCAAAAGTTAAATTTTCTTCTTAACCTTTGAAGTCATTCAAAACCATTTAGAAAGTCCTATATTGTGCCTCTTCATTGCAAGTCGAAAGTAGTGGTAGGTGGATCAAATGTACTTACGACTACTTCCAGATCCTTTAGGCAGATCAGCGAGCCTTTTTGAACTCTCGTGCAATGGATCACGATTTGCAGCAATCACAAGGTGATTCGGTAATGCTAAGTAGCGTTCTAGAAGTCCTTTACCTAAGCCCCGATTTGCACCAGTTATCAAAACTATAGTTGGTGACATTTTGAGGTAGTAAGGCTCTAGGCATAAGCCAATGTATCGTTTTGAAGAATTAGGAGGAGTGTCTTGGTTGAATGTACTTCATTCTTGATGGGAGTGTATGTGAACATCTGATAAAGTGAGAAGTTCACCACAGACGATAAGCTTCCTCCGGACTACGGATGTATTGATTGTAAATCAGAGAAGTATAAATCCACTCCAAATGATTCCCCTTCTTTCTTATCTGTTAAGCCCAAAAGCCAATGACAGAAGTGAGAGCGTGGATTGTTTTCATGATATCTGACGTTCATGGTTGACATTCCGACGAGACGACGGAGGTTTTTATTCCAGGGGACCAGGGGTAGGACTATCACTCGTCGGTCGTGTATCTATCAATATATCCAATGAATCCTTCACAAGTATAATCGAATGCCTTGATTGATTGAATAACGCATCCTATTTTCGAAGTCAATAGCTTTCTACCCAATTTTGAACTAGCCATCCTTGAGGTTCTAAGATAATAGTTTATCTTTCACCCTGTAATCGTTGTAGCATGTCCTATCACGTGCCTATTCAGCCATGGTCACGTTTAATTGGGACTAGTTCATGTCACTAGTTCATGTCTTTACACCTTTCTCAACGTCACATGCTGCATTTTCTATTCAGCCTCAACATTGTAAAAATGGATTCATGCCTCCCATGAAGTCATGACAGATGTAATTCATTTAAACTTTTCATCAACATACTTCCATCTTGATATATGCCGCGGAGATCTGAGATCTCACATTCTTTTCTGACTCTTGAAATCTAATTCTGGAGACTGCTCAAAACATCGATGCTAGAGCGATCAAATCCCATTGCACATAATCACCATACGTTAGACATGAGTCAAGTGCGGGATCACACGCCAACCTCCACGAAAATTACTTTTTCTTTTTCGCTTAATACTGAAGGATTTCAGGAAGCTTGCCTGTTATTTGAACTTATTTCCCGCCTCTTTGCATCACATGAGCAGCCACTGAGTAGTACTGCAGAATTGAATCATGATTTTCATTCATATGTCTCACACCTATTAAGCATCTAATCATTTTAAGCGATTAAGATTTCAATCTTTTGTCCTAGTGGGGATCAATTCCGAGCCAATATCTCGGAAGCTACAGAAGTATAAGTATGAATGTCGAGGACTTGAAGAGAATTTCATCTTTCCAATTACCTTGACATTTCAGAAATATCTTTCCACGATTTAAAAAGGACTTTACACAATGAGATTTTTTTCCACAGTCATTGCCGCATCTTTCGGTGCGTTAGCTACTGCTAGTCCTCTTCTTCCCGTTCTTTCATCGAGGGATACCTCCGTTACTCAATCATCATCCGTTATCCCCAGTTACACAGTCCTCAACAATTACTGTGAAGCCGCGGGCCCGAATGCTGTAAGTCAATTGGTCTTCCTTCAGATGTCGTTTGCATCTTAAGCCAGAATAGGACTTCATATTTCATCAAAATTGCTGGCCCGTACTTTCTTGCCATAGTTTACTTGATACCTAGATATGCATCGCACTTACTAATGTTTCTCTTAGTATGTCGGAGTTCAATATGATAATGATGTGATAACCTCCTATAATTATGGTGATTGCTATCCCTACGTCGTAAATGGCAGTACCGCATTGGCAGCCGTTTTCTGCAAAAGTGTCATCTGCACAAACTGCTCGTATGTATCAAATTTTCTATTTTATCACACTCCACCTTTCGGGTTGCCATTTTGAGCTCGAATGAAGTGCTCACATCCTGGACTCTCAACTCTCCTTCTCCAAGCTTCACCAGAAAATATACTAAAATTCTTAAAATAGCGGCAATGATTGCACCGACCCCAACATTGTTCTCACAGTTCCAAGGAGTTTAGTTTTGGTCAATCCAGCGGGAGTTGTAACAACAGTCTTAGGAAAGGGCGCGATTTGTCAAAAACTCCCTCTCGATCTGCCAATTTAATCCTTAGATGAGCGAAAGCTTTTCATTGGGAACATTTGATAAAGTGTTGAGTTGATTGCTGTATATGGAAGATGGTTGCTACATATCTGGGGGAGGTACTCACATTTATCGGTATGGGAAAAGGCTTTAGAGTTTCAGAAAATGAATGTTGGTCGTCATTGAAGAAACTCATACCCGCCAAAGTCCTTTTCGATTGGAAGCTCAAGCTGGTTCAAATCTTTACACCTTCATTTACTGTTGCTTAAATATTCTGAAATTTGCGTTTCAGTATAATAGTCTTTGTTTGGTTTATCTTTTTAAGAATCGCGATCGAATCACCGTCTGAGTGCCATGTTGAAGTGACAAATGGTATGTGCAAGCGGAAACATTTCATTCATGTCAATACCATGAAGCGGCTTGTAGCAAGGAAATGTTGATGGTGTCTAAAACTTTTCTCACCATTGCACCATTATCGAGATTATAGGACTCGGGAATCTTTGTACTCACTTGTAACATTGCTTCAGATCGTCGTTGAAGATTTACGATCAATCAATTGTGACATCTACCGGCGTGGCCGAACACTAACTATGCCCATATAAACCGTCCATTCACGCTTTCACGTTTCTCTGTATCGATCCGTGCTACTATCTTACCTCTCAGCTCGTTATTTTTGGTTTCACTCTGTAGCACTATCTCAAATTACCGTTACCAAACTTTGTTTCGAGAGATGTCAGGCGCAGAAATACTCTTCTAAGAGACGAGACAGTGTCTACATAATGAATGTTTAAGTGATATTTGAGGGCCATTTGAGATGTTTTAGGCTTTACTTACTCTTTTTTTCACGATTTTCTTCAAAAATATCAGATATCATTTGAACATATTAACTCCCAGTCTACCACTTCGCTGCCAGCTCGGTCGATATTTCATTCTGTCGATATATGATTCGACAGTTCTATGAATAATTGTTCACAGACTTGGCAACATAGCTTCATCACCAGAATCGATATGTTCAAGGTCGCTTTAATGGATAATTTGAAGAGGTATAAATCCTTGCTATCTCCCCCTCAATGAAATGCCAATCCCATCATAAAATACAAACAAAATCTCCTCCTGATCATCCAGCCCTTGTCTCGAATCTCTCATTCGTTGATTCTGGGCTATAATTCATAAACAAAAATGAAGATTACCATTCCCCTCACAAGTTTATTCCTCAGTTTCGCGAGTTATACGACCACCAATGCTCAAACGGCAGCTGACACAATAAATTCATGTCAAGCTCAGAACGCCAATAATGTAATATGATTTCTTCCTTACACACTTTCAATTCTCACAATCTCCTCAATCTAATTATCTCAAATCTAAATATCGTGTTCCCACCTAACCATCATATCTTAACTGAACCTCCAACATTGCCCAAAAACTAACTATCTCAAAGTTCATCTTCGCAAGCTATGACGGCGACTTAGCAGCAACCTACGCATATTCCCTTTGTTTCCCATTCCAAATCTTCGGAAATACTCTCAATTCCGCTCTTTTCTGTCGCGACGCACATTGCTCTTTCTACAGGTAATTCTTTCCTCCCTTTCCTTTATCGTCTTGATTTGCGGAAGACAAAACTAATCTCCTCTAACTCTAACTCAATCAGCGACGATGACTGCACGACACCTTCAGCTTTCTCAATTACTCCTATTCCTTTTATTCAAAACCAGGGTCTTCCTACAAAGCTAACATCGAGCTTGGGGTGGAAGAGTGCAAAATGTGGAAGTAGTTTGGTGGGGTTTACTTTGGGTCAATAAGATAGCTATCCATGTGAACTCTTTTCGGAGTGGTGTATTGGGAGGAGGGAGGGGGGAGTATATTGTTTTGCAATTTTTCGTGCTCCTTTTGCCGCGTTATAATTTATTAAAAATTTCTATTATCTAATTTGCCATTCCATTGTGAACTACCTGTGACACTATGGTGCTGTCATCGGAGCTAATCCAAGGCATTCGAGGTATTATTTTATCCCCAGATCCAGATAGAGTCTGCGGAATCTGGGCAGCAAGAAATTGAACGGAAACCGAACGAATTATCAGCAAATTGTATGGTGATTTCGAAGTTGCTTCCATTGTGTCTGTATAATGCATCATGATGGTTCAAATCAGAAAGGGAGAGCATCAAAAGCCCCGAAGATCTTGTCCAACCCTCTTCACGCTGTAATTCTAGGCTGTACACTGATGCAATCCAATACGGGATATGAGATAACGATTCATTGTCTTTAATTACTTATTTGAAAAAAGCACACCGTGGTATCATAATGTGATCCTTACTGTCCTACTAAAGCATTTGGGTCTTTCAAAAGATCGATTCTCTGATTGTTCCACCCGCAACGCAATGACCAAAATAGAAAACAGACGCTAATTGATTATAGACTCCGCATAGAAATGCAAGTAACCCTATCAAATTCATTCCTCCGCAAACATCCTATCACAGAAAAATGCAAACAAAAGCGCCTCCACACCTTCCATGATACCATGCTAAACAGATAATCCAACGCCCCTATGTATGTAAGTATCCTATAATATGCGACGCGCAAAGACAATGTACATATCTATGTCAATACCAATGCTGAAACACAAACCAGCGCGTATATATACCCATATCTAAACCCATATCCATTCCAAACCATAATATTGCCAATACCCATAAGTCGTGATTCTTCCCTAATATTTTCAAAGTTTTTTGACACGTTTATCAAAGCCCATCTAACACCCCGTCCCAATCGGAAACCTCTCCATCACCATAATCGGTACTAGCAACACTAGCTGCCCTTTTAAACTGTTGTGTCTCGTTCATTATGGCACTCGCTCCCTTCTGCATGTCTATTATTCGTGATGGTGTTTGCAATTCTGCCTCCTCAATATCCGTCTCATATCTGCTCCTCTCACTAGACTTTCCTTGTGTAGGCGTGGGAAGAACCGCTTTGTATACCTCATCCCACTCCTTACTTTCAGCAAGCGCAGCTTTAAACTGTTCATCTACTTCGGGCTCAAGGTCATCATCAAAGTTATGTCTATTGGATGAAGTCGCCTCTTTGATTTCATCCCATGCTTTCTTACTCTCCGCTAAAGCAGCAGCCTCCAAATCTTCTGGTTTCTCGGTGAAAAATCTTTTTTTACTAAATTTGTCTTCGGGTTTCTCCTTGAACCAAGGTGATCTTTTTGGTTTTGGCGTAAGTTCCATTTCTGGATCAATTTGTGGAGTACTCGACTCAGCTGACTGGCTTTGCATTCTTGCTGATCGACCTTGCGGGTGGTTGAGAATGGATACTTGAGCTTGTGACAGCCGTGATGGGCTTGCCATCGGTGATTTGGGTTTTGACACATTCTCCAGTCCGGCAAGTTCTTGACTGGAAAAAATTGAATCTTGGCTGCAAATGAACCTTTGTAGGTCTTCTATTCCTACCGATATCTCTTTGTGAGATCCAACGGTGTTTTCCCTTTCATTTCCTTTTTGGGGCGTTGAATCAGACATTTCCCAATCCTGCGAAAACATTTTGAGTTCCTGCGTAGATAATATGCCTCCAAATTCATCATCAGCAGTTGTAGGAACACTATCCTTTGAATATCCTTGTTTTTCTTCGCGGCGTTGGTGTGCAGAATTTCCTTCTAAGCCTGTAAAAGGCAGAGGTGCAGTGGGTTCTTCACATAGTTCTCTAGCTTCTTGAGTTGCACTAGGAAAAAAGTCATCAAGATGAGATTCAAGAAATGCTTGTGTGGAAGGTGGAAGACTATAATTGTCAGATATTTTCCTGGTATTGACTGGAGGAACAAGCGTCGTTCCAAGTTTGCTTTTCTGGGGAAGAGCTGGGGGACCCATGTTGATAGATTTTTCCTGGAGTGCGGGGCGTATATAGCAATTGGAAACAGGGGCTTGAACAGGGGGTTTTTGAACCGGTTCTGGTTTAACCTGATGAGATTTGGGCACAAGAGAGTGAACGGATCCCTCTCGCGAAGCCTTCTGACCCAAATCGGTTATTCGAGAGATCGAACTCTCAGATGCAATGGCAGTAGCAGACTTTGACATAGCTGGAGCAACATCCAGTAATTTCTTTGCGGGAGGTAGGTTTCTATTTGACGGCCTGGAATCGCGGCGTGTATTTGTCCCTGGTATCGAAGATTTATCGCCAGTCATATCAGATAGAGGACCTTGTAGACGATCATGAGATACTCTGCGTGAGTGTGAGCTATTTTGCTTTTCATGCGTCACTTTTGTGGCTGAAGCCCTGGGAAGACGTAATGGTGATCTTATATGTGCGGATTGGGAAATTGATTTATTTCTACCATGAATAGGCGCATGCCAAAGAAGTTCTCTTTCCTCCGCAAAATCCTTTACAAGCCTGTTTGACGTAGGAGTTATCGATTTTATGTTCTCTCTGCAGATCTCTTTGTCAATTGATACTGCTTGTTTACTATCCGACTTGCAAGCTGCATCTGCTGCTTCAGAACGGATTTGAGAATCAAGTAAATTCTCCAACTCAAATGCGTCATCGGGGGAAATTTGTTCCCTTTCAAAATTCTTCATCCGTGGTAACTCTTGCTCATCATTGAACGGGGTGGTAGGTTTATGAAACGGGGGTCTTGTTAGACCCGCAGATCTAGCCCTACCTAGGTTCGCATTTACTGGAGTGGAATGCATAGAACTAGTGTCCAATAACGAAATATCGTTTTCTGACAAGGGCGGAAAATCCCCAAATTCGTCCTCGGAATCTTCTGGTAGCATTGGTGACCTCGAAATGACTATATCCTCATCACTCTTTTTGTTTGCGAGGTGCTCCTTCTGGGTTTCATCTTTGTACTCGAGATTGCGACGCGTAATTTGTCTCGACAAGACTTTATACTCATTTTCATCCTTATCCTCGTCCTCGTCTTCGTCCTCGTCCTCCTCGAAAATATCATGCGCAACTCGTTTCGCTGGCGGTTCGTCATCCAAATCGTCGCACACAGTACCCTCAGATTCTTCACCTGTATTCGACGTCTCCTGGAATCTCTTGGTCCCCTGCTTCAAAAATAAAGAAATCCTCGACTGACTTGGGCGGACATGTCTGCTGGGTTCCGGTATCCCCTGTCTCTTCCTTTCTTCTTTCTGCTCTAATGCCTTTGCAGCTTTTTTATCTCTCGCCGCTTTTGCTTTCGCAGCTGCTTGTTCCTTTTCATATGCTTTCCTATGCTTCGCCAGTTCTTCGGCATCTCGTCGCTTTTGTTCCGCTTTCGTTATCCGTGGCGTTCGATTTGCTTTTTGGTATGCTTTTTTTGCTTGCTTACTGGTCATTGGTCGATGGACTTTTGGCGCATCCACCAATTCGAAAGTGCGTTGTTTGCTCGGCATTTTGAGGACTTTTTGCGTTACATATTGCGAATTGCTGAAGGGGATAAATGAATGGTTGATGTTGGACGTCGTTCAAGGCCGAGGTTGGACGTTGGAAGTGAGATGTTCAAGCGATCTATAATTAGTCGATGACACGACGCGTCAACTGTATTGACGCGGGGTCTGTTACTAAGTCAGATAACACCAAGTCACGAGACTTCGGACCAAATATCGCGTACAATATCCCGAGAGCTATGATAAGAACAAGTTCTTGAGGATCACCATTTTTGAACTGGGCTTTTAGTGGATACCCTTCGCAAACGCCGTACTCAATTGAGCACTCATCTCTTCGGTGTAGCTTTCACTCCGGAGCAAGCTAAATGGATACCTGCTACAGAATTGCTTCGAGTGGTCTTTACAAGTAGAAGTTTGTTTTCGAAGATGCAAGAATGCAGTCGGTAAAGTTACCTGATGAATATCAAACTTTTCAGAGTGGGGAAGATTTCCAAGACCATCTAGATATTTTCATAGAGGTGCAGAACTCGGAGAACCCGTTCAAAATATGACTTGTATTTCGTTCGCGACTGGTACAGAAAATGGATCGAAAGCTGTTTAAACCGGCTCATTGTTTTTGCTTAAATGCCTGCATAAGAGCCCAGAAAGAATCCTGGTAATAGAGTGGATACGCAGGTCAGCAGTGCTGGCCAACACCCGGTCACTAACCGTTGGAAATATTGATCTACTTGCACCCGTCGTTGCTTGTATTTTTGACAAGGGTGATTGGGTGCACATTAAGACCCCACGACAGCTCCATAAATGCATCACCTGGATATTGTCTACATAACCAGTAAAACCATTCTAAAAGTTTACCTGCCAAACGAACAGTAGATCGTGCGGTTCTATAACACAGGATTCAAATGTCTAAAGCAAATATTTGTTTCGATGGAATTTATTGAAGGACAAAATACCCTAAACGAGAGATTATTGCTGAAATAAAGAGAAATTTAACTGGTTGGCTGATACATGCAATTGGTAAGTAACTCTTCCGGTCACAATTACATTACAAGATTTTCCCGACAGTTTGGTACCTACCTATCTAGTGCTTTCTCTATTAGTCTTCCCGCATATGTTGAATGGCAGAGGACCGGGTAATTTGTCTAGGATGATTGAAAACCGACAGGCAACGCCCAATTCCATGTCTTGGTAATCACAATATACGTCGTACCGATTGGATAATGAACATGAGCCAAGCCTCGGAGACCGGAAAGTGGTTACTATTAGTGTTCAAGTCAGTAAATATCAGGTATTCGACAACCTATCTATCCGTACTTAAACCGGCAATCCACTCCTGTGGCCAGGAAGCATGCAGGTCTACCGCTATGAAAACAAGACTACTCCTCTCGCAGTTTGCCATCTTGTGGTATGTGCATCTATCTAGCTTCGGTGTGATATACTTTCTGGCAACACAAGTAATGTTCGAGGTGCGAGTGGGGGTCCAATTCCACAATTAAACTCTATGAAGTATCTACCGTACAGCTTTCTGTCGAATCAGCCATGAGCGCCGGGTAAATTTAACTTTTAATTATTTTCTTCTCTTCCCATGCGTATCGGCGTATATTTAAATCCTGTTTCATTGTATAACCTCCAGTATGATGTCGCATTACCCAAAAGGAGACAACGTGCAGGCCAGGAGTTCACATTTAGTCCGAGCCATATCCAGGTCTTTGATGCCTCGGTTATACTCAGCGCCACTTCAGCTTTACGTTCATTTACAGATTATTTCCATAAGTCCTGGTGACAATCTTACGTGTTAGCGGTTTGAGAATTTGCCGTCAAGAAACTGTGCGTTGCTCATGCAATGTAAACAAATTTTGACCCGCGCTATATTGGTAATTGTTTCTTATAACCAACGCTCGAAGATGTTTCCTCGCTTGATTCTGATCCTCTTGTATGTATTCTTTCTAACTTCATATACTAATTATGTATTGCTACTTCAAGAGTTTGAGCATCATCTTCCGTTGCCACGTCCTAGTATGGCTCGCTCACTAAGGTAATCATTGTGCTCATCATCACTCATAGCCGTCGCCATTAAAGTTGTGTCATTTTTGGGGCGTCTTTTTACGGCAGGGGGTGGTAAATCTTTTTTTCCTTCTTCTTCTAGATTGTCTAGTCGATATCCTCGACTGGAACGCCTACCCGTGCTTGATAGTGAGCCTCTCAGGACTTTGTACAGTGGTCGGTAAGTGGGTATTGTTGCAGTGAGAATCGTAATCATTAGTTCAGTAGACGACCATAATATTAGACCTATAGTTTCATCTAAGAGACTGTTAGTAATTCAGCTATGGATGATTGGCCACGAGGATTTACTGACAGGAATAATCAGACCTTGATGAGAGGCCCTTCAGGTTCACTGTTCTAATCACACCACACACCATAGCACTATTTGAATGTAAGTCTATGACTACGGTTTGTGCCAGCAAGGCGACCTACAAAATTCCCAAACTCATGGACGATGTGATGAGGACTTTCTCCTTCTTCTTCATATTCAACTTCCAAAGTATAATCCATGGTAGCGCAGCGAGGATCAAATCTGCTGCTGCGGAGGTGACTTCAAGGTATTAGCCAATATTGCGGGATGAAATCTGGAATTGTACCACTCACCTCCCACAGTGATTGAGATGGCAGTAAATTGTTCTGTGGAGACCCAACACTTGGCAGGAATGTATGGGTTCCAAACGTGGGCAATCGGATCACACCGAATGAAGTCAAACAGAGCACATATGATGGCGATGCCAGTGACCGCAAACATGGTGGTGTAGAGAATCCATTTGTGCCATTCGACAACGGCAAGTCTCAGCAAGAACACCGATGCTGAAGCTTTGCTAGTGGCCATGCCAATGATACAGAACCTAAAATATATCTTAGATTTGTTGTTTGTACTATTGGAAAGAAGTGAAGATATACGTTTGTCCAATAATCTCCGATCGGGTGGCATTTGCGAAAGCTTCGATGGTGAGATCCGAAGAATGTTGACCGAATCCTTGAGTTGCAGCTGCCGTGCAGGCTGTTGTGTATGGCATCAACATAAACTAAACATCTATTTTCAGTACCGAAAATAAGAAGTCACTACAGAACCTCAACTCACCCAACTAACTATGATAAGATAATCATCAAATCCCACGTTTCGCGTGATGAATCCTTTCGTGTAGAGTCTAAGACCGATTGCGATAAGAGCTATAAAAGTCTCCGTCCACATAACCGCAACAATAGTAGGCCCTTTACCGGCTATAGTCATCTTGGCTTGGAGAGAAGAGTGATTTAGCTGAATTGATTCCAAAGTAGGGCTCTCTTATATGGTATATAGAGAAGCATAATGCGTGTTTTCATATCGAAAATACCTGAAACTCGAGCCCAATATTAGTCCGAGTTATGCTTTCCAATCGAGAACCACGGCCATATAAAAATCGTTTGGTAATTTCAGTGACCACTTCGGTGGTATAATAGAACGTTAAATAATTCGTCTTGTTGACTATTGGTCCCCAGGTACTGTTCATTAATCCTCAACTCCTCGGCTAGAAATTAAATCTGATAACTTAACGCCATTTGGGGCTGTTGTCGATGCTATTTGGTAGATCCTCTTAAGAATTTAAACGTATTCAGAGTGTACGGTCAAACACTGCTGCTCTCGACACCATCATTTTATCCATGGCATGGGGGCAGGCTCACTTTACTTGATCCGCAGAAAGATGTTGCATCGTTTAATTGTCCCCTGCCGCATCCTTGCATCGGTAAAACTTTTTAGTGCCGCCCTTTGAGTTGGCGAACAGTGTGAGGGAATTAATCTACAGGAATCTCCGTATTTTAAAGTTTATTGTATAGCTAATGTGGGTTACAAACGGTTAGTGGAGACTGCTGCATATCTATAATCTATGCATTACTGCAAGTCGGCCAGGGGTATTTTCGATTATGCTTCCATTTATCACATCTTGATTGTGACATTGCCTACCTTTACAATGTCTTGCTTGTTCATCTCTGTATAAAACCCGACCCTCCATCACAGATACTAGCCCCGCATTTGCCTTTCTCTCATATTTCATTTTCCGGATCGCTATATCATGGCGTCAGACATGTCTGTCTTGCAGGTAATTCTCTCAAGTATCTTCATTTTCGGGATTTGTTTAGCTTGGTATTACTTTACATCTCCTCTAAAAAGCATCCCCGGGCCATTTCTAGCAAAATTCACGAATTTCTGGCGCTTGATTGACACCTATAATGGCCGAGCAGAGCTCACACACAAGTTCCTTCACGAAAAATATGGACAAGCTGTACGAATCGGCCCAAACCTTGTCAGCCTTAATGATCCAGATCTTGTTCGCACCATTTACAACCTCAAGGGGGATTTTCTCAAGGTATGATTAGTCTCTATAGTCAATCAGCTTTATCATGGTTCTTGAAATTATCTCCCTCTGTTACTAACGGGTAAATAGAGCGACTTCTACACGGTTAATGATAGCAAAGTAGGAAATGTAACCATCAAAACTGTCTTTGGTATTCAAACAAACGAGATGCACAGTCAGATGTTACGGCCGGTTCAAAAGTTGTATAAGATGGGTCATATACTGACGCTGGAGCCACTGGTTGATCACACGATCAATCATCTTTTCAGACGCCTCGATGAGCTGTTTGTCGATGCTTCTAACGCAGGGACAACTTGTAAAATAGATGAGTGGGTGGTGTTTTTTGCATGGGATGTTATCGGCCAAGTCACCTTCAGTAGATCGATGGGCTTCCTGGACGCTGCCTGTGATCATTCAGGTTATCTCGACGTATCAGATAAAATCAACGACTACTTTGGCGTAATTGGACAGCTTCCTGCTCTGGACCATTGGCTTGCAAAAAATCCAGTGTGGCCTATTGGACCGCTCACCGTTGACAAAGCCGCAGCATATTGCGCGGAGCAATCCATTGCACGTCAAAAAGGTGTCGATGTAAAATATGTCGATCAGAAAGATATGCTCGATGATTTTCTAGAGCTCAAAAGTTTGAATCCGGAGATGATAGATGATAACACAGTCATTGGCTACATGTTAGTCAACATTCTTGCTGGTGCTGATACCACCTCCATCGCTATTCGAGCAATCATCTACTTCACCCTCAAAAATCCACGAGTATACAAAAGGCTCCAGCAGGAGATAGACAATGCCAACTTGTCCGTGCCTGTTGCCTATAAAGACGCAGCTAAGCTACCATATCTTGAAGCCGTAATCAGGGAATCCAGCCGCTATTTTGCAGGTGTAGGTCTCCTACTTGAACGTGTCGTTCCCGCGAGTGGCCTCACCCTTCCCGATGGTACTTTCTTGCCTCCAGGAACAAATGTGGGCATGAGTGCCTGGACCGTTCACCAAAGCAAGAAGGTATTTGGTGAAGATGCTGGATCCTTTGTTCCAGAACGTTGGCTTCGATATGAAGATCTTGAGACGCAAGAAGAGTATGAATCCCGTCGTTCCGCAATGAGACAAGCAGATCTCAGCTTTGGTGCTGGCAAAAGAATTTGTCTCGGGAGAAATATCAGCATCCTTGAGATATATAAATTGATTCCTTCGTTATTTTTGACCTATGACGTAAGTTCATCCGCTCATGCTTTTTCTTCAATCCATGAAACTGACTTTAATACAAGATTTCTCTCGTGGACCCTCAAAAGGAATGGAAAGTTCAGAATTCATGGTTTGTAAGACAAAGTGACATTGACGTAAGGATCCAGAGACGAAAGTTTGCAACAGTCTAGTTTTGGCCATTTAAACTGTGAAAATAACAAACTTAACACTAAATGCAACCAAAGATCTTGGAATCAAGTGAACATTGAGTAAAATTTAAGAAAAGGCGCTCACCTTAGCCATTGAGAAAATTTTACATACCAATATTAGACGGTCACTTTTCATAAAGGATTGTACAATACACACATAGAAGCAGCGTTCGACCGAATTGAATCATTGATATGCTCACAATACCATAAATATTAATTCTGATACCTTCTCACTCCTTGAGCTCCGTCACAGACCATTGCCTCGTGACAGAAATCTTACCTTGACTCACGATCCTGTCAGTGTTTTCATTGCCACGGATTTCCTCACTCTCTCCTTCAACTACTCCCAGCTCCCCACTATTACCATTTATAGAATTCTTAATGCCCAATATATCTTTTCCGCTCTCCGTATCATTGTTTGCACTATTCAAGCGGCGCATACGGAATGGTTCTTTGTGGAAAGAGAACTTGGAACCTCCATGCTTGGTCTTGTAACTATTAAAGTAAGATGCGATTCGGTGGTTGAGAATGATTTCGAGAAGAGGTATAAGCGTTGGAATGCATGCAGCGATGATAATTAGATTGATTTCAAATCTGCCACGTTGATCCAGTTAGCTTATATTGTGTACACATTGACTATTTCTCAATTCATACCAAGGTCTTGATGTGAAAAACTTACGCGTTCCAGACAAATAGCCATACGGTAGCCCCTGAAGAATAAAGTCAGTTTTAAGATCGCAAGGGAGATAATTTACTTGCATGTAATGTCAGAATGATTGGCATCATTTTTGAGTTCAACAATCTTGATAACGGCGAATCCAAAGGCACTAATTCTACATTTAGCGAAATTGACATCAACAAGGGCTCAATAGAAGACCCACGAAACACCAGTGCTAAGTAAAACACAAATGGCAACCTTCTTCCTCTTATTCATCTGCAACTTCCATATCATATGCACTGGTACAACCGCTAGAACTAAATCAATGAACGCCATGCAACCTGAAATCTCGTCAATAAGTGCCAAGGTAGCTTTGCGGGGAGACCATTACTCGAAGCTGATTGAGACATAATCGATACAACATTAGATTTGATGCAATGACCATTAGGCTCTGACGCTGGGTTCCAAAGCATTCTGACGGGCGTGCATTGCGTAAACATGAGAATCACAGCTATGCTGTTCATGGTAACCATAACAGACAGGAGACTGACGAGAAGCTTCGTTCTCCATGGTGTTGGGTATTGAAGCCGCAAAATCAGACAAGCAACCGATATCTTGCAAGTAGTAAGACCGGAGATGCAAAGTGGCTGCGAAATCCAGTTCAATCTTGTTGTAGTGATGAGTTGTTCCATGGCCAAAGTAGATGCATGTCGACAGCCACTATTTTTGGCATAAATTGTCCAGACAATACTCATTGCTGTCGTGGATGCCTATTTACAACTGTGAGCTCAAAACACCTACCACTCGGAACATATGGATTTTCCATACTACAGCAGCCAAAATGAGCCAGTCATCCCACCAAGTGCTTCGAATCAGTCTCATACGACAAAAAAACCGGAGAGCGACAAAAACAATGGCAAATGCCGTCCAAACCCAAGTCGATATCAATAAGAGAGGAGCTCGATCAGCTTTTGAAGCATCAAGGGGTGTTGAGCTGGAGCTAATCATACAGCTAGAATTCGAGTCTTTATTAGAATGAAGTGGATTCTGGAGCAAAACTGATGTGGTGAGAATGGCTGAGCGTCGAGGAGATGAGTTAGAAAGAGAATAAATCGGTCGAATAAAACAATGCTATGTATTGGAGGCATATCGTCATGGTTGTATTCCGCAAGATAAAGGTACAAAAGCTTTTACCCGTATTGCCCTGGTCACGGATCTACTACTTGGATTTTAATCATCTACGAGTACATAATCCTAAGCAAAACTGTTACCTCCATTGTATTAAATTCTCGTACTGTCAAATCACACACGTCAAGTTAGACATGGAATATTTCTAACATCCTGAGCCCCCGAAGATCCAGACGCAATGGGGAAGCAGATTTTAGTACCGGTTGGAAGTTCTCAGATTGCGATCCCCTAGGGTACCGAACTGCTGGGAGAACCGAAGAGGAAGGTAAAGGTCGCTTATGATATTGCTTCCCTACCGCACATTCAAATTAGTAATGCTGACCACTTGGAGTTGGTGGCTTAAATAAGTGTAGAAACAAAAAAACATGTATTAATTTTCCGCTCCAATTTCAGATTACTATATCTTGGTGTTCCTGCGATCAGATGACAGCCAAGTATTCAGAAAATAACACTTGGTAATTTATTAAGTGTAGTAGTATCATGAGCAGACCTCGTGAAGGGATGCAGTTCTCTATCCACATTATCAGTGTTGGAATTTGATAAACCTGGCATTGCTAATCCCAGACCCTAGCAGAAATCCAGAGAGGGGGTTACTACTGTGCAACGGTGGACTAAGGATGTCTCCTAGTTTATGCTTGACATTAACTTTCTAGATTATCATCTGGCGCTGCCTGGCTTCTGGAAACTTAGAATTATAAGTAATAACTTTCTTGATTTCGATGTAGATACCTATCTAGTCAGCTTGGTGTTTCCATAAATCAACTCGTCAGTCAAGCGTTCCAGTAACGTCTCGTGCAATTCTTGACCGAGGAAGAGCATTGACACCATGCTGGTCAGCGCTCAGATACCGGCCGGGCGAGCCAGGCAGGCGCAAGGGTCCGGCAACTCATTCCTGTATACGGCCGTGCATCATTTAGTTTGCGGGTATGAACATCCGACACATTATCAACAACAGTCACTCGTCGATCTAATCACCATCCTAACATCCGTACGGTATTGACAGATGCATCACAGAGCAATCATCTAGGTCAAGAATAAAAGCTGGATAAAATGCTAAAACTTACCTAAGTGATGGAATCGGAATGGTTTTAGCAATCACAAAGAATAGAATTTCATGGATACTAGCATCTTTACCCGTTCCAGGCTTAAGCTTAGGCTTAGCGAGCTCAATTCCAGGGGTTTGAATGGCATGATTATGGTCTACTTAATATATCGTTCATACAACAATCTGCCAACAAAAATGATATGCAGGTGTTTCTCAGCGAATCTCTTATTAATTATTTCGCCCGAAAGAAATCGCATCCGTCACAAATGAACCGCACTTATTGAATAGATACATGAGCTGCTGCTAAGTGTCCCGAACTCACTGTTGGTTGGGGCTATTGCACTGTTCACACCTTCTCAAATAACCAAAATATTGATGACATGAGACATGCTGAATCTTGATGCCCGTTTTCCTTAGTAGTCCGAAACTCTTGTCATCAACATCATCAAACCCCCACAGCCCCCACAACTTCCCTATGACACTCTCAACCCAACTTCACCATCCAAAATCCCCCCACCAAAGTCCCAAAACCATTACCTCCTCTCCCCTTCCACTTCTAATTCAAAGTCTTAGCAATTGTCATCTCACGGCCCATAAATCCCTCTGTTCTTTTTTGAACGACCTATACTCCCCATTTCTCGCCATAATTTCACGCCATCCACTATGATTGAAAGTCCCTGCATATAATCCAAAAAATTCCGTGGCACTATGATAAATCCAAACGGTGATGAATAGAAGAGCATTCTGGGCTGCTTAGGAGATATTGACTGCGGGAAGAGCATAGACATCAAAATCATGAACATGAATACCCGACGCTCATCAGTAACCCAATCATGTGTTGACCCAGTTGTTCATTCTAACATTGAATACTGATACAATATTTGCAGTGAATCGATGAAAGCTTACGAAGCGATATCAAAATTCAATACTGCAGTCCCCAATGCCCTATCTGATGGCAGTCAGCATCAGTTTAATAGCTCATAAAGAGCTTAATGAAGCATGTCTAAAACTTTTATCAGACCCTTGCACTATTTGAGCCGATGAATTTTTATCTGACTGACATTGGAGCTTTTTAACGAAACTTCTCATCTCTCCAACAAGAGACCTCAAACTTCACCAGGGTATCTAGATACATCCGCATTGATTGACCGAGGCAATCTCACACTCAATGACACTCTCGCTGATGTCGTCATCTGCCTTCCAAATTCCACTGATTTTCAACCCCGCGGCAGCAATGTATTCCTGGTGCAAAGCCTGTGTACGTTCCATACCTCCTCCAGTAGCCATCATTTTGAAGTCTTGAGCAGTCATTAATTTTGATGCCCCATCTGCTGGAACAATCCAGTCGTTGATGATCACCTTGGAATATCCTGGTTTCATGGCTCTACGGATGTGATTAAGAATTTGGATCATGATAGCTTGTGGCCAGTCATGGGATATATATCTGAGATAGTAGAGACGAGCACCTGTAGTCAAAAAGTTATTGATTATTGGATATTTCACTGTTCTCATGGGTTGTGATAGTACTAACCTTTGACAGGCATTTCTGTCATAAAATCATGGACCAAGAATTCCACTCCCACACTGTTATCTCTGTTTGCAGGTAGTCCGTGAGCAAGATCGGTTACAATATATCTTCCTGGGAGATTGGGAAACTTTTTCTTCATAGCAATAGCTTGATGGCCTTGCCCTCCGCTCACATCAACCATCATAACTGATTCGGAACCGGTTGATGCTCCGGCTGCAAGTCGATCCATAGCTGGATATATGTCAACAAAATTCTTATGACCATCATTAGAACTTTGCATCTGATAAAAATACCCTCAGTCAGTCGAAAAATCCGAGATAATCAAAGTGATGGGTAGAAGGCAAAACCCACCCAGAGTTCTACAAGTGGCATATAACCAGTACTTTCTAAGATTTGCCATATCGTTGCACCATCTTTGAAACCATAAGCTTTTGCGAATGGCGTATCTGTATCACTTGTAGGATTTTGATACTGCTTGTATTTCAAAAACTGAGGTATGAGTAACCAACCGGGAGCTAAGATGTCGAAGCTGTGACAAAGAAGTCTTGTGAGCTTTGCGAATAAAACATCCAAGGAAAAGAAGGGTCTTGCCATAATTTAAGACAGGTTTGATTCCGTATGTTACAAAGTGCCTTTGAAACCGTGCTTGACGTATAACCAGCTGAGCTATTTCCACCGATAGCTCCAAAAGACTCAAGACATCGTAGGACTCGGCCTATCAACGTCTCAGCCATGTCTATGTAGATAACCAGGAACTATACTGACCAATAAGGGTTGGATCGGCACCGGGTAATCTCCTGGCAATATGAGTTACAGTTTTCGGCGAGGATGTGTTCTCCAACAGCTCAAATATGCCAAGATCGACAGCAACTCTACAGGCAACAGTTTCTATCAGCTGATTGATGGAAGTCAGCAGAAGTCGCATCATTATACCTCAATTCTGGAGGAAGTTCATGTATCACCTGGGATGAAATCCTTGCGACAGCATTGTTTTGACTCTCTAATGACAGGGATATGTTTGTCAATTCGTGTAGTAACTTTTCTCTTTCATTCTGGTTTTCGGGAGTGTCTGCTGGAAGACTTTCTCGAAGATTACGTAGTATTTCGAATGGGTTAGCCATTGTGCTACTTTGAACCTGAGTTATAACGGGAAAAAGAGCAGTAAGGAAATAGTTGGAGGGGGGCTGATAAATCAACATCAGAAACACCTGGAGAAAGAGTGACCAAATTCGGCTTTCGGTAGTACTGCACCGTAGATTGCGACTTCCTATTGCAGATCGCACAAGATCACGCCTGTGCAATTACACAATCATACAATCTTCATTAAGCACCATCACTTGATTGGTCCGCAGAGTTTTTGAATTCTAGGATTCTAAAATCACCTGATCTACGAACTTATTCAGCTCTGTGATTATAAAATCACCAGCTTGAGTATAAATCCACATATACCACCAAGAAATATTAAAATCTACATGCAAGATTTTCAATATACTATCAAACCCTAAGATACACACAAGAAATCGGATTTATCACTACCAAAACCAAAAAGATTCCTTTCGATATCTACACTCCTCGTATTTCCATATCCACCAAATATCCGGAAACAATCCCGAATCTTACAGTATCAGGAAGGGGTTCTTATCGATCAAGCATGTTTCTTGCCCGCTATTAAGAACTTTGCTGACACCCTTTATCGGATAACGAAGTCGTTCGAATGCTAATAGTATCACAAATTAGAAACAATTATCGAGTTGGTGATGCCATGATACTAGTAGTCCGATACCCCCCAACTCAACCTCCAACAGCTAATTTTCGATTCATTTTAGGTGAGGAATTAATCATTCGAAACGTACAGTTGTTCTCAAACTAGAATTTTGAAACTAAACCAACAATTTTACTTGATCTTAGATACTTCGCTTGCGTATCTCTCCATTAGCAGTTCCCTCATCGTCTAAATTGATTTGTCGTTCCTCAGTGTCTTTTACAGAAGCTCCCTTCCTTAGCATCTCTCGTTCTTTCTCCTGCTGCTTGTATATCCGGTTATGTGTTTCACAGTACAAGTCAACAGCTTTATTCCACGGCTCAACCATTTTTTCATATTTATTTAAATCTTCTTCATCAGGCCCTTTCATTTCATAGAGGCGGACTTGACTTCTTCGTTCCCCGTCTAACGTGGACCATTTTTCTTTCAGGATTGAAAGTAGTTCCGCCCCATCTGGCCCATTTCCAGCACCTGCGTCTAATAGCATATCTATAGCATAGTCAAATATAGATTCGAAGTCGACGTAAACAGGAGCGAAAAACAGGAATTCGTAATAATCTAAGCAGAGATGAATTGCGGTAGCCCTATAACCATTTTTCAGATAAGGTTTCTCTCTGGCATGTATATCGGCGCCGTATTGCAGCAAGAGCTTGATTGTTGGACATGGGTCGTTATCGTTCTCAACAAAAAGGTCAACTTCCCAAAAAAATTCAAAGGCCCGATGAAGTGGAGAATACTCGCCCACTATTTGTTTAGTTGTGCGATCCACAATTTTAGTATTGTGATTCACATCACAACCGGAATCTAGGAGTAGTTTGCATATTTGCAAATCGTGAGACGCTGATGCATACTGCAATGCTGTGTACGTATCATGTTCCGCCTCAGTGTCTGCACCCGACGCCAATAATATCTTCACCACTTCCAATTTTCTGTGTTTCGAAGCCACCAATAATGGTGTTCCCAAACCATCAGAAGATCCACGATGTTCAATGTCAAATCCTTCGTCTAAGAGAAATTTACATACTTCCACATGACCGTGTTCACAGGCGATGTGCAATGCGGTTTCATTCCACATGCCCCTCCCAGCTTGTAGTTCGGCACCGGCCTCGTACAACAATTTGCAAATTTCTGGTCGATTCAAACGAGCAGCGGCAAGTAGTGGATAACGCCACTCTCCCCCCGGAGTGTTTGGATTTATCTCTGCCGCAAGCAGGAGCATGGTAGTCCTCTCCGAAATATGCGATCCCAAAGCTGCGGCATGTAAAGGTGTCCCCAAAGCGGGCACTTTTGATTCGTGGATATCCCCGGACCCGCGTGATGCGTTGCTTAACAAGTGCTGGATCAGACTAGTCAAGCCATGAAAAGAAAGCCAAGACAAGGGGCATGATACAACGAAACTAGATTCCAAGTCAACTTCAAGAGGATCGTACGCGTGTGCTAATTCTATTGCGGAACACGGAAGCTTTGGCTCATCACTTTCTAATTCTATTGCGGAATACGAAAGCTTCAGTCCAGCACTTTTGCAGATTATTTGTGATACTTCCCACGCATTTCGATTGTTCCACGAATTTGAATCAATCGGTGTGGATTGATTGTTCGGCGTGGGTTGGCTATCATTTATCAACAACAATACCAACTTACGAAGATGGTCCACGAGATTATCATGCTCACTACCTTGGAACTCAAGGCGCTGAATGTAATAGGTCCAGCAGAGAGCTGCGTGATAGATCAAAGGGAATCTTTGATGTATGTCATCTACTTCGGGATGTGGATAATTCAACATCAAACCAACATGAAGTAAGTATGCTATAGACCGCGCTGCAATCGATATATGAGCATCTAACTCTCGTATATGATATTCATTGACGGGTCCATCAGACATACGGCTTGATTGTAAGAACTCCTGGACGGAATAGTGGGTAAATCGAATGTGCGGATTTGTGTCCCATATTGCGGAAGTGTAGTCCCGATCCTTATTATAGACCGTAACAAATGTTGATGGAATAATATCAAGAAGAGTAAAATTTTCACCCTCGCAGCTCAATCTATCGTCTTCTCTCAGATAAGGAGGAGACCCAATCTGGACTACAACTGCTTCTGAGAGCTCTAATACCGTCAACGGGCGCGCAGTGTAAGTAATCCATTGTAAGGCTATTTTGACATAGCACTGATCTTCCTCGGGTATATCATTCAGTGCCCTTTCGTAAAATATATCCAGAGAGCTTGGAAGTTGATTCAGTCCCTTTCTTATTGCCGACACAGTCCTGTGCCGTTTCAATGAATCCAATTGAAGTGCTGCCAATCTGAACATACCATCAGCTTGTCGCGCGACGGATTCCACAACTTCATCCTTGAAGTCAGAACTCCACATTGTTCGTCGGAAGCTACTAATGTTTTCATTGAGAAATTTCTTGATGTCTTCGGTAATGTTTGGATCTTGAACTTTGATGCTTTGGCAGCTGTCCGAAACATCTCGCTCCCTCATTTTATCTAGATGAAAACGGATATCATCCTCTGCTCTACTTGTGACAAAAATGTGTATTGAATCAATTTTCCACTGATGAATATCCTTGAGAGTCTCCAGTAACAAATCCCGTTCTGTCTTGGGGTACTCATCCAGAGCATCCACAACCAAATAAACATCTTGAAGGCCGGACACAACAGACTTGAGAATTTCCATCAATTGTTTGATGGTCGGTTGCTGCTGGCCATGATTGCAACGTGTATATGCATCTTTCAAAGTTTGCGGCGTATCTCGACGATTACTACAAATGTCTCTAATCCAAGAACGAATTATATTGGAAACGCTCTGTGTAGTCAAGTTGTCGAATTTGATATACCAGTATGTGACAACAACATTTATCTCTTGTTTGCAGAGTTTTTGAATATGATCAATAACAGTAGAACTGTGAAAATTGTTAGGTGGCAAGGGAAAGAGGTTGTCGAACATACCATAGAATCGATTTCCCCGCCCCCGCTGATCTTATCATTAGCTGAGATCCTTTTGGTATGAAGGGGTCAAACTAACCGCCTCCATTGAGCCATAAGAACGAATTTTCAGATCTCGACCAGATTTTGAGATGATTTCCGTCTATTAGCCAAGATCCCGTACCCTCTTGGAACTTTTCTCGGGCGATGTTATGCTCTGTAGATGAATCAGGGAGCGACTTTGCAAGCCATTCAATTATTTGGCCTCGCTCTTTGTCTCTCTGTATGGCTCTTATTTCGCATCGAATATCCTCCAAGATGTCATGGTCGCGCATGGAAATATGCCTAATGATGTACACAAAATCAGATTGGTCCCGTAACCAACTCCAACCCCCACGAATGAGAATAGAGGACGAATTGCTGATTCAAAGTGCAGAAGGGTATCTCGTGTTTAAGATAAGAAACGATGCCCGTTAAGACTGTGATACTTTTCCAAAGTCTAACATCCAATGACAAGCGGCTCCGCTTAATTGTGGCATGCTTTTCAAGGTGTGCCAACATACAAATTGGTTTCCGAAATTATTGGATGATTTTACATTGTCCAAAGTCAAATGGTGCTTTCAGGATTGATGCAAGCTCGAAATTAAATGTTGAGTTTTTGCTCGGTTTAGGAAGATGTATCATCAACCTTGGTACTTTACGAATGAGCGGGGCCGCATGAATGGCCATAGCCGACTCACCACGGCTTATAGAGCTCATGAGTACTTTACCAACCCCTTGTTTGGCTAGTAAGGGGAGTGAAATGTATGGGGGGTGAAAGTAAGCAAACAGACTTACAAATTCTCAACCCCAAACGCTAACATCAAGTCATGTTTATGCTTATCAATAAAATCCACATGTTTATCCACATCCTTCTTCTTGAACGGCCATATCAAAGATTTCAGCTTTCCGATCCGATCTTGCTGTTTTGGAAAGGTATCGAGTTCTTTCTTGATGCCATCAAGCTCATTCTTACAAAGCGACAAAGTTCCCGTTTTGTTTTCCAAGAGAGTTTGGATGTTGATCGAAAGGGTAGGTGGCAGATCGTCAATAGACTTTAGTACACTTTCGAGATTCTTGATCGAATGATAAAGCCGTTGTACGTCGTCGCGAGCACTTTTGATTCCTTCGTAGTATTCCATTAAAGCCCCACCAACAGCCTGCGCCAGTTGCACCACCGCAATAACGCTGGCAGCAGTACTGAGGCCGTCCATAGTTGTTGGATTTGTGACGATAGAAGCAATTGCGTAATGTTTATGTTAAAGAGAAGAGATGAAAATATCTTTGGATCAAATCATCTAAGCTTTCTGTGTAATAAATTGTCTGAGTTGCTTTCATGAAATGAGGGGAAAGCTGAAGTGCTGGCTGCCCAAAGCCTTATGTTGCCCATCTCTCGTTTGCTCTCCAATAAACGGCGGATAGGTAAATGCCCACCTGCCCGAAGTAGCATCTTACATCTTGAGAATACAAGGGTCATTGAAGCTGGCGTAAAAAGATACATTTTGCTTTGAGTGACGTATAAACAAATGAATTGTAGGATTGTTGGAGGTTAATGTAGATCTGAAGAGGGGGGCTCGAGGGGGAATACATAGCCTCTAAATCTGTGCGTCGAGAAGTCTGATGTTCAGAACTGATATCACATGACTATCATGTGATGACGAACTTACCATGTGAACTACCGATGGCCCTGGAAGGTCTAAAATCGGAAGTGAGAAAATTCACATCGATGTACTATAAATATTGCGTGTGCATTTCACTCAGAGCCTGAAACAAAGTCAAGCGTGCTCGGGAATAAAAGGGTACACTTTATACAAATGGGTACACGGATTCGTGAGATTCTCTATAAACAAAGTATAATTTCACACCAAAAATACTGATTTTAATAATTCGATTAATATGTTTTATCAGTGAGTAGTTCATATCAGTGAATGAATCATTTCGAAAATCATTTCGAAAATCATTTCGAAAATCATTTAAATTAAGTTTCTTAAAATATTAATATTTTAATAACCAATTATTATTTTCTTAAATAAAAGATCTTAAAAAATAATTAAAATCTAGATTTTCTATTGATTTAATTTTGATAGAATAATTTTATAATTTCTTTAAAAAAAAGAAAATTATTACAATTTTTGTTATAAAAAAACTATTTTTATAATAACAATTTTATAAATTCGAATTTCTTAAAACTAATTAGATTTTTAAATTTTTATATATTTAAATATTTTATATCAAATTTTCAGAAAATTATATCTCTAAATAAAGAAAATGCATAATTATATACAAACGAATTTTGTATATAAAATAAATGATTTATTTATTGATATAAATCACTCACTGATAAAACACGTTATGTGAGATTTATATTTGAAATAAAAGATATAGAATTAGAATGATATCAAGGGCCAAGATATTGACCCAGGATCAGCTAATCCAAGCTAATCTAATTTAGTAACTACACGTGATAAAAGTATAACAGATTATAATTCAAACTTTAATTTAATTTCTTCAAAACTGAATCATTTTAAAGAAGCATAAGAATTTTCTATGATTTGAAATTTAGATTATCATTTCCTCAAATGAAAGCTGCAAATCTAATCTAGTTTTCTTCACCAAAACTTTTTGATGAGAAGGTGTAATATCGAATTTTTTTGATCTCAAAATCGAATCTTTTCAAATGAGATTTTAATATAATATATCTTAGTATTTAATTAAAAAGTATTGAACATTTCAACTTAGGATATTGAATTTTTATTTTTAAATAGAATTTTAAAAACGTCGATTTTTGGTGTGAAATTGTACTTTGATTACCGAGTCTCACGAATCCGTGCACCCACTGGTGGTGTATTGTTCTTGATTATATAACTTTATTTCTCGTTGATAAAAATCACCGAAATGTTTGGTCAGCTTACTTGAGCTTGAGTTGTTTTATATGATCCGAACTCTACCAAATTATTGATAGCTGTGGACTGTACCTTGAAACCCTTTCACTATTACTTATGGTACTTCGTACTGACATGGCAGTTTCGAGCATATTGAAGATCTTCCAATTTGCAAATCACCTGAGCTTCTCCTCGAATATGCCCTCCTCCTCCCTTCCCCCTACAGTCTTGGGAAATATTGCCCGCGTAGTCCGATATCAAGGCAGGTTGCAATTAGAGCTTAGAGATTCTTGAGGGAACGGTTATGCTGGTAAAAGGTATAAAGGATTTCCTAGCCTCTAGCCAACGCCTCACCAATCTCAAAGTCTATGAATTCCCCACCCTCAATCTCTCTTCGAGCCCACTCCATCCTCTTATTCCATACCTCATCACTTTCATATGCATATTTCATCCCTTCCCAATCATTTTCTACCGCTCCTGCCATCCACCACAAATGTTTCTCATGATCTGCTCTCCTCACTAACATCAAGAAATATCCCACTATACCCATCATTCTCATATCTTTTTCCCTTAACAACTCTACGAATCTCGGGGGCACCAATGCCGGGAATTTAAGAATAAACTTAGTAATTTCGCCTCCGCCAAGAATATTCAAATATTTGGTACAAAGAGCATAGATTTTATAATCCAGAGCATCAGTCGGTAAATCGTCGAGGAGAAAATTAAACGTTGTAGAATAATCGTTATCAGGGTCCGGCGACGTTTCATTTTGTAGAATAACCCTAAAATTGGCTTCTTCCCATTCTAAAAGTGTTCTCATGCCTTCGTTTTGAACATATGTTGCGGCTAAGTTTATCATATCCTTGAGACTTTTCATGGGGACGAACCAATGGAGCGGTACTCTACATGTTTCTCTGTGTCTTTCTATATTGCTGCTGGAAAAGAGCGCTGAATTACGAGCTTGATTAAGGAATTTTTGACTTCCTGCAGCATGATATGTGATGAACAAACAAGACCCGAGAACTGCATCGGCTGTCTTCTCTGTAACGCCTTCCTCAATGATTAATTTCCGGTGTGTTGCGATAGCTATTCCCATATAATGATGACTGGCTTTTATTACTTCTCTCTCTGATTTACTTTCAGGTATTGTACTGGTAGGAAAAGCAGAAGAGGATGATGGAAATGAACTCCGGAGATGGAATGCAGAAACTCCCAACAAAGCTTCCATTACTGAACGATGACGACAAGCGAGTTGAATGATCCATAGCGATATGTTGCATGCAGAAAATAATTGAGGAACATCGGTGATATTTATGAAGTGTTGAAATAGGCGGAACTCAAGTGCTTCATTTGTTCCTGAGACGGTAGCGGAAATGGAGGTCGGGAAGTAGAAAGAAATGGGATTGCGTGGGACGGGACGCGAGAAATGAGCATTTCGTCGCGTGACTGTCGCTGTGGTGGGAAGAGGTAACTTCTTTGTGGGAAGTGCTTGAAGCGCATGATTATTGAGAGGTAATAGTAAATATTCACATTGTATGCTATGCCTCAGACAATATGCACATGTCGGTTTGATTTCATCGCACTAGAAACGTCATTAGAATTGGGTATTGGTGGTGTAATTGAAGAGTGGGGGTCCGAACCTTTAATCGCCTTGTCTTGCAGCTTTTGCACCCATACCTAGACTTTTTATGGGGTCGTCGTGTCGATTCCTTGGGATTTGAGGACGCCATAGTCGTATTGAAGTCGTAAAGTGGTCTAAAGATTCTGAACTCATTATAAGGCGGCCAATGAAGGGGTGATGGGTACGAGACACCAAACGACATCTTAAGTGGCTTTTCATTGGTGGATAGCCAAAGGTGGAGAATGAGCGCTGTGGCTTCGTAAGCGATAAATCAACAGGCCAAATTGCAGAAAGCTGCAATCTCAGAATACTGGAAGCAATCTTGTCTTTCAATGGCACCTTGCAAATTTAGCCAATTTATATTGATAAGTTGCGATTCCATTCGTCTCAGAAAGAGTAGATGAGCCCAGAGAGAAACCCATCCAGATCTCCGAACAAAAATCAAAGTAACCCTTCAACATCATCTCTTCCTTCTCCGTGATAGAAAAAGTCTCAAAAGACCAGCACAACAAATAAAATGCACAAACAAATGCATCCCAGGACCCCCCAATCCCTTCACTCCTTTTCCGAATCCTTCACCCGTTAAGATCCTCCCTCCAGCTCTGATAGCAGGAGCAACATGATACAACGATAAAGCACCCGCGACATTACGACTTGTCCTATCAACACGCCGTGAAGCGAATATAATTGAAATGAGACATGAAACGAATAGAAGTGTCGCGTATTGTTGAATAACGGTGTGAGCTTGTGGTGCTGGGATGGAAAGTTGAGATGAAGGGTTGAGGAAGAAATTTAAGGAGGCGGGGATTTCGATGAGAGTGTGGAGGAAGAAAGGGAGACGTTGGGTACGAGACATTGTTACTTGCAGCGTGGATATAGGAAGAATGTACTTGTAGGTAGGTTGAAGGAAAATGTTGGTTGATACTCAGAATACTTGTTAGAAAATACGAAGAATCTTTCTGTGAGAGAGATTATTAAGCGAAACTCCACCCACAGCGGAGCTTGAATTCGGTTCAAAGATCAAACTGACACAAAGCGGGGCGCCAAATAGATCTATATACACTACATAACCCCTCGGACAATCAAACCTACTTATTATTACGATATGTGTTGTCAAACTCCCTGCTTCCCGCTGGAGTTGCGAATATTCCGAGATCTGAAGCTCGAGCTCGAGCCATGTATTACTCCTTTCAAAATAGCACACGCAACTCGGCAATGATTGAATCGAAAGAGGAAATGTCAAATGTTGATTAGATGATGATGTCGCTTTTTTTCATCTTGGGTATCTATGATCCTTCCATTGATCATCCGGATTGTCGTTTCACTCATGAGGTAATGGTTGAGAGTACTTAGATACTATTCGCTTGTTTACCTCACTGGTGCCTCTCCGTTGCTATTGTAAGAGCTACCCTTGTCGAAACGACTCGGTGACATACGCAGTAGCCACTCGCGAGCCACTACAGTAGGTTTGCATGGATCAAACAGATGATTCGGATGAGAATTTCTTAATCGGGTGGCATGGTTGAGAAATGGAATCATTTTGATTGGCATGTGAGAAATGGATGCTATATTGTTCCGTTATCTGATTTTTCCTTCATGCACCTATGTATCTAGGTTCTCTAGTAGTAATAATAAGTACTCATCCAAATTGCATCTCAACACATTCAAGGGACGATGTATCGGAAATCTACTTAGTAGTAAAATTCTCATATACCATAAATCCTCACGTTTTTCTCCCATCTCATATCAAGGGGGGTCACCTACTCGTATGCACAAGGCTGGTCAGCTCTTTTGATACATCTCACGCCCCAACCTCGGCTTTCCTTTTATCGTTTACCTCATCAATCGTAAGATACCTGGTATGTACTCTACTTCCCTGCTTTACCAGTTACCAGTTACAATTGTTTTATATTATAAGCTGGTTAAGTATACTCATTCAATCACATTCTTTAGATAGGTGCTTCTACCTTTTGTTTTAACATAACTCACTCGCTCAATAACAATCATCAATTCCGGCATTGTCTCCTCTGAGAAAATTTAAAATATCTCCACATCTACACCTCTCAACGATGCCGAACAACACTCAAGGGCAAAACGCCCAGCAACAATCTACCACTCAAAATGGATTCGGAAATCTCAATCTTTCAATCGTTGGACTGGGAGTCGAATACCCTCCATTCTTACTGGCGCCTGCAGATCTAGATACTCTAACCAAACGTCACTATCCGGACTCTCCAGCGTAAGTTTTCCCTTTCTCTATTTCTCCCCTCCTCCCCCAATCCCTCCCAATCGCCCTTAAGTCCCAACGCCCTAGTATCCAATTCCCTCTGAGATGCACCTCGTACCTCACACTAATTCTCAATTTCCAGAATGAAAAAAGTCTGCACAATCAACAATTATACCGGCATCGAAACCCGCTCCGCAATCGGTACCGTCGACCACCCCATGGCGAACATGGACCGCGCCCCCACAATTGCCGAACTGTGTTCCATCTTCCTCAAAGACGGCGTTGCCCTCGCCGTAACCGCCTGTCGCAAAGCTCTCCACGAAGCCCATCTCCTCCCTTCCGACATCACCCACGTAGTCAGCACAACATGCACAAATAGCGCGAATCCCGGGTACGATCATTTCGTGTGCAAAGCTCTAGGAATAACACAACCGGTTGAAAAAGTTCTACTCCATGGAATCGGATGTAGCGGTGGTTTGGCAAGCTTACGAACCGCGGCAAACTTAGCATTGGGACATAGTTTTCGAGGGAAAAAAGCAAGAGTTTTGGTCATGGCATTGGAAATTAGTTCGTTATTGGTAAGAAGTGAATTGGATAGTGTACATGAATTGCAGGAAACGAGAATTGGTGTTACGCTCTTTAGCGATTGTGCGAGTGCGTGTGTACTCAGTAATGGGATTGGTGGCACGGGAGAGGAGGAAAGTGTCTATGATTTGTTGGGGTGGGAACACAAGATGATTCCAGATACGGAACATGATCTAGGGTTTGATGTTGATCCGCTTGGTATGTTAATATTCTTTTTTCCGAGTCCTATATTCACCCTGATTCCATGTGCCACACTTTTGAACAAGGAACTAATTTCATTCCCACAAAAAGGCTGGAAAGTGATCCTCTCCCCACGCGTCCCTAAACTAGCCGCCGAAGCCGTCTCACCCGGCTACCATTCCCTGATTTCCAATCTCCCCTCCCTCCCCTCCGAATACCGTAGTCCCTCTGACTTCGACTGGGCACTCCACCCGGGAGGTGCCACCATTCTCACCGGCGTCGAAAAAGCCATGGCCATCTCCCCCGAACACATGCGGGCTTCCTACGATACCTACATGAAACACGGCAATTCCTCCAGCGCCACAATTTTTAGCGTTCTAGATCGTTTACGCTGTAAAGACATGGATGGTCTTACACCCAATAACAGGGGACCCAAAGAAATGGTCGTAGGATGTGCATTCGGTCCCGGTATTGCGGTGGAAATGTGCATGTTGAAGAGGAATGTACATCATGTGAAACGAGAGTGGGATGGCGGGGTACAGAGCGGGGTAGGTGGGGAAGTTACACCGCCTTTAACGGAGAGTGAGGGAACGAGGAGTGTGGGTGAGAGTGAGGGAGAGGTGGAGGTAGAAGATTTGCAGAAGGTGAAAGAGGAGGGGGAGAAGCTGGATCAGAAATTAAAAATGGTGGAGCCGGAGGTTTTGGAACAAAATGCAAAATTGGGGGAGGAGGGAAAGGGAAATGAGAAGGAGACATTGCACAGTTTGGAAGAGGCGATGGATGGGGTTGAGCTGGATTGAGTCATGATGAATAATCAACGTGGGAAATAATTATGATGGGGAGTTTGGATGATATATAAGATGCATTGGTAACGAAAAAGCTGATTGTGTTTTGGGGGGCGGGGGGCGGGGGGCGCATAGCATGTCAGAGTCAAAGTCAGAGTCAATGAAAATTAGACTACAGACAGAGCGCAGATAGATATCTTGAAATAGACTTCTTTACAGCGAGCGAGTATTTTAGACTATTGCGCCGCGAATTTGTGGGAAAAATAGCGATCCGTGGTTGTTTATGATGGGTTGAGAGTGTATTGGTTGGTACTTATTCATAGCATTATAGATGAGATTGGAGAGAATGGATGAGATGAGATGAGATGAGATGAGATGAGAGGAAGCAGTGGAAAATACATGGAATTCTATTCTCTCGAATTTATCTTTCTTTTCCTCTTTGTTTGACTAGGATAGGTGCTAACAATATGTTGTAATCCACGTGAGGGTATTTCAATACTTGCTACCATTTCAACATCAATATCAATACACGGCATACAACTCATCCCACCATGATAACTTCTTTCCCCCCTCTCCTCCCTCTCTCCCTAGTCAAAAACAACCTTCTTCCCACTAAAAGTCGCCTTGGCCTTCTCATCCTTTGCCTTCTTCGCAGCCTCCCAACTAGGATGCAAAACACCGACATCATCTCTCGTCTTGACCTTCTCTCTCGGCTTCACCTGCATCATATTTGCATTATTTTTATCATTTCTGAAATCGCCTCGTTTGCCTTTACTCAGATCTCGTGCTTTTCTGCCGCTCTTTTCCGCACGCTTCATTTCGCGCTCTTGTTCGACCGAGAGCCCGCCCGCCGCAATGTGTTTGGCGCCCTTGCCAAATTTCTTCTCCCAGAGTGCTTGGCGGGCTTTTTGGCCCATGCGGTTTTTGCGCACGACCGGCTTCATGTCGGTGTCGGAGAGGGAGGAGGCGGATTCGGAACCGGACCAGTAGCCGCCCATGAGGGTGGGGAGAAAGGTGCTGTTTTTGGTGGATTCGGTGGGGATGGTGGTTGATTTCTTGGGCTTTTTGAGTTTAGGTTGGGGTTCTGGGGAGGGGGAGGGGGAGGGGGAAGGTTTGCGACGGGGGATTGATGATTGGTCGTCTTCTGAGTCGGAGAGGGAGATTGAGGGAAAGGGTGAAGGTGATCGTGATGGTGTTGGTGAGAGGGATAGGGAGAGGCGCGTATTTGCTTTTGAGGGATTCTTCTCCAAGTATTCTTTTTCGTCGAATGATTCTTCGTCAGAAGATGCACCTAGTAGAGCATCATACCTTGAAAGTGTTTCTTCGTCCATTGATTCATTTCCTTCGTTTTCCTCATCATCTTCGTCTTCATCGTCGCCAGGTGAATCAAACCCTTCCCATGAATCCTCTTCATTCTTTTTCTTCGACAATTTTTGTATCGTGTTTTCCATATCGACATCGCTCTCGTCATCGTCATCTTGCGCCGTCTTTTTCGATTTCTTCTTCGAATCTTCCTTCACTTTCTCCTTAACCTTATCCTTCCCCTTCTTCCCCTTATCCATAACCGGCGTTGGTATTCCCATACTCATATAACTCCCCCTGATCACTCCCTCCCACACACTCTTCACATTCTTGAAATTCCACATCCCACTAACAACATTATTCCAAATCTTCACATCCTCCTCTCCCTTTTCTCCTTCCCATCCCTTGACTCCTTCACCATTCTGTCCCCATCCAGGAGGCAAAAATCCACTCTCGCTCATGACTTTTATTTTCCCCAGTCCTCTTGCCAATCGCTGTTCCGTTACTTTATCCAAATCCATTGTTTTCAATGCTTCAATTTCTTTTCGTATCCGCGCCATTTGCGCCGCATCGCTTGCTTTAGTCGCATTTGTCAATCGTTTTCCGAGTCGTTGTCTTTCAAATCCTTTTGCGGTTTTGAGTGCGCTGCGAAGTTGTTTGCGGGCGGAGATGAGATGAATATTGAAGTCATTTTGACGGGAATTGCGCACGCGGTCGGTGGAGGGAAGAGAATCGTCCTGATCGGCAGAAGAGCGCTTACGTTTAGGCATTGTTTGTTATATTATGGGTTAATTGCGACAGAATTGAGGTTTTTGATATCGAAAATATACACTGGAATTGAATTGGATGAAATAAATTATTTTGGAGCGCAGAAAATTAGTGCGAGATGGAGAGCTCAGCTCAAAATTATGACAGGGATTAATACACCGCTCTCGCTTCTGGTAAACATACGGGCAGAATGAAAAAGGTTTCATTCGCCAGATCGGGAAGTGGGGATTACGCCGGGAAGTGGAGTGTAACGGTTCATGATTAGTGAGCGAACGCCCTTTCATTGATTGATGTTGTTGAGGGGCAATTAAGTATAAATAATAGCATGAACATTTTTCATATATACTTTCTCTTTATCTAACTTCCGAATATATTATGATTTAACTAGCAGGTTTCGAATTGCTCATATCATATCATACCGCACCATACCAATCAACAACATGGCGACCTCTTCAATCCAAGCTGGAAATTTATTCAATGTTAAAGGACTCGTAGCTGTCGTCACTGGCGGCGGAAGTGGTATAGTTTTTCCAAGTCAACTAGGTGCCTACCTTTCTAACTTCAAATTCTAGGTATTGGTCTAATGATGGCCCGTGCTCTCGCTCTTAACGGCGCCGAGAAAGTATACATCATCGGTCGCCGAAAAGAAGTTCTTGAATCCGCCGCATCTTCCGTAGATACCGGAAATATCATTCCAATTGTCGGCGATGTAACCGACAAAGCAGCGATAGCTTCCATTGCCTCGAAGATTGAGTCCGAAACAGGATACATTAATGTTTTAATCGCCAATTCCGGTATTGCTGGTCCTCAAGCTACAAACCCCGTTACCCCATCTTCTTCGCTGTCTGAAGTTGCTGCCTCGTGGGGAAGTGCTAGTATGGAAGAAATGTTGAAGACTTTTGAGTTGAATACTGTAGCTGTTTTCTCTTGTATCATGGCTTTCTTGGATTTATTGGATAAAGGAAATAAGAAAGGCAATGTCGAGCAGAAGAGTCAAGTTATTGCTACCAGTTCTATTGGTGGTCTCAATCGAAAATCCCCTGGTGGACTTATCTATGGCCAAAGTAAAGCTGCGACTACACATTTGATGAAGCAACTAAGCACACAACTAGCACCGTATGAGATTAGGTGTAATACTATTGCCCCCGGATGTAAGTTTCCAGAATCTTTTCAAAGCACATTCCTAAGGATAATACTAATCGAGTTTAGTATTCCCATCTGAAATGGCCGTCGGGCTCATTGGTGACGGAGTTTTTGCTAAGGATCAAATTCCGTTACAGAGGGCAGGCACGGAAGAAGACATGGCAGGATGTATCCTCTTTTTGGCATCAAGAGCTGGTGCTTATTGTACTCACGCACTCATTGTGATTGACGGAGGACGATTAAGTGTTATGCCTAGTACTTGGTAGACTAGATATAGACGAGTTTTTGGGAAATACAAAAGGCCATTTTGATGAAAGCAAAACCTTTTTGGTCTTCTTGTAGCGCGGTTGCGGTAGTATTTGCAGATTATTGCTAGCATGGTTGTCCTTTCAAACTCTTGATGTGATATCATTTTCAAGAATCCAGGAGAAAGTCATACATACTCTTTCATCCCATTAAAGAATAGCAATTATAGATACCTATGTTTCTCACAAGCCTAATCAGCAGCTGTTTCTCAATACTACTTTAGCAATATCATTATTCATGCTTCAGAAAGTCGTGAGTGGCGGATATCAGTAATTCAAGACAAACAGAACTTCATGTGGAGTTGTACTTAAAGTGAGAGCATTAATAACTTCAATCACTCATGTTCTCATCTAGATTTTCAGGACCTCTCCTCACAATTACTCTCATGATGTAAACCTAACAGTATCATTCCACTTTATCTCTTCTCCCTCGTACGACTTGCTGCATTATTATCATCTCATATAGAGAAAGTAATAGCATAAAGACTAGAGCTGTTAAACGGCCGAAAGAGTAGAGCTAGTTGTAAGGACCCTATGCAAGTAGTCCATAATTCTAAATGGAAAATCAACGAATCGTATTGTTTAGTTTCATAAGCTGAGAAAGTAAGAATGCTTTCTCAATCACACTTATGTTACACCAATACTTTATCGGTGCGACACCACCATATTGCCGTCCTAAATACTTGTACTGTTTGAATGGGACATCATCGACATTTTTTACAGGACATGATGATTCTTTAAAATAGTTTCTCCAATTGTGTGTTGAAACATCATTTGTTAATAAAACAGTAAGAGTCTTTACATTAATATTTTATAGAAATGAAAGGATAATTTTTGAATAAGATTTGGTCCAAAATATCAAACAATGTTTAGATGTTATTCAATAGTAACAAAAATAAACTGTCGATAATTGTGTGGAGAAAGTCCATGTATTCAGCTAATAGTCAAATTGAACGAGTCAAGCAAATCGATTCGAACACGCTCTTGTAATGTTTTTGTGTGTTTTCATCTATTCTTCATCTATTATTGTTTCACTTGAAGCGATCAAACGATAGTTATATGACATGCAACAGATCTTCCCTTCAGTTAAAGGGACATGGACTGCAGTGATACATATACGAAAGTTTCTTTTAAGAAAAAACGCCGGATATACAATGAGAGAAGTTCATCGTCAAAATTTGACTGATGACCTCATCTTGAGCAGTGACGGATACAATAATGATATGAGGGAATGAATTAATGAGTAAAAAACGATAGAAAAGCTAACCTGTGTTCAAACATTCCATTAAATAATAACAGTAACGAAAAAACTGGGTGATAAATAGGAAACATTCGACACATGCCTAGAAATGCAATCAATCTTTGAAAACCGCTCGAAGCCACACGCATTTACTAAGGTTAAAACGTTGCCCACAACACATATATCGCAAACGACGATGATGAGAAGACGGCGACAACCAAGGCGAAGGCGATATAAATCGAGAATCGTAACAAAAAAAGAGCTCGTCTTTCCTGAGCGTGTGCATTCATGATGTATGTACGATTGTAAAGTGATTAAATACATACACCATAACGACTTCAAACAAACGTCTTTGTCGACAATTGAACAAAAGATGGTATAAGCAGTCTGAAAAGTATTTTGTATGATACATCCCATTCCAAGAGTCCCTTTAATGAATGAAAAGTAATTCTTTTCGCCCCGTGAAGAATAAAGTAGGAGAAGTTCAAAGAACACAAATGAATGATCAACGAACATGAGCAGTGAAGAGGAAGAAGAAACCATAAGGGAAAAGATTGTATTGAAAAGTACCACTTAATTCCATGCGGGTGCAGATGCCGACACAAGCCGCCAAAAACATTGTCCAGCTCATGCCAAATACACGAATGTCAACCCCGGATTCTCATTCGGTGCCTGACATAATATTCACATCTAGCTCAACGCGCAGCTTCGTGAGATCTGCAGCCCAAAGTCATCGGCTCAACGTATCGGTTGCTGCTGCCGAAAAAGTGCGAGTGGCGTTAGTTACCAGAAGTTAGTCGTGGCTATCCAGACTGTTGATTAGTTCTTGGTTCTTATCGAGAAGGATTTCATAAGTGTCAGTATGGACCCTTCGATATGAAAGATAGGAATGCGGGTATCCCGAGCCGGATATGATCGCTGGCAAGAATCGACAGCTATGTGTAGTAGAGCAGGTGATATGCTTGGCAGGGTCCTATTCCTTGTTCATGTCTAGTTTCGTAGCGCTGGGGATGAAGAAATTCTAAAGAGAATCCAACCTCTTTTGTGATAGGAAAGCTCTTGGCACGCATTCGACAATTCAGCCAGATGCGTTACATTTCTCTTATCTTGCTGGCATCGTCTCTGGTCTGAGAATCGGAGTTATTAGCTCGTCACGAGGGCACATTCTACCTCGGTAGATAAATCTACCCTGAGCTAGAGTAGATTGACAGTGTGGCTTTGAATTGTAACATGATTGGTTGTGAGCAGAAGTTACTGACACTGCGTGTAAGGTGGGTACTCAGCGTGTCAGTCTGACCTTATTTACTCCACTGGAACTTACTCCGTAAAAATGTGATATAATCCACTTTTTAAAGTACCTTTGTACTAGATTGATAGAAAAAATGTACTGTGACTTCTTGCCAAGCATTTCGCCTCCGAACTTTACTCGATTGATGTGTATATTAAGGTACGTCCGAGGCGGCTCGCCGGTCCGCTGGTAGGCGCTTACATGAAAAGCTAAATGAAATCCACAATTAGCTTCTCAGCTTTCGAAAACTCGGGGCAGCGCACAATCACTCTGAAAGTGTTTTTTTAGTATCACTGTTTAGCATTGATAGATGCATTATGCACTTCAAAGACTGTATCGAAATTAGGTTAACAAGGATTCAGGGACAATCATCAATTGGTGATCTTGAAAATGCAATTTCCACATGGTAAAAATCTGTATCGGACAGATGGCGGCACATGGGTGTGTGTTGTGGCACTTCGGATGTTCTATTTAGCCTATTTGGCGACTTTCTAGATCCGCAGTTCGTTTGGAACATAAGCGGTAGATGGAATTAGTTTCTCCCCGCATAATCCGAATTGACGCCCAATAATCTACAGATAATTATACGGGGACCCCACAATATGTCAGGGAGAATGTGGGGAGGCTCGATGCAGAATCTGAGGTGTTGGTTTCGGCGGTTGTGGTCTTGTATATCCCGGATAATTAATTAAGCTTATTGGCGTCCCCAGATTATCTGGATCATATGCAAGCAAATCTCCACAACGACGAGCACTATTGGATCATCTTACAAAAAGCAGTCTATTGTATTGTAAGGTCCTGCTTATCACCAGACGTCAATTTCCTGAGTCTAACGAAACGGATAAACTCAAATAATCCTAGTATCATCGCCGTGATAACAGCCATAATCGAGTCTGGGAATAAATCCTAATAGTAAATTAGCATTGTATGAACGCCGAGGTATCTCAATTGTGAAAGCGGCGACGTTCAAATGTTAATCAATCTACATGCCATGCGCATTTGCTCCGTACTGAGTAACTTCGCCAT